TAATAATTTAACTTAATAAAGCTTTACTAGCTATAGGGGTAATAAATATTTAAACTATATTAAACTTTAAAAATACTTAAATATACCTTTTAAGGCTAACTTATAAACTTAAAAAAAAATAAAAAAATAAAAAAAATAATAGATTTTTTATTAAAATTATATATTATTAATTTTAATAGCTTTTTTTATATAGTTAATTAGTATTTTAGGCCTTGCTTTTTTATAAAGTTTTACTTAAACTGTTTCTTTAAGTTTATTAAAAAAAAGTAATATAAGGGGTTCTTAGTTTTAGCCTAGCTTAATAGCTAGCTAAAGGAATTTAGTTTTATATTTTAATATAAATTTAATTTATTAAAGTATCTTAATCTTTCTTTTTACTTAGCTTTTCTTATTAACTAGCTTAAATACTTATTATATAGCTTCCTTAAATTTAATATAATTATTATAGATTTAAAATATTTAAAGTAGTAATTTATCTTTTAATATAGTAGTTATTTCCTTTAATAGGGGTTAAAACTACTAGGCAGTATTGCCCTTAAAGCATCTTAAAGTATATATAATCTTATTACTATTATTTATAAACTAGTTTAATAAGTAACTTATATAGACTTAGTATTAAGTAAGGAAAGTAGCTAATTTAGCAGGGTTTTTATTAAATAGTTTAGGTATATTAGGTTTAAGGATTTCTTTTATTTCTTTTTTACTTACTATAATAGCAGTAAGGTTATATATTTCCTAATAGCATTCTAGTAATTAGCTGCCTATTAGGCCTGCAGTTTTGCTACTTTAATAAGAGCTTGCCTGAGGTTATTTATTTTAGTAGTTATATTAGTTATCTGCTAATATAACTAGGCAATATTAAAGTTAAAATTACTCTTAGAGTTATTATTTATATCTTAATTATTATTAATAGGTATTAGGGCAGTATATTACTAGGCAGGGTTAATATAGGTAGTTATTGTATTTATATTACTTAGTGTTATATAATATAGTTTAAATAAGAGCTATTAATATATAATAATTAAGTTTAATTATATTAAACTAAGCTATACTAGGTTTATTATTAGCAAATTATATAAGGTATATAACTAAGCTTATTAAAGTATTATATCTCTTAATAATAAACTTAATATATATTAAGCTTAATTAATATAAAGAGGTTTTATTAATAACTAGTAAGTTAAGATTTATAAAAGTATAATAAATATGTTTTATATACTAATAATAATTATATAAATATAATATAATATAAGGTTATTATTAGTCTTAAAATAATACAGTCTTAAAATACTATTAGTTTTATAATTATTAGTCCTTCCTTAATTAGTTAGTTATATATAGAAAATTATAAGGTATATATAATATAACTACTAGGATTATAATATAGCTAATAAGTACCCCTGTTTATATTAATAATATATTAATATTATAGCTAATTTGCTTATTTAATTATATAATCTATCTTATAACTTATTTAATCCTCTTTTCGCTGCTAATGCCAAATTTAGTTATAACTTTAAGTCTTTAATTTTAGGTAATTAAACTTATATAAAACTTAATATATTTTTCCTTTATAAAACCCTATAATTACCCTGCTTCTATCTTAGATATTGCAGTATAATATCCCCCTATCTTTACAGGTTCTCGGTCTTCTCTAATACCTCCTTAGCCTATTACTAGATATCCTTAAGCTACTTATTATATAAGCTGCCTAGGTTAAGGGCCTTAAGGAACCTCCTCTCCCTCCTACTTAGCTATATCTCTTTATATAGCTTTCTTTTTAAATCTTTAAGCTTTTACTTTTTATATTTAAAGAAGTCTTTATTAATTAAAAGGTTTTTATAAATAAATTATATAAATATAAGGATCTTATAACTAAAGATTACTATCTTAATATAGCTAGTATTATCTTTATTAAATTAGGCCTTTTTAATATCTATAGCTATTATATATAATATATTACCCTTACCTTTATTTTACTTAAGAGCTTCTTTAATCTTAAGGATTATATTATAGCCTTTAGTTAGATAAGGCTTATTAGGCCTAGGTGCCTGCAGGCTTCTTTAGATAGCAGGCATTATGATAGGGCAGCTGTAATGCTGTTAGCAGTTGCGGCCAGAAGAGGGAAAGTCAGGTCAGGTCAGATAACTTACTGCAGAAGCGTGATGGATGATTGAAGCGTGGTATGCAGCAGAGGTTAATAAAAGACCTTTTAGGTAGGTTATAGGAAGAAGGTTAGGGCTAGCTGATAAGCAGGGCTTTTTAGCTAGTATATATGCAGCTAGGTTTAGGCTGTAATTAAGGCAGCTAACTATAATAATTTAACTTAATAAAGCTTTACTAGCTATAAGGGCAATAAATATTTAAATTATATTAGATTTTAGAGATACTTAAATATACCTTTTAAGGCTAACTTATAAACTTAAAAAAAAATAAAAATAAAAAAAAATATATATATATATTTTTAAGTTTATAAGTTAGCCTTAAAAGGTATATTTAAGTATTTCTAAAATCTAATATAATTTAAATATTTATTACCCTTATAGCTAATAAAGCTTTATTAAGTTAAATTATTATAGTTAGCTGCCTTAATTACAGCCTAAACCTAGCTGCATATATACTAGCTAAAAAGCCCTGCTTATTAGCTAGCCCTAACCTTCTTCCTATAACCTACCTAAAAGGCTAAGATAATACCACGCTTTAATTATCTATTATATAGTAAGTTATCTAACCTAACTTCTGGCCGCAACTACTAACAGCATTATAGCTACCCTGTTACAATACCTGTCTAAAGAAGCCTGCAGGCACCTAGGCCTAATAAGCCTTATCTAATTAAAGGCTATAATATAATCCTTAAGATTAAAAAAGCTTTTAAGTAAAATAAAAGTAAAGGTAATATATTATATATAATAGCTATAAATATTAAAAAGGCCTAATTTAATAAAGATAATATTAGCTATATTAAAATAATAATTTTAATTATAAAATCCTTTTATTTATATAATTTATTTATAAAAACCCTTTAATTAATAAAGACTTCTTTAAATATAAAAAATAAAAGCTTAAGGATTTAAAAAGGAAGTTATATAAAGAGGTATAGCTAAGTAGGAAGGAGAGGGGGTTTTTTAAGGCCCTTAATTTAGGCAGCTTATATAATAAGTAGCTTAAAGATATTTAGTAGCAGGCTAAGGAAGTATTAGAAAAGACTAAGAACTTATAATATAATATCTAACATAGAAGTAAGGTAATTATAGGGTTTAGGAAAATAAAAGAAATATATTAAGTTTTATATAAGTTTAGTTACCTAAAGTTAAAGACTTAAAGTTATAAATTTAGTATTAGTAGTAAAAAGAGAATTAAATAAGTTATAAGACAGGCTATATAACTAAATAAGTAAATTAGCTATAATATTAATATACTATTAATATAAATAGGAGATATATATATATATATAATTTAGTTTAAGTTATTAAATCTCTTAAGCTTATAAATTTATTTAATAAATATTTTTATAATATAAAATTACTTAAAAGAGATTTAATTAGTAAATCTATTTAAGAAATATTTCTTTATATTTATAATTAATATTATTATATTTAATTATTAAATACTTAAGTAATAGTTTATTATTTTAATTAATAATTTATTATTTATAATTATAACTATCTTTAAGAAAAATAGCTTTAAGACTCTTAATTATTAAACTTATAAATTTATTAAATTAACTATCTATTTAGTATTTCTTAAAATGCACTGCCTTATCTCTAAAAGAAGGGTAATTATTAGGTGACTTTGATATTTTAGGAAACATAACTCCTTTAGTCAAAATGCCCTGCTAATTTAGTACCCACGGTTTAACAATGACCAAACCAAACAAACCAAAACAAAACTAGGTCCGTGCACATTCATTTTTCGGCCGCCACTGTTCTATAACCAGAAATATGGGCTAGCCTAAGAGCTCCGTACAAGAAGTCATCATTCTGTCGGCAATACGACTGTTTACAGCTGCATTGCGCTGGGTATGCATACCACATAATAAACCGCGAACAGCTTCTGGTGTCTTCAAAAATGCAGTGAAGGATGGCCAGATCGTTCCCTGAAAATTCATTCGCCTTGAGATGACAGCGGCCTGACTTCCCCGCACGGGATTATTTTGGAAGAAAGCGCGCTTGCCCTACCAAGCGAAGATGCATAATAGCTAACGGCACAGAAGTTTCAAATACATTAGGCGTAGGCTAATTGATAGGACGACTCCCCATGGTCATCGGGGAAACTTTATGTGTTGTGTGCAAACTACAAGTAACCGCAGCCACGATTGGTCTGGCCAGGCCGAGGTCAGACTGGCAAGCCACAACACTGGCTGGTTTGTTATTGATGTTTGGTTGAGACCTCGGTTTGGAAGAGTCCAAGCCCTTGTGCGCGCTGCCGTTTCGACGAGTACAAAAAGATCGAATTGGCAATATTCGTCGTAGACTGAGTAACCCATTCATCCACGAACGTCCGAATTTGCCAATCCTATTGCAAGACAAAATCGCGCCTCATAAAGAGTAAAATAAAAAAGAAACGTGCTCTTTTCGCACTACTCCTTCGAAGTCGAAGACCGATAATTAATCTAAGGCATCGATGGCAAGGAAGGGTTGGAGTGAAGAGAAGATGCGAAAAGTGCTGGGTGAATTGGCTGAACTATTTGGAGAAGACCTTAGGTGTGTAGGTAGGGTCGAGAATTGAGATCACAGCTTAATACGCGAACGAGTTTTGAATGCCTTAGAAATACTTTGAGACATTTCCAATTCATGCAATTGGTACGAGGTCTTGAATCAGCCTGCTGAAAGCCCGTATAATTTGTTAAGCTCACTGCATTGCCTCATTAGGCGAACAGCAGGGCGCATCAGCTCTTTTAGTGGCGTGCAGGATTCATTATTTCACAGCCTGATCATTATTCTCTTGGTACTTAATGCTTCCCCGCCCCTGCGGAACGCATGAGCTTTTTCTCAGCTTCTCACATTCGCAGCCGGAAAAACTTCTGACATTCGTATTTTTGCTCTAAATGTTGCGCCGCCACGATGGATGGCCTGTCTGTTGCCGCCTCCTGCGTGGCTTTGATACAAGCCTCTGACAAGACATTTGGTGTCGTCTCTCAATTTATCAGGGACTGTAAAGATGCGAAGGATGACCTGGTTTCTGTTAACCAAGAGCTTTCCGCTTTGAGGCGAACCCTAGGCTTACTTCAAGACCTCATTCCAGTTGGCTGCGATTTTGCCGATAGCGATGTGACCAAAAATACCATAAGCGACATCAAGGAAATCATTATTAGTTCACTGAATGTGGCTAGAGATATAGATGGCGTTCTTTTAGGCCATGAAGGGAGATTAGCAGCAGTGAACTGGGCTACCCGCGGAAAGAGGAAGGTTTCCAGGTTCAAGACGTCACTCGAAACAAACCGAAGAGCTCTTAATTTGGCAGTAGATGTTATCACATAGTGGGTCAGGGTTATTTCTTCATAACTTTCAAGTATTAACTTCAGCATACAGTGCAACTTCCAAGGACATAAAAAATAACACAATGAACATCCTAGATGATACTACCCACATCAAGGGAGGTGTATCTAGCATTGAGGCCAGGATCAGAAATTTGGAAGCCAAAATTGAGGCTTCATACATACCTGGCCCTTACTCGTACATGATGAAAAATTATCTGAACGATATTTCTTCCGTCGCGGGTTCTGTATGTGGCATGTCCTCGCGGCCAGCGTCTCCCGAGGTTGAGACCAGTCAGTGAGTTTGAGAAAGAAATCCTCCAGGGTCACAACTGATATCAGACAGGATTCCTGACTGTGGGGATTGTTCTGCTGAGTCAGACGACTTGGCTTATTTCGATGCGATATGGCAGGATCCGACCCCAGACGAGGCAAACACACAGGGGAAGCAGCCTGCGAGTCCGGTGAGAGCTACGCCGATGGCCAATACAGTACCATTGGCTGGGAACTCGGATACTGATTCGCGTTCTCAGGGGCAGAAAAATGCAGACAGGATCAGTATGCCATTTCCCAGACTATCTGTCCACGCAACCAGTACATCAGACTTGGAACGCCTATTAGCACGGATCAAAAGTTGTCCCTACGTTTCTCAGCGACGTCAGTCCCTACCCGTCGAGTTGGATCATCAATCCAGCGATTTCCGCAGCTGTATGTTGCCATCTGATGGTGCTACGCTCTTGTGGAAAGCGGACAAAAGACCTTTCAGAACCTATGATATCTGTTCTGGAGAGGTCGCCGAACTCCCACCACCCGCTATTAACCCAACGAACCAACTCGTCGGTCCTGCTTGGTTCTCAGAACTGGAAATTTTGACTACAGATGCTTCTCTGTTAATGGTGAGGCAAACACCAAGGCACAGCCATTGGACAATATATGACAGACGGACAGGCAAGACGATTTTGCCAATACAGAACCAAGAATTATGGGGTCATCTGTCCATCATACAAATCTCGAACAACTGTTCACTATTGACGTTATCAACTTACGACGAAGGATGCTGGCTTGTCAAAGTACAGAGGCTGGACAGGCCATATGGCAGACAAATCATACGCTCGCAATACAAAAAGTTGCTCCAAAGCGGAGGGGCTGAGGTCTTTGCACTGTCACATCGCAGCCAAACTGTCACAGCCCTCGACAATGAATATCGTCCAAAGCTTCTCACCTGGAAGCTGCATAGCGAATGGTTTGTCGATAAAGAATTGGATGCTTTGCCTGAAGTTCAGTGGCCCGATGAAATAAAACTGAAGCCCAAACGTGCTTTCCATGGGTATGCCCTTGGTATCGCTTCAGCAGGCGACACTGTGGTGGTTATGACAAGAACCCGAGATTTTGATCCCGGTGGCATCCGGAGAAGAACCACAGCCATTGCAGTTTTTGGCTACGATCTTCCTTCAGGTGCTATGAAATTTCGCCACATCTTCCGAAATGGCAAGGTTCCTGGAGATGGCTCCTCGTCTTCCGCACGCGGAGTGTTCGACACAGATGGCAAGATTTCCGCGGATGGGAAGCTCTTGATGATAAGTAGAGCTATAGAGGTTGCTGTAGAAAAGCAAGACCCCTCAAATGCCGAACCATCGTCAAGTCAAGAGCGGAGGTTTACTACAGAAACCAAAATCTTGCAAATCCAGGGGATGCGTCTAGTCCACCGCTTTGAAAACAAGCCGAGTCACTTGTGCATATTTACGCCGAATTTTGACAAGTTTGCCAGGCTAGAGAAGGATCCACAAAGTGGCGAGGACATCCCCAGAACGTTCTTGAAGATTTATACACATAAAGGATCCCTGGAGAATTAAGAGAGAACGAAAAATATCTAACCTAGCGAGTCAACCCCTTGTCTAGCTCAAGGTTGCAATGCAAGAGATCAAGACATGCACCAAAAGTAAGATTCACGATGAGATGACGATGATGGTTTCAATTGGGTTAACCAAGTCGTGTAACGAAAAGAAGACGTACTTTTTAAAGATCCTATCTAAGGCTGCTGCTTCCAGAGGCTAGCTTCAACTATTGTAAAAGACACTGTCATTCCACAATTTAAGAATAGTACTCTATGCCCACACAGTGGCGTGGAATAAGCTTGTGAGGATTCGTAGCTTCCAGTTCCTTCACTTTCCGTTGCAGCGAAGATAACGCAGATCAACTTATTATAAGCTACAAGGTGCGGCCTTCATTTAGTTTTATATGACTGCTAGTTCAGGTAGCGGAGAAAATGATGAGCTGAGCTAGCAGTTGATGAAGGATGCCAGTATACGAGATTCACTTGCGACAGAGAACTATGTGTTATGTTTTGAGATGGAAGCAGCTGGCCTCATGAACCACTTTACATGTTTCTAAGGTTACAGAGAAGGAAGAGGCTATACCGAAATGGCTTTCGCCAATCGAATATTCCCATCAGCAGCGTGACTATAACCGCCGTCTGCAAGAAGGAGAAGGCCAATGGTTCGTTCGCAGCCCAGAGTTTCAGAGGTGGATAGGGTCCAGGAAACAGACCTTGTTTTTCCCAGGGACTCCTGGTGTCGGAAAGACCATTCTCACATCTCGTGTTATTGACGAGCTTTACAAAAGATACCAGCGAGACCCTAGCATTGGTTTTGCATATCTTTATTACGATTACCGGCGGCAAGATGAACAAGACATCGTCTCTCTATTGGCAAGTCTACTGAAGCAACTATCAGAGATGAAACACTCCCTGCCAGAAGAAGTGCAGGATCTATACGGAAAGCATAAGAATCGCCAGAGCCGGCCCTCCCTGCTTGAGCTTGTAGGAGTATTGAAAAGGGTCATTTGGTATTTCTTGCAAAGTTTTATCATTATCGACGCTTTGGATGAATGGCAAGTCGCCGGAGGATGCCGCAATGGGCTGCTATCCGAGATCTTCCAACTGGCGGCAGACCGGCCAAAGGCTGAGGCCAGGCAGGCGGGGATCTAGAGATCGAGCAGCAGAGGTACAATCCGGGCGAAATTCTTCGTGGTCAAGCCGCCAACATGGCGGTGACGTCGGCAGCGCAAAGCGACGAGTAAACAGGCCATGGGACCCGTACGACCTGAGATAAAAGCATTTTATTCAACAAACTGGGTTGATCGGTCGGGTGAAGGTATTATATCTTTGACTTGTTTTCGGCACGTTCTGAGGCGGATAGATTCAGCGCTGTATCGCTCACGATATCATCGGGTTATCCATGTGTATTGTCCCCACGGCCAAAAGTCAGTCCTAGCTGTAGTCTATCGGCGAGAGCACGACCATTTGCGTCTGATGGGACTCGCTGGGCGTAGGCGTGTCAACAAGACTGCCGATCGTGTGCGTGAGAGAAGCCGACGTGATGCAGTTGATGCTCGACTCGTTGCCTGTCTGTACTTCTGTCTTGACCTTGTGCTCGATGAGGAGGAGCGCTCGAGGTATTTATCCACCTGGACTTCCCGTACGGCCCAGAAGCGTCGGTCGAAGGCGATATTGCTCAGGTAGAACGGGCAAGCTCATGCTGATCTCGTCGGTATCTCCATGGTAGAGATGTAAGAAATACCAGCTAGAAAGCGATGTTTGCGTGAGAAGGTCGATTACCAAAATTGTTATGCTTAATCGTGGCATAATTGAAGAAGGGAGAGGAATCACGCCCTTATCTAGGCCTGGGCTTTAACTCGGGGCGGCCTCTACTACAGTTCTAAGTGCTACCCCGCCCATCCTAAAGTGAAGGTGGATTAATATATCTTAAGAACGGTCTATCAGGTGTTAAACCGCGCTTATCTATTACTGGAGATGATGCCCAACCTCGTAATAATATAGCCCACTTGGTTCTCGGCCTAGTTGAGAAGCCATTGATTGGTCTTTGCAGTGACTTCCTGAAGACATCAAGAGCATGAGCAAGTTCTTCCATATCGTCAGATACCGTTATCTGTTGTTCAGGTCACTGGACTCCGTCTGACAGTATTGAGAGCCCACTATAAGATGACGCTTCGGCTGATTTGAGAATAGTTCTGATGATATGCCGCGCGTTGGTGAGGGATGGCTCAAGAATAAAAATACACAGGTCAGTACCTTTAATTGGTGGGCATTCCACGCTTCTGACAAGCAAGATTCCTTCGATACGTTCGCCTTTTTTTAAATTTACCCAGGTCCTCCATGGCCAATTGAGATGATGCAAGGTAAGGCAAAGTGAGTTAGGAACCCAATTGCCTACTCTGGCGACTTCATCCAGTGCAGTTGATGAACGAAATATAGACCCTGTGACAGGATTTCTCCCGACCTTATATTTCGAGTATAGATGGAAAACGAAGTCTTTTGTCCTATAGGGCCGACCGAACTTGATCATGATTTGTCGTTCAAGGCCATTTGGGTGTGTCCCTCTCGTCGCCGGGAGGGGTTTCCATATAAGCCTATCTAAGCCGTGCCTGATCCTGGGAACCTTAGAAGTAGTGAGGTACAACTTCGATAGACAAGCACTGAGATTATCCCTCACTGACCTCGCCAACAAGTCGCCAAATCCGGCCAGCGATGTGACCATGGGAGCCTGTTGCAATATTTGAATAGAACCCTTTGGAACAAGACCAATATTTCCGAGGTCGTTGACAAGAGACTTACACACGGCAACATAAGTCAACTCTCTTACTTGACCCCAGTGATTATTAAGATAGAAACGCGAGGTGACCACAACGAGGAACGTCTCTTCTGGGTGCGGCATTTCTGGTAGGCTCTTATCGAATCCAGTCCAAGAGAGTTCCAATTCGTTCAGAACACTTCCTTTAACCTGGAAAGAATCTTCGATACTGTCGAGGAGTGAGGCTGTGAGCTGTCTGGTCTCGGTGTCCGTTTTTCCTGAACCTAGGAACTCATCCAGGTTCTCGGCTGTGATCATTATACCAACAAGTTGTTTGCAAATAAACCTCGCATCGCGCACTACTCCATCCTTGCAGTAGAAATCGTGGAGAGGGTCTTCATAAGCCGGACGTCTTCCAGATTCTCTTGTGTCCGGATTGGCGGAGATCCAGTCCGCCACGTTTCCAGCGAAAGAGAAGATATCTTCGTCTTGGACCAAACTTGTAGAGTCAGAAGCCGCTAACTTATAAAGACTACGGGCTATTCCCTCGCGGTATATGTCTCGGGCCTAGTTAGCGATGTAGTCGATGATGAGAAGAACTCGTAGCGCGTTATCGAGCGAGTCCACCTCGCAACTTCAAAGGCGCACAACACGCTGGTTAGAAAGCCTAGCTAGATATTCCCCAAATCGAGAGGGGTTACTCACATAAGAGATTTTCCCGTTCTGTTCATCAACATATGCAGCCTGAACCCTCCACTGCTCATCCTTGTAAGCTAAGAACCACACAAGAGGGCCAGCGTTCCAGTCGCCATCCTTGTCTGCAGCTCGAGCCAAACCTTACTGTATCATTAACAGCTCTCGAATAGCAAGTGAAGTTTGCGTTTGTATATCGGTGAACGTATCGCTTCCCTTCTCGGACTTTGCCTCAATGATGAGAAACGGGAAAACAATGGGCGCGCCGTCAGGTCTGAACGGACTGGACCTGATATTTTGATTTGACTGTAGCAAGCGAGCGAATCTTTTTGTGTCCCGAAGTCCCCAGACGCGATCAGGTCGTTCCTCATGTTTGGGGAGCTGCGCTAGTAGTCCGGGTGAGTATTGAATGGCTTCTTCGGCTCGGTCGTCAAAGAGTGGGCTGATTCCCTGATCTTGGCTGGGCATGGTCAGAAACACGGACGTTGTTGAGCCTGACGGCGAACTTACGTATCATGGCTCAATCACTAGGATTACACTTGCAGGGTTGTCGTCGGTTTTGTTGAGCCTTGAGAGAATTCGGGTCGTTGACGTTATTTCTAGATGGAGTATTCGCAGTGACTTCTTGCTCGGAACGCCAAAGGCGACCTCGACAAATCCGACTGACAGGTCAATTGGATAACAGTCTAAGACGTAGAAATACAACACTTACCAGGCGATCTCTACGGTGAAGCAAGCCATAACCTCTGATTCAAGCGATAGGCGCCATCCACTCTCATTCTTTCTTGCTTCTATGCATTGCTTCGCCTTTTCGGCGATTCGTTTGGCACGGCTTTGGACTTGATAATTCCAAGGGACCCTGGGGAAATCTGCTGAAATGCCCTCACGATATCTCGCATATTTTTCCTGCCGAGTTCTTGGATGTGCCTAAAAATGACATTGCACGCAACAGGCCACAGTGGATTTTGAATTGAGTCAATAGGACCATCAAAGACAATGTTGTACTTCCTTGGCAGCTGTCGCTGGATCTCACGTTGATTGGGTGCCATTTTAGAATGGGAAGCGCCAAGAAGGACGAATGTCAATCGTGATTGTTTGTGTGACTGTTGCGGCCACTGTTATGGATCATGGCTTCACTAAGTACATGGGGCCTGGCCTTAGCCAACGGCCGGCTGAGATGCCCCGCCATGTTGGTGTTTCACTTATCGCCCGTGTAGGCGTGCATATGCAGGTGGATGTGCAAGTAAATGTATTAAGCTGGGATAATGAGTTGGTCAAGGCAGAAATGGATTTATTCTGTTGTCACCTGGGGGGAATTGACACAGACAGAAAGTCAATTTTGTTCATGTTGGCCAGGCTGAAATGCACAGCCATGGTCGCGGCCATGTTGTCACAATTGCAAGGCGTACTCCAAAATTCAGAGTAATGTTTCGTCAATTCGTTGCTATAAACACATGTCGCTGTCTGTTGTATTTGTTCCCTATTTCCACTTCCATGCTCCCATTGCCTCGTACGTCATTCCCCAGCCCCATTTGTTCATCTGTCGTCTTGTTATTATGTGTCGCGCGACTGTCGTCAATTGAGACACAATGCATTTAGGGAACGGGGTCGTAGCCAGAGTTGCGCATGTGAGCCTGGCGGTTCGAGAAGAGGTAGTAGATGATCATTCCGACAACGGGGAAGAGGAAGACAACGAGACACCAGAGGATCTTGTGAGAGACGGGGCGGTTCGACTGAAGGACCTCAACTTTGCATTCGTTAGCATGGTCTAGACAGCGGGGAGACTTGAGGATACGCACTCCAGACAAGAATATCGAGAACCAGAATGATGAAACCAATAATTCCACCACCAGTTCCGTAATGCCACGGCTGGGCACCGGTGACAGTGACCTCGTCAGCGATGGGAGCAGCAAAGGCAAGCGTAGCAAGCCAGAGCTGGAGGAAGGCGATGACAGCGTTGTTAAGCATCTTGACAACCACTTTTTTGCAGAATTATTTGGTGATTTGAGTGAGAAGAAGGTGTTGATACAGAAGAAGAGGGGAAAAGAAGAGGAGAGAAGCCTTTTTGAGAGGAAACCAAGCTTACGACGAGACTGAGCACATGATACATTCACACTGACGTCATTGATAACAACGGAAGCCTAAAACGTCAGATTCAGATTCGACCAATCATTTGAAGTCCAAAGCATTAGATCGACGATCGACGATGCTTGTTTTGATTACTCAGAAGCCTTATCTTATCTCTCCAATCATTATTCCTTCTCCTCAACATCAGTCTTTTCCAACGCAACAGCCTGAGATGGCACTGCATCTTCACCATCGAAAATAACAGCCATTTGCTCCAGTGTATGTCCACGTGTTTCGGGATAAGTAAAGTAGACGACAAAGATAAAAATGAAGAGAATAATGGCGAATACGATGTAGTACTTCCATTTAATCGCATCGAGGGCAATGGCGTTGACAAAGGTGTTGAAGAAGATTGATGCGACTGTTGTGCACCAAGCAACTGTAAGACCACGAGATCGGAGAGAGAACTGCCAGATCTCGCAAGGATATGCGACAAGGAATGGAGTTCTAAATATGTTAGCTGTGACAATATCGAAACATCAGTGAAACTTACAGTCCGACATCATATCCGGCGAAGAATATGAACAGGAACGGCACGACAGCCAATCCAACTGATGAAGCACCAGACTTGGCAAATGAAGCGCTGAGTGCAGTGACGACAACGAATGACAAAAACATGACGCTCGCTGAAGTCAAGAACAGGAATCTTCGACCTAGTCGATCAACACTGACTGCTGCGGCTGTAGCCCAAAGAAGATTCCAAACATTGAGACAAGCCGAAATAAGAGTCTGCTCCGTCGTGGTCTTCAAACCAACAGAGTCCAAGACAAGAGGCAGATAATAAGAAACAACACCATTGCCCGCCCACTGAGCAACAAAACCCAGCGTGACCGAAATAAAAAGTCGATGCCGGTTTCCCTTGGTCTTGAACATGTCGAGATAAGACGCACTCTTTGCAGCATCCTTCTCCGCCGTAATAGCAGCTTCAATCTCCATCATCTGCGTACTCACAATCGGATCATCCCTGTTCCCTCCAGCGTGATACCTCGCAATAACATCCGTCGCCTCCTCCAATCGTCCAACACTGACATACCATCTCGGACTCTCCGGCGCCATCAAAAACCCCGGGAACGCACAAAGCGGTAAGAAGATCTGTAGTAAAACGGGAATGCGCCAAGACCAGTCATTGGGAATAACACGACACGCAAAGGTGACCCATCCACAGATCGTACCGCCTACATACCATCCACACATGAACAGCGCACTAGCGATAGCCCTATGCGAAGGATACGCAATCTCATTGATAAGAACAGGAGCAGAGTTTCCCAAAAAGCCAGCAGCTAAACCGATGAACAGTCGAGCGTACGTAAAAGCTTTTTCATTCGGTGCACCAGCTTGCATTCCGACGCCGATTATAAGAAAGAAGTAGCCTGCGTAGAGACCGGGCTTGCGGCCGTAGCGGTTGGAGCACCATGCTGCGAGGGGAGTACTGAGGCCGTTGCCGAGCCAGTATATTGCTGTCATCCAGCCGAGATATGCGCCGGTGGGGTGGTGCATGAATGTGTTCCAGGTGTTGAGGGCGAGGAGGGAGCCCATTAGGCCGCCGTCGTAGCCGTTTGCTGAGGCTGTTGGAGAAGTTAGGAAGTGTACGTGGTTGTGGAGTGAAGTTATTGCGGATAGATGTGTAAATAAAACTTACAAAAGAGAACGAGTGATAGAATGATGGAGTTGAGCTTCACCAGATGGCTCGTCTTCCACCATGGTCGATGGGATGGCCCATGGCCAACTTCAGTTACGCTGCCCATATTGGCCGTGAAACGACGAGGATGAGTTCAATCAGTCTAGTAACAAAAGAAATATAGGCAATGATCAACTCAAAAGGATTATCCAAGTTTGGTGAGGAAGTGCCCGTGCCGATCATTGAAATCGTGTCGTGGTGAGGATATCCACGAGTCTATATACTCCTCCCATACACGTCTTTGACAAACGAAAAATCCGCCAAAGTACTCCATACCATTTAAAGTATCACATGGCACACTAGGCTCTGTCAAACCCCAGAGTAAATCCTGCCCATGGGGAATCAGACGTTTTCGCGTCTCCCCATACCGCTAGAAAATTACAAGGGCGATGTCGCATTGCGGAGATTTGCTGGTGGGGATTTCACGTAACAAATTTGTATGAACTGTTACGAGGCGGAGAATTGGCATTGTCTAGCTATCTAGCTTGATTGCTGGCGTGATTTGGTGGGGATGGTATTTCTCCGCCCCTTGTCGTGATCCGGCAGATGTTTTCGGACAGAGTTGAGGAGAATTAATCAGCGCACCATGCGAGTAATTCTTGGAATGTTGTTTAGTAGTGTATGATGATCATCATTGTAGTTTTGCTCCACTTCAAGATAAAAAATGGACTGGATGTAGCTCCTGGCGGAGATTTACCAATCTCATGACGGAGCACGAGGATGAGAATGCTGGACCGCGATCATCTTGATGAACTATATAGCTCACTAACACTATTGGTTAGTGAACCGCATTTCTGTTCGAGCTAAAGTCCCTTGCCTTGCCAATGATCAATCCCATCATCACTTTGCCAAACTCGAGCAATTGAGATGAGGTATACAAGAATGGATGTCGAGGCCCTCATACAGCAACTGACCCTTGAGGAGAAGGTCCAGCTCACTGCTGGTAAGACATAGCAACACTCATAAACACTGCATGTAACATCCCTGACTGACTGAAATGACTAGGAGTGGGCTGGTGGCACACAGCAGCAATTGAGCGCCTCTCAATACCCCCAATCCGCCTCTCAGACGGCCCCAATGGCGTGCGAGGAACTCATTTCTTCGACAGCACCCCATCATCATGTCTTCCCTGCGGTACTGCCCTAGGCGCAACATGGAACACTGACCTCACCTACCGTCTTGGTCAATTACTCTCTGATGAAGCCCACGCCAAAGGTGCACATGTCCTTCTCGGTCCTACTGTCAACATCCAGAGAGGACCATTAGGCGGAAGAGGCTTTGAGTCTTTTTCCGAAGATCCTATTCTCTCGGGTATCTTGGCAGGGCACTATGTACGTGGTGTGCAGAAGAATGGCGTTTCAGCTACGATGAAGCACTTTGCTTGTAATGATATGGAGAGTGCGCGTATGGCTGTTGATGTACAAGTGACGGAGCGAGCGCTGAGGGAAGTGTATCTTCTTCCGTTCATGATTGCCGCTGAGATGGCGAGTCCAAGAGTCTTCATGACGGCCTACAACAAAGTTAACGGTACGCACGCGCCAGATAACCATCACTTGCTGCAAGACATCCTTCGCGATGAGTGGAAATGGGATGGATTAGTTGTGAGCGATTGGTTCGGCACGTACAGTACAACTGAGGCCATCAACGCGGGGCAAGATCTCGAAATGCCAGGTCATACAAGGTGGCGTGGCGAAACATTGGTGCACGCTGTTACGTCTAATAAGGTCAAGAGATCAACTTTGGATGAGCGTGTGAGGAATGTCTTGAAGTTGGTCAAGCATTCTATCGAAAATACGAGTATCCCACCAAACGCGCCGGAGACTCAACTCCAGAGCGATGAGAATACTCGGCTTCTTCGAGAAGCTGCTGCTGAGTCTGTTGTGCTTCTTAAGAATGACAGGGGAACCCTACCACTGGACCCAGCCAAGAAGGTGGCAGTGATTGGACCAAATGCCGACATCAGCACTTATTGTGGTGGTGGAAGTGCAAGCCTTCGAGCGTACCATACTGTCTGTCCACTCGAGGGCATCAGGGGTATTGCGAAGGAGGTGTCTTTCACCAAGGGACTTTACGGTCACCGGTCGCTACCTCAAATCGGAAAACTTCTGAAGACAATTGATGGACAGCAACAAGGCTTTACTCTTCGCATATACAACGATCCGCCTCCCAGTTCCGGACCAGATACACGTAAAGTCCTCGAGAATAGAATCCTTGACGACTCAAATATCTGGTTTGTGGACTATGAGCATCCATCGCTGGAGCAGATCTGGTACGCCGAGATTCAAGGTATCTTCACACCAGAGAAGTCTGGAGAATGGGACTTTGGTCTTTGCGTCCACGGCACTGGCGAGCTCTTCATTGATGGTGAGCTGGTGGTCTCAAATGTTACCGATCAACAACCAGGCAGTTCCTTCCTTGGTTGCGGTACCGTAGAGAAGATAGGGAGCAAGATGCTTGAGGGTGGTAAGAGTTACAACGTGGTCGTGCGCTGGGGCTGCGACAAGACTTCTGATCTCAAGGTCTCGGGAGTCGTTGACTTTGGACAAGGCGGTATGCGCCTTGGCGGATGCCCCAAACTTGAGCCGCTACAGGCATTCCAAGAAGCTGTTGAGTTGGCCAAGAGCGCAGATCAAGTCGTTCTTTGTGTTGGAACGAGTGGGGAGTGGGAGAGTGAAGGTCAAGATCGAGCAAACATGTCTCTTCCTCCCGGCAGCGATGATCTGATCTCCGCAGTGCTACAAGCGAACCCCAACACGGTGGTACTCATCCAGAGTGGTACGCCTGTTTCAATGCCGTGGGTGGACCAAGCTAGCACTATTGCGCAAGCGTGGTTTGGCGGCAATGAGGCCGGCAACGGAATCGCAGATGTGTTATTTGGTGTTGTCAACCCTGTAGGTCAACCCTCAACTCAGTTAAGTTCTCAACTAATAGTGTTAGTCCGGAAAACTTCCCATTACCATGCCTAAGCGTGTAGCGGAAAACCCCAGTGCCTTGAGCTTCCGATCAGAGGGAGGTCGAGTGCTGTACAGTGAAGACGTGCATGTCGGCTATCGCTGGTATGACACATTAGAGATCGATCCCTTGTTTCCGTTTGGACATGGCCTATCTTATACTACCTTTGAGCTTTCTGACTTGCAGATTGAAGAGCATGGAGAGTCTGAGAGCAAGACGGTGGTTGTGAGTGTCAATGTGACCAACACTGGCTCGCGATCGGGCGCTGCTGTTGTGCAAGTTTATGTCAAGCCACCTCACCCAACGCCGCTCACAGCCTCTGCTCTTGATACAATTACGAGATCTAGCAAAGAGCTCAAGGGATTCGCCAAGATACATCTTGAGGCAGGGGCAAGCGGTAGGGCAAAGATTCAGCTGGATGTGCTTCGTGCGACAAGCTATTGGAGCGAGAGGGAGGATTGTTGGCGCAGTGATGGGGGAGACTATACGGTTCTTGTTGGTATGAGCAGTAGGTGTGAGTTTCTGGACAAGACGTTTACGGTTAGAAAGTCTACGACATGGAAGGGACTTCGGTCATGACGAAAGTTAACTACCCTGCATTTAAATATACAGGTTTGATAAATTATCAATCAGTCAGTGATTAATCTGATGCTACAAGAAATACTAACTCATATATGTTACCTGCATTGAATGGCTTCCTATCATTTTTCCCTAATTTCGTTTTAACTAATACTTGGTGGAAGATGAAAATCAAGAGATTCTCATGTTTGTGAGCTCCATTGAACGAACAAGATACTGTGAACAATTCAATGATGCCTTCACAGCACTCAACCAAATCCGTAGCGGGTTATCGTGACAAGTCAAACTTGATTAGCTTTTCAATAGTTCAGACTCATACTAGCCGAATTGATGCCGTCCGATTGATCTATGGCATCGTCCTTTTCACCGAATCCTTGGAAGTTCCCCACCAGTTTAGGCGTAGAATTGCGGCTCCGACCAAAATGAGCTAACGAAAAAGTCCAAGCGGCACATGACGCTCACTGAACACTACTGCGGGTCTTGTTTAACTCCGCAGTCTGTATTTCTCCGCCTCGTCAACCCCAGAAAGTTGTCCCGACTGATCGGTTACCTATCATGGCAGCGACAGACGCAGACCCCAGTACATCATTGCTGTCAACTGACAATGAAGCCGATGAGTCTATCACAGTTGGCCGAGAAAAGGCGAGGCAGTTGAGTACCAGGGCATGTGATGCTTGTCGCGCTCGGCGGAGGAAGTGCGTGTTTCCGAGAGATGGTGCAGGAACAGCGTCGCATTGCGTGGGATGCTCGAGACTGCATATTCAGTGTAGCTTTGATATACCTACGAGGCCTAGAGGCCCGAAGAGAAGAAGGTGAACAGACCGAAATCTTGGTTTTGTCGCGTCAAATGAAGGCTGGCTAACAAGTAACAGGACTCAGCTACCAGCAGTTATTTCTCCAGAATTACACGTCGAGAGCCCGACCCATTACGAAGAAGAAGAAACACTCCATACAGAAGTCCCGACACCTCTCGGCAATTCTCATCTAAGTCTGGCATTCGGATCATCACCAAATACACCATCACCATGCCGCCCACCGATCCATGGTCCCGTCGCGCATCTCAGCCAGCCTCAAAATGTCGAATACTTCGATCATCAGTTCCAAACCGATGAGATCTGTCCTCGGAGTTTGTTCATGACTATCATGGCGGATTACATCGATCATATTTACCCGCTTGTTCCTGTCGTACATCTCCCAACCTTCCGTAACGACTTAGCATCGAATAAGGATATCACCGACCTCGATACTCTGCTACTCTTGGTTTCAATCGCCGCTTTGACGGTGGGCTTGCTACCATCAAAGTTTGACAGTTATCACGCCCTGGCCGCCCGCTTCGGTACTCGGACGGCCATGATCAGCCGCTGTTCTCAGATGTGCATTCGTCTTCGCCCTGCAGATTACTGGGATCATATCAGCCATCGAAAGTGGGCTATGACTTATTGTCTGTCGATAGGCGTATTTCAGGTTGGACAGATCAATCAGAGTCGCATGTTTGAAGCAGAGTCAATGCAGCTTGCACGATTGCTAGGTATGCATCTCGTTTCTGAGTACGAGGGCTTGAACCCCATTGAGACTCAACTACGGAAGAAGTCATTCTGGTTACAGCTCTACACTTTCGCGTAAGTTCATAATTGGGGACTTTTGGTCTCGACTTACGATTACGCAGACATTCCAAGATACAGCCCGGTAGATGTAATTACTTGACATATCTTGACAACTATACCCTTCGTGACGTCAACTTTGCTGCATTGGAACCTTTGAACATAGTCGATGAAAACATCACAGAAACTGGCATCGTTGGCCAACTCCCCTCAACACCATCCGTTGGGCTGCCAAACAACACCGACTCCGCTGATGATGCCCCATTTCACTCCACCACCGTGTTTATCATGGCCTCTCGCGCATTTCTTTTGGGGATGAGAGAGTCAATGTTCAATGATGGCTGCAACTGCGGTTTTGGTAGATCCCCAGAGGAACGTCTATCGAAGCTAAGAGACCTTCTTGATCAACTGAGGTATATACTAGATGGTCTGCCAACGCATATGCGCCAATGGGGACCGGGTGATAACTACCAGTCTTTCGACCGCAATGAGAACCGCCAAGGTGCTTTTACCGAATCTCATATCGAGCATTTGCAGAACGAGAGCACCAGAGCCAACTTGCACGTCAGTCACTTGTGGCTTCAGAACTTTCTCCTAGACAAGATGGATGTCGCCTTACAAGAGATGAAAGATAGAGAGGGAGATGACGCGTATATCACAACTCAACTTAAGCAAAACTGGAGAGACCGTGAAGACGTAGCCCGCCAACTACTTCACATCCTCCACAGCATCCCCCATGCGTACTTAGAGCCCAACGGTCTATATCTCGTAAGTCTCATCTCACCTTCTCGTCATGATGTTTCCAAACACTGATACTTTGTGCTAGATCTACAAAGTGCGTAGCATTGCTAGTTCTCTGCTGAACTGTCCATTTGAGACGGATAGGCAGCTTTCCCGGCGGGTTTCGGAGTACATACAGGAGTTTACAAAAGTGCTGTCATATCTCGATCGGAGCGAGATTGTGAACACCGACGGCCTTAGGAGTTGGATTGACGAGGGCCAGCATACGAATCATGACAGCTAGGACAGGGTGATCCTCTTCGGATGATTTGTAAAACAATCTCTCGCGATTTGATACAGATGCCACACAAAGGGTGCGTGCGTTGTGATCGTTGTTTTAGGTCGTAATAAGCGCGGCCATCCCGTAAGAGAACTTTTGACCTTAAACCCAAGGTACTAAAATTTCATAGTCTAAAGGCCTACTAAATTATACTAAACTTACCTAAACCTTTTTATCGCTTAGGGTAGAGGCGTTAGGCTTTTTTTGCCTCCCTACGTATTGTCTGTTACACATATGTAGAATCCCCCAGAAAAGGATATGCAGTTGAACAGAAGTAAGACAGCAAATAAAGATTTAGTTCCCTGTGCATCCATAGTCTTGGTCTGCTATGTAAGCCATTACATCCTGCTCATTCTCAGCTCTTCAATCCTAACAACACAACCCGATTTTGCAAACTAAACAACTCTGTCAGAATGAAGTCCCTTGGCTCGATTACCCTCGTCGTGACCTTGATCGGTCTATCCATCAAGCCCGTCTCAGCCCGCTGCTTTTGATCTTGGCGATGATGAATGCGTTTTGCGTCTTCAGAATGAGATCAATTCTTGTGCTCACGGAGGGAGCTCAGTTATTAGTGACTGGCTTTTTACGTAAGGTTTATCTTGTCTTAGATTAAGTATTGACTGATGAGATGATAGGGCCGACCCAAGTAACGGCATCTGTTGAGAAGTTGGACCAAGACTCATATTGTTTGACTCGGATGTAGAATTGACGTTTGGCTGTCAGTGGAGACTTGGCTATTTATCCCAGATTATGTTCACTCCAGGCCATGAGAATTCTACAAGTTCTCCAGGCCGAGAAGGTCATTTGATTTTTTTTACTTGTGTTTATTGGACAATTCATTGTCTATATAGATAAATCCCTTACACAACTATACAGCATCACTTGTTGAGTTTTGTGTTCATCACTTTACAAAAGATGGTATTTGGTGTCTTTCAGGTTATTTGTGCGTTGATGGGGTCAATGGAGAGCCCAATACATGCCTCGACATCTATGCTGCAATCTCAGATCCTTCTAAAGAGAGTTACAGCGAGCGGTCATAACACCAGAGACCCAACCGCCGACTGTGGCGCTCAAGTTACAGCCTAGTGAGGATCCCCCATCCCCCTCCGCACAGTTGCTATCGTAGTCGTCCGAATCATCCCCGCCAAACCAATCGTGCTTGTATATCTCCCGCTCGTTGACTGGGAAACCGTCCATCTCCCGCATCTACATAAATACATTTCGCGTGACCTGTTCTGAAATATCCCTATCTGGGTCTAGCCCTTTGTAGTCTATAAGACTAGCAGCTGCAGGATGACTTGACTTTAATAAAGGACGAATGATTGTAGTCAAGGCGGCTGCTTCTTAGACTTCCTTCTTCCTTCCTGCATAGTTCCAGGTGATCTTGGAGAACTCGAGTCTGTGTCTACCTAGGCATACTATATAAAGACGAATATCGAGGTCTAGATCTTTAACAGCCGTTAAGCCAAGAGGTGGATATAGGTAGATTGGTGGGAATCTGTATCTAGCTATCCCTTGGGTAAGGAAAGCTAGTATGAACTTATGCCTGCGTGAGATCGAAGTAGTGTCTTCTGGCTATTAAGGGACGTAATCCTGAATAAAGGAGATTAGAGTGCCAGTCCAAGTCGCTTCATGAATATCGATCCTATTGAGTCCGAGGAGTCCTCTGGGGCCTCTTAAGAAACCCCTATATAAGCCAGTAATAATGGCACCAAGCCATAGGAAACTCAGATAAGGGCTTTGAAGGGAGAATATCCAAGTTAGAATATCTAGGTTTTATATTAACCCTAACTAGAAGATAGTGGCAATACCTTATAACCATAGACCACAGGTATTGCATAGTATGCTAGGCTTATAGAAAATACTGCCAAGAATGGACTTTACTCTGTAAAGGTTATAGGATAAGGTAAGGAATCTATCGAAATGCCGGATATCTTGCCCATAGATTGGTTCCTCTATTGATTATGCACTTAACCTGATTCTTGAAGTTATAGTAGATATTCGTGGCACCAGAAGTAGGATGCTTATCCTATCATAGTTAGCCAACAGGAGTATAAGGGCTATTGCAAAAGCAATACGGTTTTAATCATAAGCGGAATAGAGTATATGATAGTCTGAAATATACTAAACTGCTATCTTAAGACTTAGGTAGCGTTAATAACTAGGCGTTTTACTCCTTAAGGCGCTAAATAATCATATAGCTAGAAGTGATTCCAATATTGAGGACTAAGGAGATATGAATTTATAGCATCTATACGATATGGAAGCCTTCTAACCTTAACTAGGCGAGATTAGAGCTGCCTACTATCATGCAGTATCGTCACTGATATTTCTAATATCTATAATTGCTTCTATATTATCGCAAGTATACGTGGCCAACTACTTGGCTTAACTATTAGTATACTCTAGTAGCGATACTTGAGAGAAGATCTCGGCCTATCGCGCTAATAAAGCATACGCCTATGCGAGAATAAGGACTATAAGATAATTATTACTTTACTTAAACCAGATAGATGGTAGGAGAGGCGATTTAGTTGGGGTAAATAATCTAGTAGGCGTAGTAATATGCGGCAAAATTCGAAAAGGCTGCTTAAAGGGCGGTAAATTACAGGACCCTGTCCTAGGAACCTATGTTAATATGGCTATTAGTAACCTAGTAGCATCGAGTTCAAGTCCGATCAGAAAGTAAGGGTGCTGAGGGAAGAGATACTCGACCTATAAGCTGGCTAATAAAATTCGAGGATCTTCAGATACCTGCTTGAATAAAGCTAACCAGGTATTGTACCCTTTCTCATAGAAAATACGAAAAAGGAAGTCATCGAGCCGCAGAGGGTCATTCGCCATTGTTCTTTGTTTGACATCTTTGGAAATGAAAGTGGAATGCGGTTAGTGGAGAATCATATGTAATTAAAAGTATATGCGACTAACGGTTATATATACTATCGGGGAAACACAACCAACAACCAACATCAGGCCAGGTATTGGTTCTTGCCGCCTGGAGCTTTTTACACTTCACAGTCGGCTAAGCGCCATAATCTATCTAGCTCTAATTAAAGATGGACTTTTGCCGCCAAGATAACGCATATGACTTAAGGAATTAGATATTAGCCCGACCTTGCTCTTTAATAGGCACTTACTAAATAGAAGGATGGCGGTTAGGATAAGTGGAGTGACTCGATATGAACTTGATTATATATATAAAGAGCATTCAAGTAGAACTGTAGAAGTTAGAGAATAGACAAAAGATTACTGTCTAAACCCTTGAATCTGAGTATAGTTGCTTCCCTGTATCTAAATGCTGCGCTTGATGGATTTGGAGGCTGAAGAATGCTGTCGATGTCCATGCTTGCCTCTGCTTGGATTTCTGTAGCAAAAAGGCTGGTGATGAAAGTCTCGCTGCAGGCCACAACACAGACTCCTTGGAGCGCTGAGAAAAGAGAAGAATGTTGGGGTGCAGTAACGATGACAAATGCGTCAACATCAGTAATAATGCCCTCGAGTCAGTGCTGTGGATGGGTTGATCTGGACACCTCCTTAAAGCGTATACTGCTTATAGAAAATCAGATTTGGGGCCCATATTTTACTGGGCATTGTATACTCGCTTCTCCCGTGGATTTGAGCTGTTTTGGTGAGATTGTTCAGCGCCGAGTCTTTGCCTTTCAGTATTTTGAGGCTTTCGAAAGACAGAAGGTGTTCTCAGACTCTGATATGCAGTTCGACTTGAAGGCTTGCCCTGAAGATTTGCTTGACACCTGGGGTCCTGGAGATTTCATCATGCCAAAAAATGACTCAGAAAACCTCCATGCAATATCGATTGGTGGTGGCCTAATTATCTCCACCTCTACAGAAAACCACCAGTTGCCCATTCTGCACTGGAGCCGTGCATCGGAGGGCAACACAATATCCTCTTCAACTTTCCCTCGCAATGAAAAGATGTTCATCGGGTCAAGAGTCTCGATAAACCAGGCCTGCAGGGTCACCCCACAGGAACAAGTTCAGATGGCTATTCCATGGTTGAAGGAGCTAGTAACATTCCCAAGCTACTGAGAAGTGTCTGAAAGGCAGCTAGGTCTTGGCTTACAGGGCGGACAAAGCGTTGTGGGAATAATGAACTTCGCCCAGACGTGGGTAAAGAGACTGGGCCAGACCAAGAAGTCCAACATTCTCGCCAAGAGATCGCTTTCCATCGCCGATCTAGAAGGGCCTTTCGCTGTCCAGGTTAGCTTTTGTACTGGCATCGCCCGACGGGTGCGGCTGCGAGAGCTCCTCGCCGATGTCCTACCCGCTTACGTTGCAGACCTCGCTACCCAGCCCTATTACTGGAAGAGACTTCAAGGCTGTAACATCCTGCAGATATTGCGAGATGGCGATTTTAGAGCACGCTACCAAAAGCTAGACCGTGAACTGCAAGCAAAATTCGAGACTCTCGCTATCGCTGTCCTGTTTCTATTGCAAGACACGGGTGTAGATACGAAGGGTGAAAAGTTCGTTGTTGGTTGCGCCCCGTTGGAATTAATAGTCCAATGCTTCAAAATACCCATTGAGAAGGAGAGCTTCTGGGCTCGAATACTTGCCGACTCTGAGGACGTAGCGACCTTCGCTTACGTGGCGACGAGGTGCTTCGAAACGGACCTGGTTAGATGTCGAGGTCCGAACGAGCCATGGGTGAACACAACAGCCCTGTTCTGGGCAGCTGTATCACTGTGTCAAGGCCGGCTAGTCAAGGAGGGAATAACAGCACAACAGACAAATTGGACTTTGAAGGATTCAGAGGCGTATCTTATCGGGCGAGCCGACGCACCATTACTTGTTCGAGTCATTCGACCCAGTGTCCAGAACGAGCCAGAATTGCTGATTTCGATGAGCACAATTATAGCTCCGTTTTTGAGAAGGTGGAACAGGAAGGTGGGATACAGAAGGCCATGGAGGTTGCGAGAAAGCAGAGCTATAGATCATCAGCATCAGATGGCTGAGAGTGTTGTGGTGACTGCTGACTTTGGGACTTCATAATGAATGAATGATAGGATACAATCGGTTCTTATGTTTTCGATTTTGCAATACGTAGACAATATTTCGGTAACGTATTATATATAGGGGGGTTTTCATTTTATAATAACTAGCGTTAAGGAAAAAACGACCTTTAGGTAATTTAATTGTCAAGAAATGAATTCAGGCTCTATAACCTTATGTAATTCCACTTAAAGATAAATAACATTATTAATTATTATGTGCCTTAAAATTTTACCTGGACATTATATAGCCTTGTAGATGGTATATTTCTTTTATCTCTGCAATTTGACCGGCGTTTGCTAGACAGCGGCCAAATAGCAAATGCGTGAGCGGATATAGAACGGCAATAATTCGAAAGGCCTGGGAACGTCCAAGTCCGATAGAGCTACGATAAGATGGGTGTGAGGTGACTGTCCATGTTTCATATCATGAACGTCCCGAATTTGCGTTGGAGAATATCAGAAGGACAAGTATTCATTGGTACTCATGAATCCAAGCCCCCAGCTTCTAAATACCTGACGGAAAATTCTATACGGGCGATGGTAATAAAACTGGCTTAACCTCATACTATCGGCCGAGCCGACCAGGCCTCAGAATCACGTGCGAGTCTGGTGATGCCCCTCCCTTGCCTCAAGCATCTGATCAATTATATCCATCACCGTCAAAAAGTAACCCCATCTCATCCTATATAACATATTGCATTTCACATTTTTGTCACACACAATTATAAGCTCTAAATCATTTCATTTTCGAAACCGTTTCATCCTCAAGTTATAGCCAAAACACCACTTTTCACTTCCCCCGCCTCAGATCAAACCCTAAAAAGCAAAAAAGCACACCACAACGCGCCATGCCATTGCCAGAACCACGCGAGCTCACTCCTCGGGTCTGCGAGTTGGAAACCTGTAGCGAGACAGACAAAGATCTTCTCAAGCGCTGCTCAAGCTGCAAAGTCGCCTACTACTGCGGAGCATCCCATCAAACAGCTGATCGAAGCCGTCACAAAAATGGCTGTGCCATCATCAAAAAAGCACGCAAGGCGGTAGAGAAGGAAGAGCAGGAGCTTCGCGATCATCCGGGAGATATGTTCACCCCTCCGAATATCTTTGAGAATGGCGTTGGGCACTTTTGGGGTATTCATGAGACGCGCGCGTACATGCGTGCGCGATATCATATGGTCGATGTGTTGCTTCAGGTTTTTGGTACGCCAGGTGGTAAGATTGATGCTGTTCAAGAGGCGTTGGATCATCTCCTTGATATGCTTCGTCTTTGTCGGGGCGATAACATGGGTGTGAGGGATCTTGTGCCGCATTTGTACATTCGGCTCAGCAGGGATCAGGAAGCCTACGATTTCGTCGAATGGTATGCTACTACTGGCTCCGAGTCCAAGTACGATTGGGGTGACATGGATCAGCCATACCTCGATGTCAAGGATGCGGATGTTTTGGAAGAACCATTGGAGGCTTGGTCAAACGGGAAATATCTCAGCTTAGGCCACGTGGCAGCTGTGACGCTCATAAAAGTGAGAATCCTGCTTGACTTACAGTCTGCTCAGAACACCACCCGGGCCCTCAACGGTACTATCCCGCCAGAGATCATCGAACTTATACGCAGTGAGCTCGTCGGCAGTGCTGTGGCGTCACGTCCGCAGATCCTCATGGGCAGCACAGAACATCTCTCCAAGCTCATCAAGAAGCTTAAGGACCAGATTGTTAAGCTTTATAGATCTGTGAACGAGTATAACCCTCACTTCTGGCGCTTGATGCTGAGAAGTCCAGTATCGGCAGCTTCGCAAAGACCTGGGATGTACTCACCTGAAACGAAGGAGGAAGCATGTTTGATGATTGGATACTGCCTTGCTTCTTGGGTTGAGACCCCCGGAGCGTTTCAGTTGATGAAGGATTTAAGTGAAACTGTTTAGGGGAAGTAGGTGTTCGGTTCTTTTTGGTCATGTTATGGCTATCAGGTTGTACCATTATATGATCGCTACTGTGGGGCACAGCCCCTCTTCTATCCTCAGAAATACAATCTGGCTCTGGCCGCCTCATTTTGCTACTCCGGTAATGACGAGGTTCGCGCGTTTGAGCGGGAAGAAAATGAATTAAGGGTGCAGACAGATGCTGTTATAGCCCTGAGACCAAGATATAATAGGATCCTAGCTCGTCTCTAGAACAATCTTCCTCCTAAGCCTCACAATCCACACAGCATACAACAGCCAACAAATGACAACACTGACCAGTCTGCCAGTGGCGACGCCTCCGAACTGCTCTGGCCGGCTCCATATTGCGGTGGAAGCCCACCGGCTGATTTCTGCGGCACTGGCGAAGGTCGTCTCGACGCCTGCAAACCCGACACGGCGCGCTGCCGACACCCGTGTCTGGACAATCTGCTGGACAGCAACATTGTGCGTCCAGGAGCCAAACCCACTGAATCCCAGGGACAATAAAATCGACGCCGAAAGTAGCGGGAAGGCAGATGCTGGATCTGTCGTGTTAATAGGCACCAGTACGAGGGCGATATAACAAGGGATCGTAAAAGCGAATTGTGTGGAGACGCCGGAAAGGCCAAGTGCTGCGATGGGGTCGGGGATAAGGCTGAGGGGATATTTGGCAAGGAAGCTGGCGGCTATGGGGAAGGTTATGGTCGAGGAGTTCTCCATGATTGATATGACGGTGCGGGCGAAGGTAATAAGTGAGAGTGAGTAATGTCGACTCAACAGATACGTAGTCATGGAACCAGACAGAGATAGGACAGAGAAGGGCTGTAAGGCCGTTGACAGGGAGGCTAGGAGTTTGTCAGTAGACCTGTTTTAAGCTTGAGAGTGAGATGTTATACCCAGGCAAACATCATTGGTGAAGTAGAGTGCGAGGCTGTTCTTTTGGACTTCCGGCTCGCTCATGCCTTCTTGGTCACTTCCCTGTTCAGATCCTGCAGCATCTGGTTGACTGGCACGTTCCCGTTGAAGTACAGGACAGTGGTTCCAAGCACTTCTAGCAGAGATCAGCTCGATTCCAACCGTCATCATATTCAGTCCTGCAGTAATCGCTGCAAGGACTGCGGAACTCTCTTGTGCAGCAACCCTAGAAACGAAGATCGGAGCCAGCATCTTGGAGGTCAAGTCTATGCGTCTCATAACGGCATTCAGGTGGTGCAGCGGCGGCTCCGAGCATTCTGAGGCAATGGTAGGAACCCAGTCTCTCTCCATGACGAACTGGTTACCCACAGCGCACACCCTCTCGATGATGCTGCACGAGATAACGACTGCTACCAGGAATGTTTTCAAGAACCAGCTGCATATCCATCCCGGAAGGTCGGGATTAATGCACTTAGTCGCCCGGGTAAGTGAAGCTGGCGAGAGGAACAGAGAGATCCACAAAATGCATGCTACTAAAATGCAGATACGCTGGACCAGGATTGTTTTCTGGATAGTCCGGAACCTTGATGCGTTCCGATCAACCCAATTCCAATGGTGGGGGATAGTAGAAGCGTAGCCGAGTGTACGTTCCTATTCTCAGGCTCCCTCTCCTCTTGCCAGAGTCTCACCATCGTACCCTATCTCGACATTCAGCAATCTGCGCATCGGGACTGGACAATCAAAATAGCTCTAACTTGGCCCTGCTGCGCTCGCGTTTGAATCTTCCCAATGGAAATCTAATCCAGGTTCGTTCTTTATGGTTATATCGGGCAAGCCGCGCTAGTCTCGAGATGTTTCGCGTGGTACGTTACCTGAAACGCGTCCCCTCACTCTCGCGAGGTTGACCCTGCGCAGGCATGATGCTGAGCGAAATGTCGATGAGTGGTGACAAGAAGCCATTGATGCTGTCATTATTGCCAACGGTACAATTCTCGGTTCCATATGTACGTTGAGATTCCCTCCGTCCTTCGAGTTACTCGCATCGTAGTAGGTCCCAGAGTCCAACGGATTAAGCCAATACATCGAAAGATATCCAGGTCGTGTTATGCACTCCAAGTACTATTGCCAGCCTCTCCCCTTCAAAAACAAGAAGATGCTCATCATTGGCAATGCTCTATCTGGGCGAGATATAGCAGAAGAACTACTCAAGGTTGCTCAACTACCGGTATATGTCTTCTGGAGACATAAGTCCATTTGGGAGGGATCAGATCCCGAACGAGGGATTGAATGGAGGCCTGTCATCAAGAGTATGTGGCTGAGTCAGGTCAAATGATATTCAACGACGGTTCATCTCTTGCAGGTATTGACCGTGTTATCTACTGTACCGGTTATAAGCCCTCATTTCCGTTCTGGAACATCGAGACCAACGGAGGACATCTATATGACTACGACAAAGCCAAACTCAACGGAAGCTTCTTGCGTACTTTCTTTCAGGATCATCTAACACTCGGAATCATCGGCTTTGGGCAAACACTTGCGTTCCGCAGCTACGAGTACCAGGTCATTGCCCTTGCAAGAGTCTTTTCTGGTAGGAATGCGACGCCTGTTCCGACAGGTCCAGAACATGAAGACTGGGAACGATCATGGGAGAAGCATACCAAAAAAGGATGGAATCGACTTCCACACCGTCCATTTTGAAAATGGCGATCTGCTCAGACGGTATGATAAGCTATCAAACATAGCTGGGTTGCCCATATGTAGCAAAGGAAGAGTCCCCCCTGCTTTCACGGACGAGGCTATGTCGCAGTTGAAAAATGTCAGAAGGTTGCATGAGCCTACCAATTATTGTCTGTTCAGCCGAAGATCCGGGAGATTCTGGGCAAGGTATTGCCGCCCTTGGCAAACCTGATATAAAGTCAGAGGAGACTCCAACACCTAATATCCAAGCAGAGGCCCAGAATGGGTCCAATCAAGGCTCATATTGTTGCTATGTTGCCCTCACCATGGCTGCGCGAGTACTAGACGCTTCGACAGCAAGGGAGACGATCCAGAGAGTTCGTAGTGGCGTGAATTTGGATGACCTTATCTTGAATATCAAATCACTCAAGCCGCCAACAGAGAGTCAGCCACGGAAAACCGGCATGCTAGACAAGTCGGGGTATCATCAAGTTATGCACTACTGGGCTGTCTCATGGCTACTGCATACGTCAACCAGTGTTTCGCTATTCAGACTTTGTATCTCGACCGAGCTATAAGTAACCTCGAAATTGCAGCTTTCAAGATGCCAGACACCCCTTTCAAGGAATTTCGCCAGTACCTCTAAAAGATACGTAAAGACGTACATCAGCTACAGGTCTTTTTTCATCGTATCGAAATGGAAGATGACCCATCGATAGACTCTGTTCTCTGTGCTATTTGCCTAGAACTCAAACCTATTATTGGCTTCCATGAAAATGAGTATCCATATCACAAAATGGACTTTAGATGGGTTTGTAAGAAAGCCGCAATGAGATGCAGAGTCTGTACACTTTTCAGAGATGCCACCACCTCGATATACCCGCTTTACAATATGTCATGGCCAGATATCTAGGGGGTAAACTACAGCAACCGCTCCGTTGGCCGTCGTTGGTTCGGCGATACAGAAGATATTCTTGCCAATGTCTTATGGGGTCGTGATGGAGCTCTCAAGATTAAGCTTGTTTCTTTTTATCTTGGCGCCGAAGAGCCCTTAATTGCTGGTTATGCGCTGTACCGCTTACCAGGTAATTATGCCCCAACCACCAAGAATGAAGCAAGCTTAAATACTGACAAGTCCTCAGGCACTGTACCTCCTTGGAACATTATTGGCACAGGAACTCATGTTAAGACCAAAGTCACCTCACCGGAAGCCTGGGAGATGATCCGCGACTGGATCGGAGATTGTGTCAATAACCACAAAGAATGCAAAGTTGTCAGCGAAGACCGGCCATTTCCGACTCGTATAGTGACTGTTGGAGATGACGACACCGAGCCTCATCTCCGTATACCTAGCCCCCGATGAGCGCGGCAGATACATCGCTCTCAGCCATTGTTGGGGGGACGTGATGCCCCTCAAGACCACCAAAGCCACTTTCGTCGAGTTCTGCCACAGCATCAACTTTGCCCGATTTCCAAAGGCATTCCAAGACGCGATAATCGTCTGCCGAAAACTCAATATTGAGTATCTGTGGATAGATTCTCTGTGCATCATTCAGGATGATGAACATGATTGGGCTGTTGAGTCACCCAAGATGTGCGGTGTCTATTAAAATGCATATCTCACCATCGCTGCTGCCGCAGAACGCAATAGCAGCGAGGGTCTCTTCCACCCGTGGCCCTTGAGCGTTCGAAAGTTATTTCCTACCGCCTTCGAGAATGACAACAAAGTTGAAGAGGCTGAGATCTTCGCGAGGCCGTGGAATTCACAGCGGCACTGGATCGACAGCATCGGCGACGGGCCATGGTATCGCGTCCCGAACCCACTTGAGCAGCGAGCATGGACGCTACAAGAGCATGTGCTATCCCGTCGAATCCTCCGCTTTACCGGTCATAAGCTAATCTGGCATTGTCTTGAGGTGCATCTATGCGAGTGTCGTCCAGGATCACACATGGGGAAAGAGTCGCTGAAGCTCATCAACTTAGACGCCATGGTGGCGGTTAGCAAGCCCTTTTATGCTTCACGGGCGATGAACCCGTTGGTTGTCTGGCTCGAGATCATTGGTCCATTCACTAGACGTGCTATCACTCGCGAGACAGACCGACTCCCTGCCGTCTCAGGAGTTGCTGCTGCACTTACCACCTTAACGAAGACAGAGTATGTCGCTGGGATGTGGAGGGATAGACTCGGAACGTCGGTATGCTGGCAAGTCGAAGAGGCCGGAACATTGAGGCATGAGGCATACTACGCACCAACTTGGTCTTGGGCTTCAGTTGTAGGATCTGTGCAAACTGAGTACACTGTTCAAATGAACCAACTGCCGCAAACGAAAGTAGTTGACGTACAGTATACGCCAGTAACCCCAAACCCCTATGGCAGTGTTTCTTACGCAAAGTTGACTATTGCTGGCATTGTGTCGAATGTTTCGGTGTCATGGCTGGATCCCCACCCTGATGACGGGACACTTTTTCAGATGTAACTCCGCAATAGCTCACTCCTAGAGAAGGACACCAAGTTGTCAATGGAATGTTTTGCATTTCCTGATATATTAACGACATCGGGAGAGATTCCAGAGTTAAGGGTTGGGGACACTATTGCCTTTCTACTTCTCGCGTGCAAGCTATACGGACAACGGTTTGACAACATGGTTGGAACCCTACTAAACGAGGTTCCCGCGGATGAAAGTAACACTGGAGGCACTGTATACCGAAAGGTTGGCACTGGGGAAATTAAGCTACGAAACAGTACCAGAGACGAAGGCGAGTTAAGGGGGACAGCGGTTGAGGGTCTTGCCTGGTACATGGCAAATCAATCACCTTCATTCACAGGGCTGTGTAGCAACAGTAACCATCTTGTAATAGTACCTTAAGAGTTTGTCAGCTTGTTTCAACTCAGTTATGCGATAAATATATGCGAATTCCCCAGACTTTCAACTTAACCTAGAGTATACGATGAAGTACCTCGGGTATACATATCCTTGCTCAGGCCCATACGAAGACAACCGAGCCGCTCCCATTGGCATGCTCGCATTTTGAAACATCTAGCCCCCAAAAGAGCCAAGTGTACCCGTCGATCCTAACTATCTTCGAGATTACAGACCCTCCTGAACAAGGATGATATTCCTACCAGCGCCGAACCCGCCGCAACAACTGAAGCGAAATCCGCATTTCTTAAAAGCAGGCCCAAAATCCTTCATCGCGTCTAAAAACAACACTTCTATTGGCGTCCTCGTTTAGAAAAATCTCCGTCGTGCTTACGCCAAGGTCATCAGATAAAACATGCGACAAGCGCACTGCAAGGTAAAGACAGGATGTCTGACATGCAAGTAAGTAGAATCTCTGAAACACTAGTGCCCGCTCTAATGGATCTTGTTCTAGAATTCGGAGAGTTAAATGCGATGAGAAAAAGCCAGCTTGTCATCGCTGCACAAGCACTGGTCGGAAATGCGATGGCTACACGCTCGTGCAGAAGACCAACCCGCCAGATGTGGCGCATGGTCGGATGTTATTGCCGCCTGTCTCTGCTATTAATTCACAATCCCTGCTTCCTGTTGAAGAACGAAGGGCGCTCCGGTATTTTCACAGTGTTATTTCACCGCGGTTGTCGAGTGCTAGGGATGGCTACTTCTGGACCCATCTTGTGATGCAGCTCAGCGAGTCAGAGGTCGTTGTGAAACACACCATCTTATCGATAAGCTCATTGTTCGAATCATCTGAAGGGAAGAATGTGGCGCCATACACGGAGAGATTTGCTTTGCAGCATTACACAGCGGCGATTCAACGGCTCAAGACGATTCACAGCGAGCCTCTAGTGTTACTCGTGTGCATCTTGTTCATCTGCGTTGAGTATCTGTTAGCGAATAACAAGATTGCGCTACAACATTGCCAACATGGTCTTGCAATCATGGAAAAATGTAGCAATCCTTGGGCTCGGCGGCATCTCCTACCTGTTTTCAGACGGATGACAGCTGTGCCTATGCTTTTTGGTCCAGAGGACATAGAAAGCGAAAGTATGCCAGCGTTGACCTACATGATACCGACCAAGTTTTACTGCATGGAAGACGCACAATACATGATGGACGATATCTTCAACCGAGTGGTACGGCTCTGCCACATGAGGCATCGCGGAGTTGTCTTCGACATGACAGAGGAGTACAACACCGTCGCCACTCATCTACAGACCTGGCAAACGCTATTCGAAAAGCTCGAAGTCGATACGACCTCTTTATTGTACCAAGCTCAAGAGAGATCACTCTTTATGCGTCTCAAACTCTGTTATCTCGAGTTATGTGCCGACTTCCGACCTGATGAACACATGGGCACATTTCGCCAAGTGCTGCAACTAGCGAGCTGGCAAAGTCAAAGGTCTACTAAACAATCTACGTATGAGCTGGCATACACTCCAATGCTGTTCTTTGTAATTATGAAGTGCCCTGATTTGAGCATTCGACTTCCTGCCCTGCGGTTAATGAAGCAGCTGGGGTCGCCGACGGAGGGTCTGTGTGAGAACTTACAAATGCTAACTACGAGCCGGGAGATAATACAAGATGAACATAAGCTGGAAATAATTAACTTTGACATGGAGATCAGTGGGTAGATTCTGACTGCAAGCCGCCATTGATGTTTCAATAAAGCGTTCCAACATCTTTTCATAAAAGTATATTTGTTATAGCCGAGGACACGTTGTAGATGCTTCCTATTGTAACATATAAGAAGTTCTGCAGCTATTCCAGAAGGTTTCGGCAGTTGGTGTATGGTATCACTTTGGAAGCATGACTCGTAATGGCAATATACGCAAACTCAATTCCTCGTTCCAAAGTCCACACGCATAACTGACAAGCCTTATAAGGTTCACGAGTCCCGCTGTCATCTTAACGCGATACGACGTTAGAAAATCTATTTATATTGCCTTTATCCCCGAACTTCTTCACATCGTATCACTCTTTACCAAGTCGTTCGTTTCGCAAACTCACCTCAAGTCTCTCATTTCACCATGAAGTTCTTCGCTGTTACTATTCTCGCCATGGTCTCAGGCACCTTGGCAATGCCCGTTGCAGGTCCCAATGGCCGAACCATCAACTACGAAGGGTTGAAGGGCCCTACGAACACGAACCCTCAGCCTTATAAACCTGACCGTCCTTGCTTGCCTAGTCACCAATGCCGTGGAAAGAACTAAGATCGCAGCACTGCATTTCGAGCAAGTCTATCAAGAGGAATTGCTGAAATTTCTGATACTAACGGTAGTGATTAGACCAATGATCCGATGGAAACACCTGCATCTGGACCTGCTTAGACAACATAAATGTGACAGATTCTTGTCATGCTGGGGTAGAAGGCGCAGCAAAGTTTGTTCAGTTCTTGTCCACTTCTAGGTGTGACTACTATTCTTTTAGACTACATATATATCTACACTCGATGGACTTTAACTCGCACAAAATCACTTATAGATTAATACCATTTGAGTCACTACCGCCATGGTTCTCGTTTATTGACGCATAAGCGAATCTAGGATTAGACCATGACGGTTCCCACTAATAATACGAGAAGCGAGATAGACACAGAAGGAGCCTGCACCATCCAGTCGCTTGGATGTTGTCCGCGCTATCAGATCAATAAAACTTTCGCAATATCTGCTCAGTCTCTTCTGGCCTTGTTTTGTACCACTTCCAAGTGATGACCTGATATCCTGCCCCATGATGTTTGCTCTATTGGTATCCAGAAGCCTCTGAAGACTAATGGCGGATCGTCCGGCGGATCGCGGAGATCCCGCCATGGAGGCCAGCAGCCCAGGAGATCCAGACCCCTCTGATCTCGGAAACGATCCATTCTGCTTCGTCGTTCATGGGATGACTGGTCGTCAGCCCCAGGCCGTTCCGTTGCGCTAAGAAAGACACTATTGCACGGGAGCGGGGGAAGATCCCCAGATAATCGAGATAGCGCCTGCGAGGAACTAAAAACAGCCATTCACGGCTCAGGAGAGGCTATGCATGTTTCAAACACTGATCGATAGTGTAAACCTTTGCGACACGCTATCTAATATCTCGCGATCAGGCGGGGCAAGACCGTTCTCTTTCGGAAGAGATTGGTGAATATTGTACATCGCTCAGCCATTTGCGGTATGCTGACGTGCTGATATTACCCAAATCGTTACATTCGGCATCTAAACGACACATGTAGACTTTGTGGCTGGCTTGGAAAGACTGAATTGAAGTGCAAAGATATCTCTCAGCCGCACGTCCCGTCCCATGATCTCGGATCCATGCAGCCTCCTCAATCTTCATTAAAATCTGACTTTACAAACAACCGACCCGTCTCCGTATGATGAACCTGCACGTTATCCAACTACAAGACATTAAAGTCAATCAGACAACTCCTAGTCTCAAGGCCTTTCGGAGTAGGTGAGCGCACATCGTAGTCCCCTACACCCGGTGTGATCTTGGGCGTATCGGCGAACAAAGCGTAACTCTGTGTGCTGCCTGTGGAGTTTGTGATAGTGATATTTCGTGGCTTGTCATTCGTCGACCATGACAAAGAGGCCGCCACGTCCGTGTCTAGAAGAGGCCTTTTCATGACGGGGATAGCTGTAGATTGAGAGAGGAGAATGCGCAGATCGAGAAGATATGAGCGAAAGTTGACTAAATGAGGGGTTGGCTTGTTGTTTATTGTACGAGGTAGATATTCTGGCCACTAGCTCAAGAGATGTGCAGTTTTCAGCTTCGCGTTTAGCACATTCGTGATCCACTTTGGGCATAGTAAACAATGGTTTGAACTAGCTCGCGGCCAATTCAGCCAGCCACCTATGCATTATTGTGTCTGGACCACTTTCAGCTCAATGTACTGCTTATTGGCGCAAAGAGGGCGAAAGGATGCACTGTTTCATTGGAAATTATCATTCATGCAGGCTTTACCAAGTCTCGGCGCCTGGCCGAGAAACTGTATAAAGGCCCATACCCATTTCGCACCTGAGCAACTACCATCTCATTAGTTCTATAGTTGAAGCTTCTGACCTCCAGACATCTATCCATCACAGTACCAAGCAACCGCAAAAATGGGCAACAAATACACCATCCGCATCAACAACAACACCGGCAGTCCCCAGAATTACAACCTCCTAAGTGAAAAGCCTGAGATCTCGGGCGTCTCTAAGAGTAATGTATGGACAAGCGTTTACCAATCAAACGAGAGTTGTCCCGATGGAGCGACTGCCGAGTTCGAGATTTGGAAGTCGTACTATGGCATCATCGGCACCTGGAGGGGTGGCGCCAGGGATGGTGGCAGAGTCACCATCACCCAGACGAAGCCAGTGACCCTTGGCTCACAGTCTCCTGATGGCAGTCAGAACCCTGGAACGACTCTGAACATGGTTGTTGTCAACGGAAGGGTCCCTTCGTTTGACAGGGCCCTGGCGGAACCGTCTGCTTTCGTCAATGCCTTTGAAATCGACACCGGCAACGATTTCACCCTCGAGATGGCCACTGACAGTGAGTTCTCTCTTCTCCTCAGAACATAGGCAGTTCAAATTAGCTGACGTTGGTCTAAAGATAACTTCTTTGTTGGTGTGGCCGGCTCCCCCGATGGTGCTAGCAGCGTCCCGATTGCTACCTTCAGACCCGAGCCTGGTAACCAGTACCAGATCCAGCCTGCTAACATCTTCTACATCTCTGGTGGCCAGGCCATGCAAGTCGGCCAGTTGGTGGATGTAGCCAAGATGAGAAATCCGCTACGCATTGACTTCGCCACTAGCGGTCTCAACATCAACATCAACCATAGTCCGAATGGGCAGCTCGTCATTGCCAGGTAGTGGACTTTACAGCAGGGGGCGGAGGATTTAGGGCTATTATAGTAATGAACTAATTATTTCTAAATATTTGTGTTTCTATCCTTGTTTATGGACCTTGGAGCCTTACAAACTGGCTCTAGATAGAACTTCGGGTCTCGACAACCTCTGCGACGCCGGCAATAGATACACTGCCAATGATGTCGAAGACAGCTACTGTAGAACTAAACTCCTTGTTAATCCAATTCCTCAACTCAACCGCCATCAGTGAGTCAACTCCATAAGATGACAGTGGCTTGCTTGGCTCGACGTCGTCAGGCGAGATAGACATGGCTCGTGCAAGCTTCGCTGCTATAGCACGCATGACCACTTGCTGTCGCTCTCTGGCGTCCGAGGACTTCTGAAACAAGTCTCTCGCGTTCTGAACGTGGTCAACCACAGGAGCTGAAGAATTGTTACTGCCCACCAGGTAGGAGAATGCACTGAGGAGAGGTCGTTCCAGTAAGGCAGGGGGTTGCTGGCCTTCCTCCAGAATATCCGCAGGCGTTCGGAGACCGAAAAGGATTTGTCCCTCAGACAGCGGCGGTAACTCAATCAAATTGTTCGGGTCGCAACACAGAGTCAGCAGCGCAAGCAGCTCTTTGTCATCGATGGGCTGCATATCATTCGACGTCTGGCGCTGGCGTTGATATGCTTCTTTTTCAGCGATGATACCAATATTCCGCATCCATCCAATATCAAGGGACAGTGCTTTCTGGCCATGCGCTGTACGATACTTCGCCAGTGCATCTTGGAACGCGCAACCACCTGCATAGTTTGCGCTTGCCATTTGACCAACTACTCCAGCGAGAGATGAGAGGAGGATGAAGAAGTTGAGATCCTTGGGAAGAAGCTCATGCAGGTTCCTAGAGGTGTTGATCTTGGAGCGCATAGTGAGGCCCCATTGTTGAAATGTCATGTTGGTCTGGAAGATGGCATCTTGGAGAACCATTGCTGCGTTGATGCAGCCTTTGATGGGAGGCATAGTGCGAGCACATCCTTCCAGCATGGCTGCTACATCTTCTCGGATGGACACATCGCACTTGGGTGCGAGGATATTGACGTCACGGGATGTTAGTTCGGCTACCAACTGCGCGGCTTCTTGAGATGTTGCACCAGATCGAGAGGGAACAATGAGGTGCTTGGCTCCTCTGTCGACCATCCATCGAATGATGGCTCGACCAAGACCTCCAGATCCACCAGCCACTAAGTAGGTAGAATCGCCATCGAATTCCCATGGACGATAATCTTGAACAAATTGCTGTGGGTTGTGTATTAGCTACTAGAAAAAAGAGAGAGGCATATGTCAACTTACTGGAACTATGTCCTCGGAGCTTGCTGTGATTACAATACGTCCCGTAGTATCTTCTTCTTGTAGTTGTTTAAAGGCTTCCACGATATCAGATACCTTGAAGACTTGCAATGATTGGGGAGGCGGAATCTTATCGTCTGCCAAGAGCTGCATCATTCTCTTTGCCAGTTGGCTTAGGACTTTGGGATTCAGACGCAATAGATCGATGGACGAGAAGGAGAGATTTCTTGACATGATCTCTGCAGCTATCTTGGAAGCCTCTGACTTTTCCCGACCACCAACGCTGACAACACGTCCCCCATCAGTCACGCAAGACAGCGGTGTGCGCAGTGTGTCCTGGGAAAAGTCGAGCAGCACATCAACACCTTCTCCTTCAGTGACGCTCATCACATCTTGGGTAAGAGACGAGTTACTGTCAAAGATATGATCTGGGGCCAGGCCTAATGTGTCGATGACTAGTTGCTTCTCGGCCGCTGTCGAGACTGTAGCAAAGACTTGAGCGCCCAGCATCTGAGCGAGCCTGCCTGCAATCTGACCTGCACTGTCCGCGGCGGAATGAATCAAGACCTTTTCATATTCTTGCAAGCGGGCAACATTGAGAACTGAATGACAGGCAGTGAAGCCGGGAAGGATGACTGAAGCAGCATCTTCAAAGCTCAGTGAGTCTGGAATCTTCAAGACACATGCTTCATTGGCGCGGGGATACTTTCTCATACACCCTGGAGAGACCATAGCGACGCGATCTCCCGGTCGAAGAGAGGTATTACACTTGCTGCCGAGCCGCTTGATAATGCCAACACAGTCGGTTCCGAAATTCTCGGTACGTGTGTCTAGATGACCGAGCGCGATGTTGAGATCGTGAGAGGTTAAACCCCAAGCCTTAGCTTCAATCTCGATCTCATGAGAGCCTAGTCCCTCCGCGTAGGAATAATCCTCAACGAAATGGAGTGTTTCGAGAGAGCCCGGTTGGCTGACGGAAAGCTTCAAAGCTGGCCCGTCTCCCCAAGGTTTCTCTCGCAGCTGCTTTGATACAAGAGAGCGTAGTGCGTTGTCAGTGGTGATGTCTCGGACTGCTCGGCCTATAGTGATGACACTATCACGAGCAATATACTCGACTTCCTTTATCGAAGATTCGTCATCGAATGCAGTCTTGGAGACCTCAGAGATGATGTTAGCCTGTGATCGTTCGTCCTGCTCGCCTTCTATGGCCAATATGACGATGTGAGTATCAGGCTGCTCAGCGCGGATAGAACGGAAGAAGCCCTGAGCGACACTATAGTCTGGGCATCCTGGATCGCTGGTGTTGACTGAAGTGACCCAGAGAAGGTTGGAAACTTGGCTTATCATAAACTGAAGGCAGCTGAACTGTTCTTCCGAGAGATCTGAGAGAAGAGGTTTGTCCCCAGCTTCGGCGAGACAGATGACAAGGTCATCACTTGTCAGATCTGTGAGTTCCTTCTGAACTTTGATGAGTGAAAACGGCACGACAGTTGAACGTCGCTCCATGTTAGGATCCAGTCGGGCACGCACTTGATCGGCAAGCTCCCTCTCCTTCGTCGACGCCTCGTCACTGATCAGCATGACCAGGCGGCCCTTTCTCGTCTTCCGCTCAACTGCCTGTTGAATTTCACTGGCGGTTGTGACGATGACACTCATGATATGACACTGATCATCTTGATAATCTCGCATTACCAAGTCATTACCAGAGAAGCCATTGTCCTTCAAGCACTTATCCCACAAATGCTCTGGTATCGCAGCGGAATGGGGCCTCCACTCCTCACGAGCTACCCACCAGCCTGGCACAAGTCCAGCCATGAAGTTGGTCGCGATATCATCAGGATTGATAACCTCAAGTAATATCAGACGACCGCCCGGCTTCAGAGCTTTGCGAACATTGCGTATGGTGGCTTCCAGGTATGGAGTAGCGTGCAACACGCTCGCTGCGATGACCAAGTCATAAGACCCTGGCTCAAAGCCTTGACTGTCGATGGAGCGATCTAGATCGAGTGTCTTGAAAGTGACACGGCCTTGAGACTTGAGATCTGGCCACCTTTGGCTTGCAGTCTCGAAGAAAGCCGGAGATATATCGGTGTAGGTATACTCAGAAAAGGCCAAGCCTCCGGTGCGCTTCTCGCGCTCTTGCAAAGCTGAGATGACATGTCCTGTCATGCCACCTGTACCAGCGCCAACTTCAAGGATTCTCAAACCTGGGTTCTCGTGGGATGCCAAGTCAAGCAGAAAGTTGAGCTGGCCATCAGCGCACAGGTTCCGGAAGAGATCCGAGTAAAAGATATCGGCCTGGTCAGATTCAAAGACGACCTGCAGAGGATCAAGCTCGCCAGACAGAATCTCAGGTAGCTTCCATGCACATGTGGTGTAGAGCTTCCAGGCTGGAAGGACAGAGTCGACCTCAACCAGCCGAGCTTCTAGGTCTCCATCATCGATCTTGGTTACTTCTTCCTGGTGTTCGGCAGAGAGTTTGCTAACATGATGTTCCATCCAGTCAACATGACGTTGCAAGTCCGCTGGAACCTTGGACTTGTCAATGCGCTTCAGTACACGCGCAGCAACGAGCTCCAGCGTATGACAGAGCTTTGAGTGGTTTGCAAGGATTGCACTGTCGTCCTTGGGCAGAGCATTGGCGCCGCATAGTTGCGTGAGTTGATCCGGATTGAGCGTACTCAGTTGTGGTTTCCACTCAATGGAGTAAACCAGCTTCTTCTCCTTCTGGATCACTTCGCCTGAGACAGCAGATGTCACTGCCCGGTCGATGCAACAGAGGACTTCTCCATCGTCACCCAAAGCGATGACTTTGCCCTGTTCCCCATAGCCATGGACAGTGGGAGTCGCTTCAGACATCCACTGAACAGAAGGTGTCTTCCATGCCTTGGAAGAGAACCATGCATTCTCTAGCCTGACTGGTACGTTGGCTGCGGGCTGTTGGCCTGAGCTAGCTCGAAGAACTTGGAAAGCTTGGTCCAGCACTGCAGGATGAACCAAGCTTCTGATATCAAATCTTGACTGGGGCAGATCAACGCGCGCCACCGCCGAGGTCTTACCATCCCACTTGATGTTGCGCATCAGCTGGAACCAATCGCCATATTGAAGTCCAACATCTGCCGCGTTATGATAGAAGACACGTGAGTCGACAGGCGAAGCACATGACTCAGCTACCTTGTGATATTGACTCCGGATATGCTCGTGGTTCGATCGTCGCTCATTATTTCTGTCGGTGTCCTTATATTCCACCAAGATACTCGCATTGAAGCACTCGACCCATTCGTTGCGCGAATATGTAAAGATACCGACATCAAACTTTGCAGTTGGTTGCTTGTCGACAACTCGCAGGCGGACCTGTGTCTCGAGGCGATCCTCCCAAGCTTCCGGCACGATTATGGGGTTCATAAACTCAGCTCTCTCAATATTTAACCCAAAGACAGCACGACCCGATGGAACCATTTCTTGGGCGGCTTCAATAGCCATGAGAAGCATGCCAGATGCTGGGAACAGAACAGTGTCACTGATCTATAACCTGCGTTAATAGAGTCGTGGTATCTTTGTTATTGAACTTACTTTGTGATCTCCTGTCCAAGGAGATGAGTCAATGCTCCAGAAGTTCCTCCATCGAGGCTCCAGTGGGTTCCAGTCAGATACGCGAACTCCGAGAAGCTCTCCCTTGACCGCCTCCCGTAACCTGAAATCTCTACTGAGACGCGATTCAGCCCAGTATCGCAGTGATCTGTCGAACGGATACTTGGGGCAGTCGACCAGAAATTTCTGCTTGGTGTCTTGTTGGTTCACCGCTGAGATAGACACAGGATAGCCTTGACAAAAGAGTTGTCCAGCAAGTTCCAGAGTGGTCTGAGCTGCTGAGTGCGATTTATGCAATGCGTAGCTATATCTTGTTCCCTTTGCCGCGCTGGCCATCTCACCCAAAGTGTCTTTCACTGGTCTGCGGAGGGCTGGGTGAGGTCCAATCTCGATGAGGTCAGTGATGTTGCCCAAACCAAGCTTGCGCGCCGAGTTCTTGTTTGTAATAACTTGAACCACTTCAGCAAATCGCACAGGTGACAGCATATTATCAACCCAATACTGAGCAGTCGACAGTGTCTCCGGAGAAATACTTTTGCCAGTGACGGATGAGATCATTGAGGTGCTTGCCCCATCCTTCCTTTGGGTGAGGCCTTTGAGTGCAGCAAGATACTCATCGGCGATGGCTCTCATAGATGGCGAGTGATATGCCACTCCGGTGTTGAGTTTCTGCGCAAATATATCATCTTGATCTGCCCGAGCTTTGATCTTGTCGATGGCCTCCTCAGGTCCCGAGAGAGTCGTGTTAAGAGGGCTGTTGATGCATGCCACGTTCACTGAAGCAACGCCTGTTTTCTCCAGATACTCCGAGACATGCTGTGGTGCCAGGTTAATAGACAACATGGCGCCTGGAGATGATACGTTTGTCTCTCTTAGCTTTCCAGCCAAGAGACCGCGGAAGTAAGACACCTTGCAAGCGGACTCCAGTGATAGCCCACCCGACGCGTATCTGAGAGGTTTTGTTAAACTCATTCGCACTCCAGAATGTTGATGATACATACGCTGCAGCGATCTCACCTGAGGAATGACCGATAACTACCTCAGGCGTAATACCAAAGCTGGCAAGCAGATCGACCAAGGCAATCTGCACAGCGGTTGCAAGTGGCTGACTATACTGCGGCATGTTGATGTTGTCACCGCAGCTAAGCTCGTCTAATCGAGTCTGTCAGCAAGCATCTACGTAGTGTTCTTACAGACTTTACTTGCCAGAAAGGTTCCACGAGCACCCAAAGTTCGAGTAAATTCCGCTGATCTTCTTTAGAGTCTCCCTGTAGATAGGGTACTGTTCGAGACCCAGACCCATGTTGATATACTGCGCACCTTGGCCTGTGAACACAAAAGCCAGGCCAAGATCCTCGGAGCTCCGAATAGGCTTCGAAGGCGATAATTCTTCCTTGGCTGATCCATCAACCACAGCAGAGGCTCTCCAAAGCATGTTGCTACGTCGTGTGCCGAGTGTAGAAGCTAAAAAGTCCAGCTTCTTACGGTTTCCTGAGGCTTTCTCTTTGTAAAAGCTGTCGTAAGCTTCGATAGTGCGCTTGGCTGCTCTTTCGTCTGCAGCAGTCCATACTAACAGCCTTGGAAGGTCGATTTCAGGATGACCATTTATTACACCATTAGTTCCATTAGTTCCATTGGTTCCATTGGTATAATGTCCGTTAGTGACGGCAGAGCCGTTAGTCAGAGGTTTCGGGGAGAGGCTCGTGTTATGGATACCGCTCAAGTCCCGGTCTTGAAGATAGTAAAGTGCATCATCCAGAACAATGTGTGAGTTTGAACCACCAAATCCGAAAGAGTTGATAGATACACGGCGCAGACCTGGAGCAGGCCACTTGGTATTCTTAGTTGGTACCTATCGCAGTCTTAGTCAATAGACAGCACCAATTTGCATAGCTTGGACTTACTTCAATATTGTAAGACTCTGCGTTTAGTGCGGGGTTGATCCTCTGGAGAAGGGCGTTGGGAGGGATGACTCCTTTCTCAAGTATCACTGGCTGTGTCAGTTTGTAACTCCTTCACGTTGATCTAGAGGCAGGTCATAATACAGATGCATTTGACCAGACTTGCAAGTGCGCTGGCTCCTTCGAGATGCCCCACGTGTGCTTTCACTGAGCCGCTGCCCATGTCGTCAGTTAACATTAGTCTCGGATTCAGCGAGACCGCTTACACATATAGTGGTTCCGAAGAAGAACGGTGTTCTTGAAAGCACCGACCAATAGCTTTCACCTCAATTGGATCGCCAACAGGTGTACCCGTTCCTTGAAATTACTGTCAGCTCTTGAATGACGAAATCTATATTATTGCATTTACCGTGAGCCTCAACATAGCGAGTTTCGCTCATGCACAGACCTCCTTGTTCATAAACATGACGAATCAGCTCCTCCTGAGATTGCGAGCTAGGCTGGGTAAGAATAGGGGTGTGGCCATCTTGATTCGAGCCGATTGACCGAATCACGGCTCGGATCATATCCCCATTCTCGATAGCGGCTTGTACGGGCTTGAGAACAACAGCGATGACTCCTTCACCGCGTGCATAGCCGTTGGCTCTCTCGTCAAAGCTGTAGCAAACCCCATCAGGTGAGAGAAAGCCTTGGTTAGCCAGAACCTGGAAGATGCCTGGGTCAAGAAGGAGGTTTGCGCCCGTCACGACAGCCTGTAAAAGTTAGTCAAACATGAAGTGGAGGTGTGCTTTGACTTACACATGAAGCATCACCGCTCCGCAAGGCCTTGCAAGCCATATCGACAGCCGACAAGCTACTAGAGCAAGCAGTATTGATGTGAATGCTTGGTCCACGCAGGTCAAAGTACCAGCTGACGCGGTTGGGGATGATACATGAAACAGTACTTCCTGTGACAGCCGTCCTCTCCAAGTTATCTGGGTCTACGGCCGTCATTCTGCTGTAGTCCTCTAGCATGGAGGCTGAGAAGACAGCAGTGCGAGAGCCCTTCAGACTCTCAACTGGGAGACCCGCTGCAAGGTATACAGTCAGTACTCCGTCATTGTGAACGATTTCGGGATGTCTTACCATTTTCAAAGGCATGATAGGTAGCTTCCAGCGTCCAGCGCTGCATGGGATCCATTGCCGAGGCCTCTTTTGCCGTGACAGAGAAGAAGGGGGCGTCAAAAGCGGCGACATCGTCATTGATGAAATGCCCTCCTTTTCCATTCCACTGTAGCAGGATCAGTCACAGTCCCCTTCTTCAATCAATATTGCTACCTTCTGATGTTTGTTACTGGCAAATGAATCTGTCTTGACACGACTTTCAGGCCAGTCGGTCATCAAGTTTCGTCGGTTCTCGAGAGCATCCCAGAACACCTCATCATCCACAACGCCTTGGGGAAGTTTGAACGAGTATCCAACAATTGCAATATCACTCATCTTTTCGTTTTTGCCTTGGTGATCGTATAGCATTCAGAACGGTCAACTCTAGTACTCTACGGTGCCAAGACTCATACCACTATCTTTCAAGGTTGAGTGAGTTACTAATCGGCTAACTACTCTGCTGCTGCCGTATCGAGATTCCCCCTCGTTCGACAACACAGCACTAAGTGGTATTCTCTCTCCACCATAGTTTGTCCGAGGCATTTTGTGAGACGGATGAATATTCCTATCTAGTAGTAGTATTTGAAGCTACTGCAGTGGAATCCTTCGAAAGACAGACGTTGACCCCAGGAGAAATACTTCTGAGTTGAACTAATGCATTAAAAGAGTTTGAGGCGTAAGAAACCTAGTCCGACCTGCATATATACGCATGAAATAGGCTCAACTAACGAAAACATCAGTTAACGCGGAAGGTGTCTGACGTTGATGGTCGTTGGACTGGCTGCATAGAGGTTAGCTTCGGCGAACTAAAACAAGGCAGCGCGGGCCGGCACGCCTTGAGATAGTCGAAACATGAGCGTGAAGTTAAATATGGCCCCGTCTGATGAACCTTCAACCGAGAACCACTTCAGTGCTTGTGCATCTGCCACGTCGGCTGCTGCTGATAATCATCTGAGAAAGGTCTTGTCGTCGTTGATAGCCAATGTCCGAAAGTCCGTAACATACCCTGTACTGATGTATCTGCCGAAAAGCTACGCCGCGATGCTGAAACTTGGAAACGTTGATCCGTCAGGTAAAATTGTGCTAAATCCTCCGAGGCGAGAAACGGGAGAGGAAGCTAGGAAAACTTCCGGGAAACCAGACAGGCCAAACCCCTGGAGAGATCAGCGCTCATCCCTGTCTATCACCTTGTCATTCGTATTATTCCTTGCTTAGTGGAGACAGTTCATGAGACTTTGCTCCGGGATGACGACCAACATCATATCATTACCGGTTTGCATTACGAATGTTTTCTCCTGCCAAGGTTGATTTTTCGCCATTCATCGAATAGGGATTTTTACACGACGATCAGACATGACCTGCGTCTCGCTATGCGACATGTAACAAGGGATGGCCTCATGCTAACCAGATTCCTTGTACTGTACTCATGAACTTGTGATGAACCTTTATGGCAAGCACAATCTTTGAAGGGCATTAGGGAGCGCATTCCTGTTTAGTATTATTGACCCGCAATCTCAAGGTTCAGTTAAATCTTTATTTTTAGATACATACAAAATCTTTACATTAACCGCAGCATTTTATGGACTAACAATGCCACCAAACCGACCCTTTTTATACATATAGTTCATGCAATCTAGACCAACACGAATGCGTTATACGCCCCAGGGCTTTTGAGACGCCGGAAACGCAGCATGGCCCTCCGAATCGCTTGTCGAGCGATTGTCTTGCGTGATCTTGATCTGTGTCGTCCGAGTAATACCCTGCCCATTGTTGGTATTGTCCCGCAAATACTCCGTCGACTCGGATCCCTTCAGTGTTCCCAATGGTACGCCATCCTCATCTAGCTTGTAGTAAGGCTTGGGACCTGTAGAGGAAAGCTGCGAACCCTTTGTCCCACTTTTGCCATATCGATCCCCAGTGTTGGGGTTGGTCGGGGCGGTGCTCATGCCGAATGCGCGCTTGATGTTGCGGATAACACCGGTTTCTTTGAGAATCTTGGGGATACAGGGGACGCAGACGATGAAGAAGCCACATGTCATTTCGGCGGTGGCCCAGAAGACCAGAGGAGCGAGGGCGTAAAGAGCGTCGGCGGCTTTGCCATACTTGACTGTGACGGCCAATCTGAAGGCAGCGGATACACAGGCTCTGCAGGTTCCAGTTAGCAGCGGTATGATGAGTTCAAGGCATGCACCTACAGTAGACCAAGTCCAAAGATAACAGACACACCCATCCTCTTCTTCCAAGACATCTTCAACTTCCAGATAACCTGCTGGGGCAGTAAAAAAATGGCAATATCGCAGCACAAGTGGATTGTAGCAGATGCGACTTGAAGCTTATGCAAGTCCCAGCACTTGGCACCAGGAATTCTAAAGTCCCAGATAGCTTCATGAGGGTTACACTGCATATTGAGAGCAACGACAATGGCGGTGTTGGATGTAGCCTGGACGAAGCCAATGACCATGCAACCCCACCAGAAGATGCTCTTTGTTCGCGTGCCTTTCGGCACGAAGAGTCGACACCATTCGACGAGGATAGCGATTTTGAGAAATGGAAGAACGAAGGAGTAGCAGACTCCAAAGATGAGAACCCACTGGTATATGTTAGTTGTTTCATTTGTCTAGTTTGGATGAAGGGATACTCACATAGTTCGTGGGAATTACATCCTTGAGGCGGACATTCCATTGATGCACGAAATATCCAGGAGTATCCACCAGCTTGAAAGTTGCGTAGGCTGCACCCCAGTAGTTACCCTTGGTTTTGTCAGGAATCATGCAACGCAGAGTCAAAGGATCGAACATACATATGCCAAGGTCGTGAGAACTTCAAACTCCGTTAGCGATGACTCGGGAAGGATTAGACGCGACACTCACTCTCTTCAGTCTGAAACTTCTTCAGCAAATAAACCCGTCCATAAGCTCTCAGAAGGAAGCATATCGTAGTAATAACTGCACAGATAATCAGGACAGTATACGCCAGACCATTCTGATTAGGAGGATCGTTCAAATTCGAAACCTCACCCTCTGGCGGCGCAAGGGCCGGTCCATCCAGATCAATGGTAGCCATGATGAAAGGATTCCAAAAGCACAGGACAATAACAAGGTCTTTTGATATTCAGGTACAGGACCAAGCTGCACTTTTAACGATCCTACGGAAAGACTTTGTTCCCCCCATGTTAAGGAGAATCCTTTACCAAACGTGGCGAGCTTTGAACCCCGGTATTTCGGCTCCGGGAGGCGAAACAGTAATTGCTTTTGGAACAGCATACTATAGCAGGTAACTACCTATTTACAAGGTCATATTCTTATTGTAAGGTCTTGTCGGTGCAGGCCGTAATTGAGTTTTTGATTGAAACATCCGTTTGCGTTAATGTCCTTTCTGTGTTCTCCTGGCGATCATGTCCCAGACTAGCTACAAGTTCCCGGAATCCCGGTTCAGTCGTGACATTGGCTTCAGCGGGTTAGGCGTTGAAGATTGCAGGGGGCTAGTGACGGGAGCTTGTGATAGTTTTCTCACACGTTTCTTCGGGACGTTGGTGCTAGAAGGATAAAGTGTGGCACCGCGTATGGAAAACCTGGTCGTTACCCTGTCTTGGCTGAAAGTGAACTCCATATGGTGGAACCTCGGCTGCAAGCTCATGCCACTTCTTGTTCAAACGAGCAATTAAGTTTATGATGTGTTCCTGGCTAGGCTTGGCCCGAGTCATGCGAGTTTCGCTCCTGTGGTCACTGGCGTCAATTATGAGAGGCTAAAGAGTGAATGTGCAAATAACTAGCAGCCCTACGGCACCGAAATACTCCGTCCTTGGAAATCCAGTAAGCAAGATATCCAGACTGGGACTCAGCATGGAAAAAGACACCCGATCGAAGGATTCAGGGTCCCCACCCACCAAGAGAAAAGAACGCAAACAGGGGTGAACCAACACATGTGATCAGTCACTGCAATTTGCAAAGGCAGTCAGTAAATGCTTCAATTCCGTTCCATCACAGCAGATCCTTAACAAATCTAAACACATGCATATACGCTGTCGGGGCTACCGGAACCGTTGCACCCGCATGCAGGCCAAGATAGTTCCTCCTAAATATCGGGCCCCCCATCTCTTTCCTATGCCATAACCCTATTGATAAGACTTCATTTACTTTCTTACTAGTTCTTGATAACCAAGCTAAGACTCTTAACGTCTGATCTCTTGCATAGCAGAGCGACCGGACCGCGGGCTTTTTATTAGCTCCCGGTAACGTCCCGCTACAGAATTTAAAGTTCCTTTATCCCCGGTTCCCTGTTGGCGTTGCATGAACTTGGCCGCCTTGGCATTATTGGTAACATCTTCATCAGAAATCTGCAGATGATCGGCATTTCTGATCCATGTATAATTGTCGGAAAACCAGGCTCCTGGTATCCGGAACGCTGCGTTGGTTCAAGAGCAGTTAATTCCTTGGCTGCATTGAAGGATCAGGCCACTTCCTTAAGTACAGTTATTGGTTGTGACCATGACCATTGTTTCGACTTTTTCGTCGATTTCATGCAACCGTAACTCAGTGCCATTCTTTCGTACTGTAAACCCCTCACAGTAAATACTGCAAGATCTCGATAACTTCTTAGAACACTCGGCTAAGGAAAAGAAAGGGGTCATGAAATCCTCCTGCAGAGAACCCACTCTCGGCTACCAGGCTCATAAATCCAGCTCAATCTCACACCCATACTCTTCCCATCACGTATACTTTCACACACACTGATCCGAATCCACAAAGAGCCCCACGCCATGCCCAAGCAACAGGTCTACCATCTTCACCCACTTGGCTGGGAAAATGACCCTGAAGAGGAGAGGTTCAAGGTCACCACCCTCGACTACCTCACCGTCTGCAGCTACAACAACTACGCTCTGTTCTTCAGGCTAGAGGACTCGGAGAAAGAAAGAGCCGTTGAGATCCTCAAGGCTGGACTGGAGAGGACTCTGGCTCAGGCTAGGCACTACTGTGGAACCATTGAGAAGGATCCTGGTGGTGGTCACTCTTTCACCAAGAAGAAGGGCAGTACCGTTCGTTTCTTTGTTCAGTGGCTTGATGCACCTGAGGATGCGGAGAAGTACCCTTCTTTTGAGGATCTCGAGAAGACGAACTTTAGCGCTGTGACGCTTGGCGATCTTGAGCAATGGAGTGTACCGCCCATGACATATGGTGAGAAGCCTGAAGCCCATCCTGACAACAGTCCCGTCGTGTCAGCCTTCAAGGCCAACTTTATTCGTGGTGGTCTTGTCTTCAACATTCATCATCACCACTACACCAACGATGTAATGGGCTGGGCTGGCTTCGTTCATCAGCTAGCTGAGAACTGCTACGCTGATGTTAATGGCACCAAGCATCCAATCTGGGATCCTCTCAACCTCGATGTCTCGCGCCTTATCAAGCAAGAACCTCCAGAGGACCAGAAGATCGACGGCCCAGCTCCCCCAGAGCGCCATCCCGCTCATCAAGTCGGCGTGTCTCTGCTGTTCCATCTTCCCAAGAGCAAAGCAGCCGAACTCAAGTCCAAGGCCACTCCGACCGACGGAACATGGATCTCGACATACGATGCCTTCTCAGCCTTCATCTGGCGTAACCTCACCCGCATTCGAGCGCCTGTCTTCAACCCCGATCCGAAGTCGACTCTATACTGGTGTGAAGCGATCGACATGAGACGACGAATGCACAGTCCAAAGGTGCCACCACGCATCCAGCACAACGTCATGTTTGCAGTAACATCTCCCACAGCGCCTGTCACGCAGCCAACTGTTGCACAGATCATGTCGGAGTGGTCGCTCTCAGAGTTGGCGTCGTATATCCGCCGATTGACCAACAGCGTCACGCAAGAGAATCTTGACAAAACGCTCGCGATGGTCGCTACTGTTCGCGACAAGACTTCATTGAACACTCGAGTCGACGCACAGCCCCCATTGTCGATTCTCCAGACCGACCATCGAGATGCAAACATCACTTCGGCCAACTTTGGCTTCGCGAAGCCAGCTACATATCGTCACCTGCTCGATCGCATCACAGAAGGTGTCATAATTATCTACCCGCCTCGCGACCCATCGCCTGAGTCAGATGAGGGCTGTGAGTTTGCCATCTTCTATGAGAAGAGGTTGGCTCAAGATCTGATCGATGATCGTGAATGGAGTGAATATTTCGAGTATAGAGGTGTTGATGCTGAGGATGCTTCTCAGGGGAAGAAGGCAAATGGCACCAATGGTACGAACGGAGTGAATGGCACGAATGGTGTGAATGGTACGAACGGAGTGAATGGTACGAACGGAGTGAATGGTACGAACGGAGTGAATGGTACGAACGGAGTGAATGGTACGAACGGAGTGAATGGTACGAACGGAGTGAATGGCACGAATGGTGTGAATGGTTCTCACTAGATGCAGATATATGTAGTCGCCCTATATGAACTGATTAAACACTCAATACCTTCCAGTAAAGCCTTTCCATCCTCAAGCTCTCCATGAACCAGTCATCCCCAACCTTCTTCCACGTCTCGTGATAATGGCCCCCTCCCGTTCCATGAACACCGCCCTCATGCTCCTTCGTCCCAGCATGATATGTAACAGCCCAGATAGCCTTGATCTCATCAGGTGCAATCTGCTCCATCTCAGTTGGTCCGACAATGTGAATCGTCTGCATCGTCTTGAACTCATTCTCGAAGAAAGCCACCCAATCTTTTGTTGATGACCACGAGTATTCAATGTCTCCCTTCGTGATCACACTGCCATCTGGGTTGTGAAAGAGAAACGTCGCATTGGGCAGCATGATGCTGTCGAAGCGGTCCCATTGATTGGAGTCGGCGAAGCGACAATACTGTGCCTTTTTGTGCTGGATAATCGCAGCAGCTTCGGGGGAGACCGTCATTGTGAGCGGAAGAAGTGTGTTAGTGCTTATTACCTATGGAATGTGAGTGAGTAGGTGTTGATTGTGTGCCATCTCAACTGAGTTTATGCCTACCAAACGGATTCCTGTACAAGGCGGTGACAAATGAAGTCGAAGTTCAAAAAGCTTGGCTGTCATCTTAAAAAGTCGTCTTATAGTGACATTTATTACATAATGACAAGGCCAGTAACGGTACAGGGATGTACTGCCATCGAGAACAGATACAGGGAATCATCTGTCTTTTGCGAAAGGAAAGGCCAATTCATAAGCGGCCATGTGATAAACGAAACTTTGCTTTATGTATCTTATTCATAGTTTTGGCTCATGACATATGCATCCATATCTTTGTGATATGTGTTCGAGCTGGTACGCCAGGCCTTGCCGTCTCGGCTACAATAACCTTCTCTTTAGCACCTTTGTTGCGAATGAACTCAATCTTGAGAGTCAGGTCTGAACCACTTATCTTTGCGTGGGCATTAAAGAGAGCGAGGGAAGGCTCACGTTGTAAGCGACATCTCTCGGCTAGATTCGACTCTAACTCATCTTGAATACAAGCTTTAGAGCAGCATACCAAGTCCTCACACAATGGCCCAACATAGGCTTCAAAGGCGATGCAAGACTAGATAGAAGCCTACCAGGACTGCTATACCCATAAGTGGCTACAATGTGTTGTGCGTCGGATCTTGTGACTGTTTATTTGTCAATCTATTTCTTCGTCTCTCTCATCAGTGACTCGAATCCCTCCATCACCGTCGTTCTGTTCGTTTGGCGTTCGGCATCATCACTCCTCTCAACAACATGCCTCCCCTCAATCTTCCTGGACTCCATGATACTCTTCCCCGTCTTCCTCTTCATCAGCGCCCTCGCACTCAGGTACGCCCCCTGCCCCGGCAACGCCACCAATCCTAGCGCACCAGAAGAAACCTTGGTTCCCAGATTTAACAACCCAATACCAACGCCCTTGGCAGCACCCGCTGCGCCTTCTTTCCTCGCTCCTCGCACAGGCTCCATGACAATACCACCTATACCTTCAACCATACCATGCGCAAAGTTCTTTCCAGCTGCGATGCCACCGGACTTCCAATCTGTGACGGCACCCGGATCGTAGGCTTTGCCGCCGTAGAGTTTTGGTGCGTTCCGCATTCCTTCTGTGACGGCGTAGGGGAGGTCGAGAAGCATGCCTTTGGAGTAGTGTTTGAAGAAGCCGCCAACACCGGAAGCTGAGCCCTTCACGGCTGCCAATGCACCATGTTGAGGGTCTTTGTCTTTGGTGTTCTTTGGTGTTGCAGGCAGATTGATGCCAGCTGGCCTTCCGAAGACATCCTCCTCCGATGGGCGTTTTGAGTTATCTCCCGTTCGGCTGCCGCGTTCTCGACTAGATGATCTGCTGCCGCTTGGAGTCGCTGGTCGCAATGCCTGGATGGGTTTGACTACAATGTCGGAGGCTGAGGTAACCATACCAACTCCGGTTGTAGCAAGTGTCGAAAGGGTTGCTGTGAGAGGATCCCACCGTCGGTTCTCGATGTGGACGGGCTGAGATTGGTAACTATAAAGCGGTCAGAGAACTCCCTATGGTGGTTGCAGTATTACGTACGACTTTAGGTTATTCCATGATATCTTGTCAGCCTCGACCAAGATCTCAGCAGCCATCTTGGACAGTCTCATCTTCTTGCCCTTCTTCTCATATATCCATACTGCAGGGAAATTGGGCAGTAAATCACATCGCATATCATTAAGAGGCAAGTTCGCATGAAAAGACGCTACCGCTCGTCGAACTCCTGCTTCGCTTGACATCTTATCAGCAATTTGGCGGGCAGCGGCAGAAGCTTCGGGTGTCAGGCAGACTCGTATGGCTTCTACTAGGTTGTTGCTGTTAAGGCTCTTGAAGGGAATGGGAGCTGGGCCTGCACCGCCAGCGTGGACCATGTTTCCCCAAAACGGTTGACTATCCACCAGGGTCAGCTTGAGCACCCAAGTCAAAGAGAAGACGACTTACTCTCCGAAGAAAGGCACAATTGTAGTCGGCTTCGCGTTAAGCAACCCGCAAGCCGTCGTACCAGCACCTCCGTGATGGACTACTGCTGTTACATGTTGGAACAACCATTCGTGGGGGCAGTCGCCCAGGAAGAAGACTTGATCATCTCCTGGGGAGTCACCTCCAAGCTTACTCCAGCCTCGGGAAACGATTGCCCTTGTTCCTGTCGCGCGAACAGCGTCCAGAATTGTCGCTGTCAACTTCTCGGGGTCGTCGATTACGATACTGCCAAAGCCGATGTATACAGGAGGAGGACCGCTTGCCAAGAACTTCTCTAATGCTGGCTCTGGTTGATATTTTGGCGAATCACGAAAGAAGAAGCCACAAACGTCTGCAGTCTTCGTTAGCCGACTATGACAAGTTGCTGTCACTCAAAGCATACCAATATTCTCAGGCCAGTCAGCAGGCTTGGGCACCAAAGCCGGAGACCAGCAGTATGTGACTGGTACACCCAAAGTCTCCGTCAAACACGGGCCCTCGCTGAACGGAATCGGCTCCAGATCTATGGTACCTCTCCATGCGTTGATGATATCGCCGAGTCTGTCTCAAATCAGCACATTTTCATCCGTAGGCACTCCATCAAGACTCACCCTTGCCAAGTCATCCACTCAACCAAAGAATAAGACACGTAATTCGCAGCGCTTGCCGACATATCACTTCCATTCGCTTTTAGATTCGCAAGCGGGTGACAAAACTCGCGAGTACTCGTCCACGGCATTGTAAACATGAGATGTAACGGAACACCGAGCGCTTGAGCACAATGAATATGTGCAAAGCTAGGTGGATTCGCGATGATTGCATCTGCCACGAAGGGTCGTCCTGTGAGTTCGTCGGCCTCGATACAAGAGCTCCAGCACTTGTGTAGCATTTCGTCAACCATCTTGCGCTTCCTCTGGATTTCACCACCGCGTAATGTCTTCATGCTGGGGAATAGACCAGGGTTCTTGACCATATAAGCCATCAGTCTTTACAAAGGTGTTAGCTCGTACTAGCGTCAACAATTGAACTGCGACGAAAGACTTACTCAGCGGGATCACCACCAATGGAGTAAAACTCAAGACCAGATTCTCTCACGAATTTGTCGAATTGGCCATGTGTCGCAAGTCGCACTCGATGACCATGGCGCTGTAATTCTGTTCCCAACGCGACAAAAGGCTGAACATCTCCTCGACTTCCAACAACCTGAATGACGATATTGAGACGAATGCTTCTCTCGCTTGTCTCAGTGTACTCAGGCGGTGCGCTCGGACGCTGTTCATAAGAAAATGGAGGCTTTTCAGTGGGAACCAGTCTTGACAATCGCCGAGCTATTCTCGAACTAAGATCAATATCGATTCGCCCATCGTCGCGACCAGTTGTTGTCGCTTCTAATTCCGCCAGCGCTTGGTACTGCGGAAGCTCATTCGTTGGTGGGGCGATGTGCTCGCCGTTCGCTGGAAGCTCGAAATATCTCGTCTGTCGGTTCGATTGATCGTCCTCTGGTGCTGGAGACATTTTTGTTCAACGCGATTAAAAATGAGGAGATTGTAATTGATTGAAGAAGTTCTCAGTTGCCAGGTGGCGACGTGCTACGTTATATGGTTTCTCATACAGAGACATTACGCAGAAGACGGCATGGCCGAAAGGCGCTATTGTGAAATACGCGTATTAGGAAACAAACTTGGGCCATTTACGAAAATGCAGACTGAATCGAGTATTGAGGCTGAGATCCATTAACTGCTTGAGCACCCCAATAAAATCGATCCAGGGTTAAAAGTAGAGATACGGGAATAATATAAAAATAAAATCTCCGACGTGCTGCGCCTGTTTCAATTCCTCGGAAGAGAATCCGATCATAAGCCGAAACAAGTGTCGCGTTACGTGAGCCAAGCTACCCAAGCTCGCGAATGTGAGTCGTGTATTGAGAATGTGGAGATGATAAATACGCGTATTGAAACCCATGGCTGGTGGCTGTGCTATGCTGAGCACGACTCGCTTACCACTCCACGCTAGACTATATCTAGTATAGCTCGCTGCACAAGCTAAATCATGGCTTCAAGCTTACTGTAGATCCGAAGAGATTTTGTAGCTGAGTTTAGGGTAACCAGCTGACTTGACAACATTAACAATGTAACACAGTTGTTTTTCAGTCTTATTAAACAAATATGCAACTACAACATGACTAGGGGTTATTACCGTTCTTGCAGGCACTGTTCTACAGTGTAAGTGCATCTAGAAGCTTCGACGTCAGGCGCGCGATGCAAGCATCAGCTGTCAGCTGTTCCAACATAAAGCAGCACTTCACGAAAATACACTTCAACTTTTAACGAAAGCTTGAGAACTGTTTGATCGCAAAACCATGAGACACAATATAATGCTGAATTCAACCAGGCGTATATTCTGAAGTTTCATATTTCATCTATCGTCTATCGTGCACCTCAAATTTCTCATTCTCTTTGGAATGTTGTTTTCATCACAGCACATCACCCGCTGATCAACGCCTAGAATAAGCCCCCCTTGCCCTCAACAGCACTGAGCGGACGTTTAGTTGTAGTAAGGGGGGACCATCGTGGAGGAGCTTTATTTCTCAGATCCATGGCCACGTCGAACACCATTGTGCTTGAAATACTTGTGATCTTTCCAAGCAATAACCGCTGCCCAAAAGTTGACGAATCTGTGTACACTGTCAGTCAGTTTTCTCACAGCAACGAAAGCAAAGCAACTTACGCAACGACCAGCGCTACCAGGCCAACCAAGATGCCAATTGCGCAATTCGCACCGACACACACTTTAGTAGCCATGTTAAATGCCAACCCCATCACCACCGCCCAAAAGACGATATCCATGGTGTTCAGAATCGCATTGGCCTTGAGACTTCCGAATCTTTTGAGCTTGTCCACCTTTTGGGTGACATATTCATAGGCAAGGAAGGCGTATGATTTGAGACTCTGCGAAGTTGTAAGTATGGTTCATAATGCATGGACAAGAGACTGAATATAGTGACCCACCATTGTGATGGCCATGATGTCTGATCGGGTCATTGGGATGTTTGATGGCTTTGTCGCGACTTTGGCGATACCGAGAATGAATGCGATAGTGATTGTGACGACTTGGAGGATAAAGACTTTGTTTTTCCAGCTGTGCTCAAAGAAGCGGCTGTCGAAAAAGTCTCTGATGCCCATGTTGCCGGTTGCTCGATTGAAGGCGGAGAATGAATGGTAGGTGCGTGGTGAAAGGCGGATGCAATATGTCTAGAGAAGATAAAAACAAGGCGGTAAAGGCAATTATGTCAGTCGGAGAGCCTGAAAATGAAAAGAGACGTTTGATTAAACATATTTTCTGGATCTGATATTTATTTATATAGCTTGATTCATGTTATGATATGGGCCAACCTCTATACGCGTATAGATCTTGGCGTCTCGGGGTGAGCCGTACGCGGAGAACAAAAGATCAGATCCAAGATAGGCTCAGCCATAAGGCTCAGCTGGAATGACATATCTGATCCATTTGCGAAAAACATTTTCCCCGAAAGGCATATGCGCGCTATTGCCTAGACTTGCGGATAATTGATCATTGCTTATCGGTGATCAAGATTGAGCTAATTAGTTATGGACACAGGTGACTGTAATCGATTGACCTAACTCGATCTCCCTACAAGCCAGCAGTCCCGCTTACTCGGTTTCTGGTACCAAAAATTTCATGGGCATGCCTCAGTGGGAATTGAATATTTGTAGTTTTGTGTTGGTGATAACAGTGATGAGAAGAAGCAGCAGGACTGTGAAACAAAGATCTACAAGCTTGGCAGGGAAGAAAGCCTGTGATTGGTCGCGCAACCGCCAATTACACCGATGTTACCAATGTGCATGAGGGGAACAGTCATCGCGGGATTAGAAGGCTGCAGATAGAGTCGACTACGCCGCACAGAATTTGACATATGTGGACTAGACTGCATAAGCATTTTCAAACCGCATTCATTCCAAACTTGACTTGTTACTATTACTATTAGATCACAGAACGGAAACACCCTCCATGGCCCTAAGATTGACTACACTGCTGGTCCTCGCGACTCAATCTCTATCTCAAACTGTTAACATCTTTCATGAAATTCCCAGCGACGTCCATCAATGCATCCGGCCATGCCTCTTCCGCCCCAACAACGCAAACGCTGATCTCGGCAGCGCTCTAAACTGCGGCGCACCATACCAAGAAAAATGCTACTGCGTAACCGATAACAATAAAGCGAAAGCGGTTAGCAAACATCTTGACAGCTGCGCACAAGCGAGTTGCTCAAATGGACTAGAGTCGCAAGATGCAGAGACGATGAGACACTATTACGCTTCTTACTGTATGGAGAATGGATACTCGGCGGATGCAATGGAGGAATGGTACACGGGTACCGAGGCTCATGTTACGGGAACAAGTACTGTAAGAGATATGTGGGGATGGGGTGCAGGGACAAAGACGAGAGCGCAGGTTTTCCCCGACGCGACACTTCCGTCGGGAGGCAACGGAAACGATGACGAGGATAATGGCGGTGCATGTTCAACGAGATTCAAGTTGCTCTCCGTGGGGTTTCCACTACTTGTGGCTCTCTTTCAGTGGACTTGAGGTTTAGTAATTTCCCCTTTTCTGGTGAAAGCACACTCCACAGCTGAGATATGTGCTCCGAGTATTAGTCTATAAGACTAAATTTACTTCATGCGTTCACTCTATGCAGGCCAGGTACTATTTAAAAAGTAGACGGGGCAACAAAAGCCGAGGTGGGGAAAGGCGGATGGATGCTTGGAACGAGATATAAACGAGGTGACATAGCTAGTAAACGAGGCACTGGCCAAAATCAAGATTTAGCTTCACGACCAAAATGCGGTTAGAGAGGACAGTATACGAGAAAGACACCCAATAGTATGTGTAGTAGAACAATTATAAGATTAAACATAAAGGGAATAAATCACAAGGACACAGTGAGCAGGGAACGAGACAGGAACGAGGTGGGAACGAGATATGAACCACTGAATCGGTATCTCTCTGTCAACTGCGCCGCATCTTCCCCACGGGGTAGCCCTCTCATTTCGGCATTGCTAATCCCAATACGAATAAGTTTGTCCTGCCGAGTGCCGGAGAACCACCAAGGGGGGTGCCCTCTCCGCAATAAACGGAGATACTCTAATTTAGACAATTGCTGCTAAGCGTGAGTCTCGCCGACAACTTGCCCGAGATGCGAGCTTGGAAATCGACATAAAAGAAAGACTTGTACCTGTTACTTGTGCAGGCACCTTATCAGTCAAACGTTGGCTACTGGTCCAAGTTCTGTGTGGTGATTATAAGCTCTCAGCTATAGGTCTCTAAATACAACACGGACTGGCCAATTGTGCGACATGCGTCTGTCCAGCTACCAATTGCTTGCGTCCGCGACTGCGGTTGGTACCGTCGTCGGGCAATACATCCCCCCATCGTCCAACCATGGCAATGCGATCAAAGGATTCGAAGCTCCCGCAATCGAGTATCGTCCCAAGTTCAGATATTGGTAAGTTAAACCCCTTAACCCCACAACGTCAAACTCTTTGCTCATGTCTCCCATGAAGGCTTCCAGATGCAGATGTCGACCACGATGTTCTCAAAAGCGACATCCAAGAGCTCAAAAAGCTCGGCGCCGGCGGTCTAGAGTTTCTCCCATTCTACAACTACGGCTTCGGTGGCGTGAACGATTCCAAGATGGAAACATATGCGTTTGGCAAACCTGCGTTCAGGGATGTTCTACAAGTTGCGCTCGAAGCTACCAAAGCGAATGGCTTGTCGATGGACGTGGCGCTGGGTGCTAGCCAGGGCCAGGGCGTACCCTCCAAGCCGCTTACTCCTGGTCTTGCTGTGCAGCTTGTTTATGGCAAGACGTCTCTCAAAGGAGGAGAAAAGTTCGAGGGTGACCTGCCAGCGGCTGATATCGACTGGAATGAGAACCTGGGCTATATCCATCCCCAGGAGAAGTTCGGTGATAACCGTCTTATTGGAGTTTCTGCCGCTGCCATTGCATCCAGTAAGTTACCTTTATGATCTCCCATGCACAAGATAACCTCGCTGTAATATCTCATACTGATATCTTTGAAGAAAACGCCTCGATTGACAACAACACCTACATCGCCCTGCATGAGAAGTCACTGGTCGACCTCTCCAAGTACGTCAAGGACGGAAAGATCACTTGGACTGCACCGAAAGATCATAAGGAGTACGTGTTATTTGCACACTACGAGCGCTACACCAACCAACGATCTTGTGATGGCGTACCTATCGACGTCATTGCGAATGGCTCTTGGGTCACAGACCATTTCAGTGCCGCCGGCGCAAAGCTGGCAACACAATTCTGGGAGAAGAACCTATTGAGTACTCAAATTCGCCAGCTGCTGAAGGAGGTTGGCAAGCACAGTAAGTTCAAACACCCACCAAGCTTGTGTCTTGGCCATTCTAACTTGAGAACAGCTTGGGAAGATAGTATGGAGATCCAAGCTTCACTTTATTGGTCTCCAGGATTCCCTGATCGTTTCAAGTCCAAACGCGGCTATAACGTGATCAAGTATCTTCCATTGCTATTCCACGAGTCGACATCTTTTACAGCCGCTCAGGCTCCCTACAACACTACCTTCTACCTCGATGGGACTCCGGATAATGGACAGAGCAAGTATCTCCAGGACTACCGACTCACCTTGAACGAGGGCTACGCGGAGTACCTGCAGACCTTCGAAGATTGGGCTGCATCGCTGGGCCTTTCACACTCTTGTCAGGTTGGATATAACATCCCGTTGGACGTGGTAAGTCTTTATACTTCTCACCATAATTATAATGCCATGGATTGTTGCTGACCCGTTAATAGCTCGCGGATGTGCCGATGGTTTCCACTCCCGAGCTCGAATCCCTGGGCTTTACAACACCAGATCAAATGTCCCAATTCGTCGGGCCCGCGCATCTAGGACGTCGCAACATCATTTCCACAGAGATTGGCGCAGTAGCACAAGGAGCATACAGTCTGACCATCCCCTCCCTCGTCAACCTCTTCCACGAAGCTTTCGCAGGCGGCGTCAATGCCATGATGATTCATGGAATGACATACACTGGAGAACAAGTCGGATCGACTTGGCCCGGATTTACGCCGTTTCAGTATATCTACACCGAACTTTGGAGCCCCAAGCAGCCGGTGTGGAACGATATGGCTGAGATGATGAACTACACTGCCAGAAACCAGTTTATCCTGCAGCAGGGAGTCGCCAAGAAGGATTTGGCCTTCTACCTATACAAGGATCCTTATGGCCTAACGGATGAGTATAATGGCACGGATCTTCGTGCTACTGGTAAGTGCCGTGCATGATGCAATCATGTCCCTTCTGCTGATGGAGTTATCTAGGGTTTACCTACGAGTATTTGTCACCAGCCAACTTTGGGTCTAAGGCCTTCAAGGTTTCGAACAAGGTTTTAGACCGTTCAGGTGCAGGATACCGCGCCCTTGTACTCGACCAACAACAGTTCATCACTGCTGAGGCATCGCAAAAGCTCGTTGAGTTGGCCGATGCAGGGCTTCCAATTGTCGTCATAGGAAATCTCCCCAACACTACAATCGGAAGCAAGGGGCAGGATGTTGTGTCCAAGAACATCTCGAAGCTCAAAGGATCCAAGTACTCCAACATCGCTTTCATCAAATCAGCCGATGATTTACTAAACGCACTCGATCAACTTTCTGTCCAGCCCCGTGTAAAGACGGTTTCAGAGGCTGCGAAGAACTTGTACACCGTTTGGAGGTCAAGCGAAGCCTCGGACTATCTTCTCCTCTTCAACCAGGGCTCGTCGGCGACTTTTGAGATCACGGCAGAGGTTGAACTAGGCAATGCCCCTTACAGACTCAACGCATGGACAGGACAACAAGTTGCTATGGCATCCTTCAAGCGCTCCTCGGGCAAAATAACCTTCGAAGTATCTTTGAAGGAAGGTCAGACGGCGATTGTCGCGTTTAGCGGAGGGAAGTCCAGAACGAGCATTGTCTCACATTCGAACAATATCATCGATGCTTCCTACGATTCTGATGGCAAGGATGGTATCTCTGTCGTCTTGGGAGATACTCAAGCAGCCTCTTTGACATTATCCAATGGACAGAAAAAGCAGATTCCTGCTGCCAGTGGCAACGACAAGAAGAAGTCCCTCAACATCGATATCGGCAAATGGAACTTGACTCTTGAGTCTTGGGTTCCTGGTCCTGACGAGACAAAGTCGGCATCTGTCAAGAAGGTGATTAAACTGGGCACTCAGAAGACCTTGAAGCCCTGGTCCGAGATCCCTGGAGCACAGAATGTATCGGGAGTCGGTATATACACAGCTACCTTCCAGGTCCCAACCTCATATCGAGTCCCAAGCAAAGATTCCATAGCTGTACTGCAGTTTGGTCCTGTGCTCAACACCATTCGAGCATGGGTTAACGATAAGCAGCTCCCAGCGATCGACATTTTCGATGCTCAGGTCGATGTCTCTGATTATCTTGTTTCAGGACCTAACACAATCAAGGTAGAGGTGGCTTCTACTTTGTTCAATGCGGTGAAGGCTAGGGTTGATGATGTCAAGGCGAATGGCATTGGTCCAGCTGCACCTGTCTTGTACACTGCTGCAGATTGGCAAAAGCATGGATTAATTGGGCCAGTGTCTGTAAAGACTTTGAGAAAGGTCAGCTTGTAAGAAGCATGCAATAGGTTTAGGTTAGCTAGAAGGGGGAGAGTTGTAGTAAGGGCCGAATATCTATGATTCGGTATCCCTGGTTGATGGGACTTGACGCAAGGGATAGCTCACTCAGGATGGGATAAGAATGTCTTAAATATTTCGACTAACTTGACTGCTTGTCTTCTTAAATATGTACTGCTCCCTCTGAGGGCCCCGTGAAGCGTTTAGAGAGACCCAATACCCAGGAAGAGATGACAAACATCAGGCTGACTGCGAAAATAACGACAAGATAATCCATAGAACTTCCAGTGACAGGACGAGCAACAGGGAACGCAAACATAACGCTGAAGAAAAGCATGAAGATGGTGGCTAGCGCATTGACGAGGTACCCATATCGACCTAAGGAGAAAGCCTTCTTTGGCAATGAATCGCGACCGGTGAATAGCAAGACAGTTTGCGGCAGAACTACTGTGATGTTGAGGGCGAATAGAGTTAGGTTGATTAAGCTACTATAAGCCGTTTTTGAAGCGATATAGAGGATTCCAATGATGATTTAGAGGAAGAGCATGATGGCTGTTGCGCGGACTGGGTTGGACCATCTGAGGCGAGAGACGTAGGAAGAGTAGAGAACACTGCCATCCCGAGCGAATGACCACATAATCCGAGATGAGAAGACGAAAAGGCTGAGAATGATGTGATAGAAAACAAGGATGTAATAGATGGCCCAGATTGTTGTTGCCGTTTTTGAGCCCAGAGCCTGATTATACACTTCCATGATTGGTGCACCCGATGCAATAAGCCCTTGAACGTCCTTGATGATATACATAAGACCAATGTTCCAGCCAATGACTGTAATAATACCCAGTATGATTGTAGCACCGATTGCGATGGGAATGTTTCGGCTTGGGTTGTCGACCTCTTCCGAGAGATGACTTGGCGCGTCGATACCGCAATAAGCCCAGAGGCAACTCGCAAGGCCAATCATAGCAGCCCAACAGTCGTTCCAACCAGAAACGTTTGTAAATTCGGTAAAGACGAATTTGCTGAGTTGTTTGACTTCCTGAACTGCTAGGAGCGTTGCAAGCGATGCGATGAATCCGATTATTGAGAAACACTCGCAGCGTCCCTAATTCGAGTGATGGGGGAGCTTGAAGCAGTTGAACTAGCTTCAACGAGTCGTTTGTACCAACTTCGTGCTTCAGGGTCGTTCCAGCTCGCCATGCCGAATACCCAGGCAGGATATCTATTTAGCCATGTTTCGGGGAATGCGATGAGATTGGCTCCAGCCTTTGCTGCTGTAGCAATCTCTTCAATTGCTGTCTGAACGCCGTGTTCGAGGTCTAAGAGGCGGGGACATCGCTGTACGACGTAGATGCCGACTTTGTCGGGTTTGTTGTTGGTCGAATCTGGGAGAGTGTTGATATCCATGTTGGCAGCCTCAACGATCAAATGATCTGTGCTCATAATTATCTGTTCACACCGAGATAAGAATTCAACGTATTCATGCAAAGATAAAGTCCTCACGTCAATAAATGTGATGCTGCAAGAAGACCTTGACTGATGACTTGCGCTGCAGGGCAAACGGTTCACCTAAATTTATTTGGCAACGTGATGCTGTCAGCGCCTTCAGCGTCAACAACGCCGCTATGGTTAGCACCGTTGTTAACGTTAACAGCCAAAGTTTAGTGCGAAAATTAACCTTTGGTCTAGACCTCGCCTGAGGTGCAGGTGACCCACCTCGCTTGCAGCATCAAGAGCGTCAAGCGAAACACTGTAACCCCCCTGAAATACTCCCTCTTCATCTTCGGAACGCCTTCAAATATTGCACAAAGCAATGCTAGCTCGAAACTATAATATGCCAGTATTTATTTAGAGAAATGAATAAATTCCTGCATATCTATATAGTTTTTTTTTTTCGAAGGTTCTTATCTGTTATCTGATGTCAATCTCTTGCGAATCTGAGATACAATCACCTCGCGTACTAGCTCAGTCTCAACAACTGAAACATGGCCGTTTCAAGGTATGTTCAACCGTTTCAACCCGTTTCCAATGCAACATTAAAAATTGTTTCTGGCAGTTGGTCATTGTATTAATACTCTTACAGCACCCCGAAGCGGCCCTGTTTGGAGCCTGCCATCCAAACCATCTAAAAGTCGATCGCACACAACCGCTTCATCACCCTCGATGCTTCAGAGGTCCACAGCAAGCCTCCCACTCAGCACGCTTTCCCAAAGAAACGACTGCTATCGTCACAATTGACCTCGGCATTCAACATCTTCCCTCGACCGACCCAACAGTCGCAATTGACCTGATCCGACAAGCCATTCGCACCAAACTGGGGCCGCACCACCACGTTCGATCGAGCTTCATAGACTCAAGCGGTTATCGCAACATTATCTTCACACTCTACTGGAAAGATGTTTCAACCTATCGAGAGTGGGAAGCAACACTGCCTGCAGATTGGTGGTATGGAGGGCTATCTCCTGCTTCCGACATCGGAATATTTAAAGAGCTGTACACAGTCCCGATTACTGATACGGAGATTACATTTGCTCTACCGAATCCAGAGGGCTACTCAGTCATCGCAGAGTCAATGAGCGGCGAGACTGATACCCATGAATATTGGGGCTCAGCTCGAGATCGCATTCCGCGGTCGCAAACAGACAATATTGAACCAGATGGCTGGCCATCACTCAAAGACGACGTCTTCTCGTCAGACCCTCATGGAAAGCTTGTCTCTGTTGAGCCCCACAAAAATCTCTGCCTTGTCCGCTCCGGTCAAGTCTGGGAGAACAGTACACCAGCCGAGATAAAGTCATACAGCACAGAGATTAAACCAACTCTCGACAGCGGCATGGAGGAGCTTATAAAGAACAGCCGGCACTTCAGCTGCTTCTCTAACAGATATATGCGTATAGAGGACGACGATGGAAACCCAATTGGTAAAAAATGGAGCATTATTATGTGGGAGTCGCTTGAACGTCTTGAGAAGTGGTCTCTTACTCCAAAGCATAAGGAGATCTTTGGTACACAGATCAATCATTTTAATCGGATGGAGAGGGAGGTGAGGAGGCTAATCTAAATCTTTGGCATGAGCTTATGGTATTACGCAAGGCGGACCAATCTTTTATGTACTTTAACTGGTATAAAAAAACAGGAATATTGTCAGTGGTGTATGACTAGTGGAATTTAAGGTTTATATGAGTTATTTCGAAGTTGAGGCAGTTCATCTGAACGATTGACTGTTGTGGAGTAAACTCCTAGAGTAATGGGGGTATTGAAAAGATTATATGCTGGCAAAGGATAATAATCACAGATATTGAACACACACCAACAAACATATTAGAAAATATAGTAGTAGTTTTGATGTATAAAATTGTAAGCTCCTGATTATTTTTATAGGAGCCTTACACTTATTGCGTTCTTGTCCTTATTGCGGCGTCCTTTATTAAGAGTTATCTTAACTTGCAAATAAGACTTCTATACTAATACTTATATAAGGTTAAGGGATTAAAAGAAGCTTTAGGCCCCAGTATAAATATAAAGAATATACGCTAATTTATATATAGGAAATATATTTAATGCCTTTATTACTGCTTAATAGATAGCTTTTATTATAGAAAGTTAGTTATTTTGATAACTGTCTCTAAAGCCGGGTAAATAAGGGCCTCCTGCTCCTTGGAGTCAATGAAACCCATTGAGAATCAGACATCTTAATCTCTGCATGGTACTGGTCCAGATGAGCTCGTAGATCTGCATATAGTTCATATGGTTGTGAAGAATGGCAGAAGGGGCACATATAGACTGTATTCTTAGTAAAGGCCTCCCATCGTTCTGTGTTTGCTCGTGCACGTCGAATCCGAACGGCCTCTTCAGCAATGCGATTAATGACGTTTCTTACTCCAGGTTGGCGGAGATAGCCCTCGGTGATATCTGCCATCTCTAGGAGAGTTGTCTTTCCCGTACTGGCCGGACGCCAGTCGTCGTAGGGGATTTGGTACAAATTTCTTTCCACATTCAGTCTATATGCATGTTTTAGCCCCATACTCTCAGCAAGCACCAGCCATTGCCCAGTATTGCTTTCAGTGTAAATCTCTGTTGAATGCGATTGAAAAGCTCTGTTCAGATCCTGAAGTCTTTGTTTCCAGGTAAAGTCACGCCGTTTTGCGTCGTTTTTGAGAATTACCTTGGTCTCAACCCGTCTACCTGTCCCGAGATTGACAAAAACCGAAGGAGCCCTGTTGTGCTGAAGGTAAATTTCTTGCAGGACCTTGTATGAGGGATTATTCGCCACTAATGCTCCATCTGAGTGCGTGGCGCCGTTGATCTCTATCGCATCAAGATAGACGGGATTGGCAGAGGTGGCACACGCAACTTCCCAAATAGTGGCTGAGTGACTTATAGATGCCTTGCTATCAAGATCATGATAACTTTTCCAGATGTGTGCGCTTTCGGCACCCTCCTCAACGCGATAAGAAATGACCATGCTTGGAGATCTTAGTTGTCCGTCCATGCAGTCAACAGAAATTGAGTGTTCCACTTACGTTCGAGTGCAACGTCCGAGCTTCGTGAAAGGCTCAGTTTTGGCAAAGACTGCGAGTTCCGCAGTGTCCATAGTTCCAACCCGATAGCTGCTTATAATGATTTTTTTAAAAGCCTCGCGAGCCTTGGTGGCTGAATACTTGGCTCGTACGGGGAAGTATGCTGATGTGGTGTGGAACACTCGGGGTTGCCCAAAAACGGCATTACCGAAATCGATAAAATTATCAATAGCCTGGTCGACAGACATACGTAGCCTTCCTAACATGATGCTGTTCAGACTTTGGCAGTGGTCAGCTTCTGATCTAACTTGAGTCGCTTCTTGCATACCCTCCAGTTGATGTCCCAGCCATGTAGTCAAAGTAGTGACAGGGGAGAAATTCATCAATCCTGTCTGACTCTTCTAGTACCCCCGGTATACCATTTTCGTTCCTGGTCCACGAACATGAGCTACTTGAGTAGGCTGGGCCGTCGGGGTGGAGTAGTTCAAGCTCCCTAATTCGGTGCATGATGCGCTTCAAAATCAAAAGACTGGAGATAGCACGAACTCCTCCAGCATCTAAAAAAAGACAGTTAGCATGAAAAAGAGCTCTATGGAAGGACAAAGGTTCATACCAAATGACAAGACTAATCTCTCTGACCAAGGCCCCTCGTCATCGGACATTTCATCATCTGCTCGAGGAGGAAGACGAGGAGAAGCGTGGGAGGAAATAGAAGTCCCCATTTCATTCTTATGTTCGTTTTGCTTACCCTCGCCGTTTTCCTTTCCTTTGTTTATCTTTGTTGCTTTTATGATCTGTTCTAAATATTCTTGTTGAAGTTTCGTATACCACTCCCAACATGGACTGTTTGTAAGAGAGCTTGATCTACACAGTACGGAGTTAACAGCTTCTATGAGCTCCTGTGTTTTCTCTGAGTCCCCCAGCTGCCACTTGGGTATTTCTGAAATATTGCAAGCGAGTTCTTCAACATATTCCATTGTAAGAACTCCAGGCACATGACTGAGAAGTGTGAGACCCGTCCAGAGTGGGCTGTCTTCTTCAAAGGCCTTCTTGGTATCCTCGTGCATCCTGCGTCGAGACCTAGCTAGGCGAAGCGCGCTCATCATTCGAAATGTTGCTGAAATATCGGGGTTATCAATAACACTCTCGAGTATTGGCACTGATTCCTGGTATCTAGCCCGCCCTATGAATGAATCGGCCAGTGCCAACATGAGATAGATTCCGTCGCGTCGGGTTGAGAGACCCCCGTCCTGTCGTGCCTGGAGTGTTGTTCTTAGACATTCTTCTGCTTTGTCCTCTTGGCGGAGAATGTTATAGCAATTCGCAAGCTCGGCCGTGACTATTCCAAGGTCCATAGATGATGGTCCATATAGTGAGCTGATGTCCACTATCGTCGAGTTCAGAATTTTTACAGCGTCTTCGTGTTGTTTTCTTCGTGATAGTAACAGCCCTCGTAATGCCATTGTGTCCACTGTAACGAATGATGGCTTTCCAATCGTGTCTATTTGTGATTGACTGCAGAAGCTGGTTGCTGCAAGGTACTCCATTGTAGATGGACTGCTCAAGGACAAAGGCCGCCAGTCGGATAGAGCTTTAGCCACCATCTGAGCAGGGGCCTTGGGCTCAGCCAACAACGCCTTATTTGATAACAGCATCGACAAAATGTGTCCGACCATGGCGTTACTTCTTTGATCGGTACTTGTCTTAGGGGACAAGAAGCTGGACTGCAATGCATTGTCGCCGCTGTAAGCATCGAGGATTTGGGAGATTCCTTTCCAGGCAACAGAGAAATTGGTTATCGTGTCATTGGAAATAACGTTAGATATTTGTCTTAGCAGTGGCAATGGAATTAGAGGATTTTCGATCCCTAGTACATCAATCACTTGATATAGAAACTCGAGCAGCGAAACCAAGTAGGACTCTCTCCTATGACTCGGATATTAGCGGAAGGTGTCATCAATGGCCTAGGCATCGTGGTGATGATGAACTTACTTCTCAAGGTTCTTAGGCAACAGCCAGCCTTCAATGTCAGACTCTGTCAGAGACGAGAGCAATGGCAGGATGGAGATGTTCACAACATCCATCAGCCTGTCGATTATTTCCTCTCCCAAGATCTCGGCGTTATTGGAAGGGAAAGCCTGTAGAATAATGGCGATACGTTCTTGGGCCGAGACGCGTTCATCAATGACTGATGGACTCTGAGCCACTTCAAGGTTAACATGTCCTTCGTCTGTAACTTGAAGATATATTACTCCGTTGTCCATGGTAGATTCCACGTATCCATTGTGGTTTCCCAGTTCTGTGTCATGAAACAAGGACTTGCTGTCATTATATAACTCCACAAGCCATTCAGGAACCCCCGCCTCCAGAGGGAGTCTCTCAATAATCTCTCCAGTTGATGACCAAGTCGGTCTCGACTCGCATGCACGAATAAAAAGGTGACTGGGGATTCTCTGGCACTGGAAGGACTGAAAGAGACGAAAGAACCTGTCTAAACGGTCTTGCTTTGGTTCCATGTTGCTAGGAGGCTAGGACCCTTCTGTGAGGGGTTGCAGTAAGGGTTCACCACGAAGCCCCGTTTCTCAGCGACAGGGAGGGTCGAACAGATAGAGCAGCCACGGTGTGTTGAATTTGATTGTAATATTGGCTTGCTGTCTTGAATCATATGCTTGGTATTCGACGTGGACCGGGAGTTGAGAGAAAAGGGCTTACCTGAGAGGAGCTGAGGGCTGTCTTCAGCCTCAGCCGCACCAGGACTTGTGTCACATGCTCAATCTCAGCTATTCTCTGCCAATGAAATCCTGCTTATCCTTCAGACGCCACTGTAAGCTCGGATGTGTTCGTATGGCCGACGTCTGCGGGGTTATCGCATTTTCGGGCTCAACTCATGAAAGCGATGAGGTTATCTGGACCGCTGGGAGACTTTAAGTATGAAATGTGGCATATTTTATTATCATTTATATCCTTGCCTACCAGGCGGTCTCATCAGTCTTTTTCCAGGCTTCTCTTGAAGTCTTCCAGCTCGTAAACGAATTCTGGGTAAATGCTACACAATCTGACCATGTCTTGAAGTATTGCGATGGCATCGACAAGATTGGGCCTACGTGAGTCAGGTACTCTTTCTTGCAGTCCTATGCGCCTCCGTACTTCCCGATAGGCCATCGTACAATCGGTTATCATCTTGTACGCAGTTGAGCCTTCAGCTATCGTGTTCCCATAACTCTGCACTTTTTCTTTCATCTGAGCACAAAGTGTGACGAAATCGTCTACTGACTTGTAGGGCACTTCCACGGGGTCAGCAAATGGATCTTCTCCCACCTCTTCCAAATCTTCCAGCCCTTGTACCTCTTGTTCCTCAAGGAACCCCTCTACCCACTTCATGACGCCCTCTGGGAGGCCCAAGCTGTTCAGTGACAAACCTAGTCTTTGACACACTCGGATGCAGTGTTGCACATGCGGCTGTATTTGGGACTCCCGTTCCGCCCCTCTAGCTTCAAGCCTATAGAAGAGGTGTAGTACTTGTCTCAAGAGACTGGTTCTTCTCCGCTCGTCTATATGTAACAGCATATACTGTGACATGAGAGGATGGATGTTGAGGGCTTTGGCGGGACTGGATGAGTCACTATAGACATAAAATGATACACCACGCAGTTTAGAGAGCCAGCTCGATATGACCGTGTAGCCAGACTTGAGCATCGCTATATCAGCAAGCTCTTCTTCAGATTCGCGTAGCCAGCGCTTGTCCATTTTTAAAAAGTCGTCCACACACTCATCGTCAAAGCATAGGAATGGAAGTATTTGGAGTAACTTAGTCGCGCTCTGGGGGTTCGCATGAAGCTCTAGACGCTCAAGGGAAGTGTTGAAACCGCCCCAAAGTGAGCGGCCTTCGAAGCTGAACTCGAGAAATGCTTTTCGCTCTTCAGGATCGTCGCTATGGAAGAGGTCTGAGAATGCGGTGTTAGGATTGTTGTAGGTTGGTAAATACTCCATTATGAACGGCATGGCATTCCGAGCTGCAAGAGGATGGCCCTGGACTCGACGAGCGACTAAATCAAGGCCATTCCGATAAATTGGATCCCTTGATAGGCCTTCAAGTGTGCTTTCCAGGATTCTAGTCGTATCAACGTATCCCAAAGGACATAGCCGAAATTCTCGAAAGTGTCGATCGGTCCGTATCAAGTTGGAATCTCGAGTCGAGACCAGGGCGTGATGTGCCGGGTACTTCAGGATGACTGGGATCTTGGAGTAGCCGAAGGCCTCAATATCATCAACGATAAAGAGCGACTCTTTGTTACACGCCTGTCCCAGCCACGTCAGGAAGATCTGGATGCGTTCGGAGACGGGAGTGCTTCTCCACCGTTCCTGATTCTCGGTCGGATCCTCGATCATCTCGAAACCTATTCTCGTCGACAGTTTGGAAAGCACACTGTCAACTGTCTCCATTTCATGGGATCCTAGGAAAAAGACATTCCTGCGGCCTCTTTGCCTAGCTGCGAACTGAAGGAGAAACTCGGTTTTCCTACACAGAGATTATTATCCTGTAAAGAGGACATCCAACGCTGTTAAGACTGTACCCTATTCCTGCAATACCCTTGATCACGGTAAGCTTTGGACGGGTGTCATCTGTAGCTAAAGACGCTTCAAGTGTTTCAAGTTCTTTTGACCGGCCAAAAAAAGGTCTTGTAGATGTGATCTGATGTTGAATCTCGTTCAACTCGTTTCCCTCCCACCAGAAACCTCGATCGGGTGGATATGCATGAGCTTGGAAGCGCGGCTGGCCAAACATCTAATGATTCTATTAGGACTGAACTAGTGGATCTGTTTCATCATGGGTTGATACACGGCGTTCTTGTTGAGTCTTGGGTTGCTGCACGCTACCAGTGGTCACCTCATTAAGTAACTCCCATAGTGCCATATTGATCGTCACGAAGGTCCCCAGCCTCGAGTCAAACTTGCAAATGGAACTATGATCAGCATTCATGATCACATGTGCCTGATGCTTGCCAAGAGTGGCAGATGCTTGTGTCACAATCTTCACAGAAAGTTAGAGCCAGCAATGGTAGAGAATGTCCAGACTTACATGTTGATTTGTACCTTTCACGCGCATCGAGATACCTTCTGCAAAACATCGAAAGGGCGGGCATGGGTCCAGATTGAGGAATGCTGCAGTATCCCAGACGGAAGCCGTGTTGAAGGACTGTAGTGTCTTGACGGTCTCTGGTCTAACTCCCCCAATCACCTGGGCGGTCGCTACCAAAAAGTTGCTCCAATCAGCCTTTGTCGATCCGTTATGTGGTGTGGCGAGAAAGACGATGGCACATCGAGAGAGTGTGATATTCTCGCAATTGGGCGTGAGATGTAGACGTGCCATGGCCTAGAAAACACGGTAAGTTGCAGACTATCTCTTTATCCGTAAGACCATACCTTCCGTACAACCAACCCTCCCAAAGAGTGAGATACAAACAGTAACGGGCGTTTTTTCTCCTACATTATTTTAATTAGAGACAGCCTTATTAAGCATGGGCTTGCAGTTACCTTATCCCCAGTTCGCACTTCGTTCAGAGACCGAAGTAGAGTCTCCGCCCAGTTCTCTAGTTCCATAACCGTGCTTCTGTCCGTCAGGTCCGAGTCGTAACCAAAAGTCATAGTGCGACTGTTTTTGAAGTTCTCATGCTCCGGTAGGAGGTCTCTGAACCACATTTTACCATTGTCAGCAGTCCAGGTGTCGATAGCATTGCCGCCCAGCCCGTGGACCGCGCAGATGCTAGGAGACAGTTAGTGTTCGGAGACAATACTTCTGTGCGAGGGTATTCTTACTCAAACTTTGCATCGGGCCCTTCATAGAGAATAGTGACTCCCTTGAAGTTGTCCTCGACAAACCAGTCTTTCCAACAGGACTTCTTATCCTTCTCGTGTCGTGCCAGAGCTTCACTTTTAAGTAACTCATTCTCAAAAGAGATCGTCCCAACTGATTGACCGTTCTGGGAACAGAATGTGGTTTCTATCCATCCCTTTGCAGTCGGTCGAGAATTGTCGGGTAGCGGTGCAGCTTGCTCCCCTCTGCCTATTGGAGTCGAAGGTGGCGGAGCTGGCTCAGCTTCATCTTTTGACTTTGCGTCTTCCTCTACCTCATCCGTTGATGCCGACAGTGTTGGTGCAGTTGACTTCGATTTGCTTTTGAAATGCTTAGTAACCCGAGATAAGCGAAACCGAGAGGTCTTCTGCGGCTTGGTACAAAGATGCTCAACGAAGTCAATGTATTGAGCTTTCGTAGTTCCTGGGGGGATCTCATGGACCTTGACCGTTCTCTTGCTTTGTAATGGCATTTTTGTAGTGCAGCGACTGAAACTAGAGGGTTTAAAGTAGGATCTAGGTAGCTGAATAGTGGATTCGATGGGTCAGGTAGTGAGATCTGTTGATCGGAGGGTTTTCGCCGTGGGAAATGGAGCTGAAACCTTGCAGATGAGGGATTTAATTTTCAATCGGCAAAGTAAGCGCTTTGATCTCTTAGTCAGCTCTGTTTATTATTGGGTGGTCTGCAGGAATGTGCAGCCTGATCAGCCGTTCTGTTTGCAGGTGCAGTTCAGCTTGCTCACTAGCCACACCCGCTGTGGCTGCTTGCCACTAAGTCTTCAATGCTCTCTGAAGGCCTATGTATACAGTAGGGGTTAATCTGATCTAAAATTCTCCGCGTACAGCTCATCCGAAACGCCAAGATTGTATACACATATAGAGCCAGGCTATATTACAACAGAAATTTAGTTATATATACATATCAGTTATTGTGTGTTTTTTTTTTTGGCGTAGTGTATAACGCCTTATATTATGTTGTGGAAAGAAATACTCCTATTGCGCTATCCCAGCTGTGCAGCCTTTTGGCCTTGCTTTATGTATGGCTACAGCATCACTTATCTCTTTATATACATATCAAATGCACAAAAATGATCTCTGCTCATTCTCAGACTTTGAATCCAATTTCATTCCTTAGATTCCTTTACTCTTTTGTTTCCTGTCTAAACCAGTGTTGCTTTTGACACCCTTTTTGTGTCGTACCCTCTCCGTTTCTAAATCGATCGACCAATACAATAGGCATCCGTGATCTCCTGCAGTATTTCCTTTCCCGGTCTGGCCAGAATCCAACTGTTATAGGAGATGTTATGTAGAATTCCTTCACGGTCGAGTCTGTGTGGGTGTTTTAGTCCATATCCTTAACAAGCCGTCGCCAATTCTCAATTTGTATTTAACTAGATTGTCTGTTTTGCGCAATTCAGAACCCCATTCATCATATCAGTTGACAATTCCCACTACCTGCCCCACATCGTTTTATCTGAGTCTCGATTGTTCTAATACCCCCTGGCTCATTTATCTATACGCGTATAACAATTAAGGGGCCACTAGATCTGTTGCTATAAGGCTAAGCTAGGGACCAAACCACCGGAAATGTTCAAAACGGAGCCAGGATACCGGCGTCTCGGCACCTGCTTGGTCGGGCCTTGTACCTGTTTCAGGTGCCCTGCCGCTCATTCTAGCTATGTGGTAGTACGTTTATTCCGCCAGCCCAAGATTGCAGATTGGCGGAAGAATTAGCCTGGCCATATGTGTGGCGCGAGAAATGCAATTTCCAACATAGCTCGACATTTAGTCCACGGCAAGCGGTTTTTCGTTATATATATCTCACCGAGTTCTACCTCAGAAAACGGCCTTCTATTCTGGCGGTATCATTCATTCATTCATTTTCTAGTCCCTCGTTTCTTCTTTTTATATACATCACTAAGGAATCTGGCATTCCTCGACATTCGTTTTTTCAATACTTACACTTGACGCCTCCAAGATGCGTCTGCTCGAGGTCTTCGTCGCCGTTGTGGCGTTCCTTCCTACCTCTTTCGCCGCTCTGCCAACCCAAGCCGAAGGATTCGCCTCTAGCACTACTGGTGGAAAGGGCGGTCAGGTTGTGCGTCCCAAGAACAACCAGGAACTCGCCAACTACCTGAAGGATAACACAGCTCGTATCATTTATCTGGAGCGAACCTTTGATTTTAAAGGCTCTGAGGGATCTGCCACTGAAACTGGCTGCGCACCCTGGGGTACCGGGGCGCACTGCCAGCTTTCTATCAACAAGAACCAGTGGTGCACCAACTATAATCCTGGTGCTAAGAAGGTCACTGTCAAGTATGATAAGGCTGGTCTGAATCCTCTCATGGTTGGCTCAAACAAGAGCATTATCGGTGTCGGTTCCAAAGGTGTTATCAAGGGCAAGGGTCTTCGTCTTGCCAATGGTGTCAAGAATGTTATCATCCAGAACATCCATATCACCGACCTTAACCCTAGCCTGGTCTGGGGTGGCGATGCTATCACTCTCGACGGCACAGATAATATCTGGATTGATCACTGCACTACATCCCTGATCGGTCGCCAGCACATTGTTCTTGGTACTGGGGCCAGCGGTCGCGTTTCTATCACAAACAACAAGATTGACGGCGTGAGCCCCTGGTCTGCTAGCTGCAACACTTATCACTACTGGGCTATCCTCTTCCTCGGAAAGAGCGACGTAAGAAACAAAGACAATGTATGGTACAGAGAATTTACTGACAGGTGTTAGATGATTACCTTTAAAGGCAACTACATGTACCACGTTTCCGGCCGCGCTCCTAAGGTTTCTGGCAACACCCTTCTCCACGTCGTCAACAACTATTTCCACGACGTCTTCGACCATGCTTTCGAGATTGAGGAGAATGGCCAGGTTCTTGCTGAAGGAAACGTGTTCCAGAACGTCAAGAACCCTCTCAAGACTGGAACCAAGGGCCGTCTTTTCACTGTCCCTACTTCCGGCTCAGCTGGTTCCTGCAAGTCCGCCCTTGGACGTTCGTGCCAGATGAACACCTTTGGAAGCTCTGGCACCTTCCCTGGTGATGACACTGGTTTCCTGGGTAACTTCAAGGGCAAGACTATTGCTTCTGCTGCTAGTGCTGCTAGTGCTAAGAACGCCATGACAAAAGCTGGTTTCGGTGTTGCGTAAGTGCAGAGTCAGTCCGCCATCGGTCGGTATCATTCTCTTCTAAATGGGCATTTTATTGTATATAATTGCATTGAAGGACAGTTGAAAGGGGGTTGAATTGGTGTAAATATGTCGTGGTATCTCTAGTTCAGATAGGCTGGTTGAGTTCGGCCAACGGAATCGATTTCAGAGTTCACCATCTTGCCAATCTTATTGCTATGTCGATTTCAATCGCTATTGTGTAGTGCTAAACGCAGATGAAGACGCACTCTTATGGGAATGCCTATTCTAAGTATTACTGGTTATGGCATCTAATGTCAGTTTTGTTGGTCTGTATCTGGGTGCCGGGTCGTCCACGACAAGACTAGGCTGCGGCAGCAAACTGCTCTTCCGTATAAAACATATAAAATATGAAAGAACTTTATTTCATTGCATTCTCATTACCTGTCTTCCTCTTCTAAACCTAAGCCAGTTTAATAATTAGAATAGATGTGCGGATTTCCACGTTATAAGGATTTAATTAACTCTTGGGCTTTTTGATGCTTGAGCTCCTTGAGTTCTTGCTCCTCGCTTCTAGGCCTCTCTGGCGCTCCAGGTCGATGCGCTTTTGCTCACGGCGGTCCCGCTCGTGCCATAGACAGCAAGCGAGGGCTGGATCAGCGCTCAGCATGCCTGAAGCAAGGCTGCCAGAGCATCTTTGAGCATTGGCTTTGAAGATGCAGCGCCGCTTCAAACCCTGAGCGGCCAAACTCAAGTTCTGTCTACCCTGTACCAAGTGCATATGCCGACTATCTCGACCAAGGCGAATCCAATGGTGGTCAGCAAAAGAAAAGGGGATGGAATGCGGCTGATTATAAAGTAAAAACCGCAACGTCATGATTATCCAACGTAACGCGCACATCTTTCCCAGACCGTCCCAAGGAGGCCGATAGCCTAAATTGGATGGAAGAGAATGGACATCCGCATTTTCCAGATGATGAGTGGGAAAACGATTCCCGAATATCACCGTTAAAGGGCTCTTTGCTGAAAACAAGACCACTTGCGGCAGCATATTCGATGGCCTGGCAAGTCTTAAACTTACACTCACACACTCATACCTACTCATCAAACCCTTCATTCTTCTCTCATCATCATCATCATCATCATCATCAAGTGACAGTCTTTTGAGCTTGCGCCAACGGAAGAAGTAGTTCTGACCAATGATATTGTAAGAATGATATTCGCAAACAGAGTCCTCTATAGGCACGACAAGACGCTTGACAGTCGAAGGTCCTCGTCTAATGAATACGCGGAACAGGTATCAGCCTTATTTTTTTAGTTGTTTTCGGAGTCCCTGCTCAGATTATAAACCCACAATTTCTCCACTACTCTGAAACCACACACTCGTATTACTGTTTATTGTTCCACCTAAACAAGCAGTCCGCTCGCGTAAGCAAGTTTCATTAGTTCTTCCACCATTTATAGAGAGAGGTTTTAAAGTTTGATGATTCTTTGGGAAGGCCTAGGTAGCCGTCTTGGAGATTGAGTGCTTTCAAACGTTATGCGTTATCCTCCTCCGTGGGAATATAGGGACGGCATGGTTCGTTGGCTATAAGTAATCTTACGCACTCTCACTCCTCTGAAATACTCTTTCTCTATCTTTCAGCTCAACTTAATATCTTCTACTACTTGCTAGTCCCTTTCAAGATGCGCGCCTCCCCCCAACTCGTTCTGTTCCTTTCGGCCATTGCTGCAGTCGAAGCAGCGAGGGGTTCCAAGTGCCGCCACGGGCGACCCAAGAACGGCAATTTCGTTCCTGACGTTTCTGCGGACCCGTACCTAGCAACATCAGAGACTGCCTCCAACATTATTTCCGGTGTTTCGACCCCGTCAGTAGAGTTGGTCAAAACTGAGCAAGCGCAAAACGTCGTTTCAACCGTTCCTATTGTCCCGACCGAGGCAGCCCAAGTGACCGAGCCCGCCATTGACGCTGGAGATGTCAAGGCTCAGGAGCCAGAAACCTCATCTCAAAAGACTGCTTCATTGTCGATACCACAACGACAAGACAGCACTACAGCTGCTGTCAAGGAGCCTACCAAGAAATTCTGCGGCAAACCCAACGAGTCCGAGGTCCTCTTTGGAACGCCATGGATTGTCTTCTCGATGAATTACAACTACCAGTCTATTAAAGGTTCTTCCTGTGTCGGCTACTACGACTATACAGGCTCTGGTGACGACCAGACCATCCACTGGAGCGTTCTCTGGGACATTGATCCTAAGGTTGGCACGAACCTCGTCAAGGGTTATAACTTTATAGGTCTTACCCAAGGTCTGGAAACAAGACTCAGCGACATAAAGAGTATCCCTTCCAAGTATGAGTGGACCACTAGTAAGAGTACTGAGTATAAAGGTATACGATTTATTTACCCCTGCCTCCCCCCCTACGGGATGTGTGAATATATAAGCTGACTCTCGATGCTAACCAGGAAATGTTGTGTATGACTTTATGACTTGCGATACAAAGGGAGACTCAACCTCAAACCGTGCACAGGAGCTCATGCTCTGGCTAAATTGGCAGGGAGGCCAAGTTCCTATCGGCTGGGGTGAGGGACCTATTGCCACTATCGATGGGCTCTTTGGCAAAGACGGCTGGAAGCTCTACCAGGGTGTCAACGCCGATACTGGCATCACTGTGACCTCGCTCCTGTGCCCCGAGGACAGTCAGTTTGGCAACCAAGAGGGCGGTAGTTTTGAGGGTGATATCAAGGACTGGCTTGTAGCGCTCTCCAAGAAAGGCGTGTTCAAGTCAGACACGTATGTAAATGTTGGAAACGCTGGCATGGAACCTTACTATGGCACTGTTGACTTTGACAACCATTTGAGCCTCAGGATCAACGTCTAGAGAGAAGGGAAAAATCTGATTTAAGTTTTATGTTCTAGGTATAGTATTTTAGAGGCGAGATCTTGTTCCAAGGTATTTTATTCAATATGACTGGCCAGTTCCGTCGTTCAAAGATCAAAATATCATACAATGGCAATCTCTGTGAACTCAAAGGCCAAGGGATTTATCCATTCGCCCGCCGTTGCGCCTTTAATGAGTATGCCCCCCAAGAGTTACATCACTTCCATCACTAACATAAACCCGTAAGACTTAATCATAACATATTGCAACATACGGAAGCGGTGCCTTTTCTACATTTGGTACAGACCTTCGTGGACTAAAGGCAGGGCGTTTCGCGCTCTTAGTAATAGAACTGAATGGAATTGTGCGGCGCGTCTACTCTACATGGTTAAGGACGGACTTTCGGGCCTAAAGACACATTTTAACATATCATGAAGTATTTAGCTTATCCCATAGACTTATGTAATCTGTGTTACTTGCTTTAACGCCGTTAGAATAATACGTACCCTGCTACACGTGCCTAGAGCCTGATCAGGCACCAATATGCAGTCAGCACAGTCCCAGGCCTAGTCCTAGACCTCGCCTCTCTAGAATCCCCAATCTACTTACCTTGTCATCTTAAAGGTTCTGTGAGCTACTAGCACTTATTTCGCTATGGCTGACCCTCTCTCCATCGCGGGGTTGGCCTTGGCCGTGGTATCGCTGGGCCTCCAAGTCACAGTGAGCATCACGGATTACTTTGACTCTCTCAATTCCCGCGACCATGACATTGCCTCGATAAGACAGCAGAACGAAACGCTAAGGAAGACACTCCAAGTTATCGAAATATCAATCTCCCGATTTCAGAACGACCACAGAACCGCAACAGAGGCATTACGTGAATGCTTGAACTCGTGTAAAGAGCAGTTGAAGGCTTTGGAGAATATCGTAGCTGAGCTCATTACGTGCGACCAAAGCACAACTGGTCGAAAGAATAGGGCTCGGAACCAGGGCAAAAAGCTGTTCTATCCGTTCCATCGCCCAAAGCTCGAACAACTTGCAACAAAACTACATCACATCAATGCGACTCTTCAGTTAGGATTGCAAAGTCTAGGACTGTAAGTAAGCCCGATCCTCGGAATCTTATGAGCCTTGGTTTTCTGAGATGCTTGCCAGGTCTGTATCACAGTTGGGGTCTGAGAAGCTAGCCACGCTCCAGGCGACTTCGCAGACTATCTCTACCGGCCTCCTAACTGTTCAGGCTGAGGGTTCCTCTATAAGCACTCCAATTCAAGGCATACAAAGCACTGTATCCCAATTTGAGACGCGCTTTGACGGCCTTGAGAACCTACTCAAACAGCTGCTGGTCCAAGGCTCGGCCATCAACGGAACACTGCAAGAAGTAAGCGTCACTGTTTACTAAGGTTATTATATATCGAATGTTGACGTAAATTTCAGATCACTCCTTCAATGGTGACCGGACGGCTTCTTAGGAAGCCAGCAATATTACAAGAGATGTGTAACGCTGTCAAGACTCAAGCGCGGCATAGGTCAAACGGGACTCAACTAGTGCCATCTAAAAGCACAACACAAGTCAGAAGAGCTGCATCGACCTATACTGGAGGCCGCTTCTCATGCTTATGTCGACACCGCCGACACCTCCAACGTAGGAAGGCTGCCTGGGGCTCCGTGAGCCTTTCTCACGAGACAACGACCGAACGGCATGCACCCGGGTGTCCAGCGACAGAAGCAATATCGGAAATAGATCGAAGTAACAAATTCGCTTTGACTTACGTTGGTCTACGGTCACTGCTCAACTCAGCTATTCAGCTTTCATTTACGGTTCGGTTGGGGGCAGGAGGGTTGAGCCTCGGCCCCAATTTCACCTACTATCCTATTGTCGACTCAGAATCTGCACCAGCTTTTAGAATGCTCTTTCTATTAATACGCTCTAGATATTACTCAAAGGATGGATTTATAAACGACGGCTTACTGGACGATAGAGCATGGCAGGAAGAGCTGGTCCCGTCTGTGGTCTCCTCAATACTCAGTTTGTTTGGAGCTAAGCGAGCGTCCCCTCGAGCAGTCGACGACCATAACCAGTCTCTAGTCTACCACGTGGCTAGATGTGTGAGTCCCAATCGATTTCCTGGTTTACAAAGTAGAACCTAATCAAGTTATCAAATAGGTTTTCACTATGATTCCTATAGTTTAAGGCAAAGCCAGAGATCTAGCCAGTCTAGCCCTCTACTTGATCTTCTCGAGTACTTAGTTATCAACAAGGCCCCAGCCAATGACTACAATACAGACGGCCGGTAGGTTCCTAATCTGCAGCTCAAAATAGCGGGTTTGGAGTTGGTTAACATATTTTTCAGTACGCCGCTTAGTATATTGTTTTCGTTCTGTTCGTATCATAGTGTCACCTATCCAATACCTGCTGCCTCTGCAGACCTCATCCTACGATCAAACACCGAGGACACCCTGGCACATCGATTATATCCAGGTCAGGCAAGACTTGCGATAATTGTTAACGGATCAGGGCAACAGATCTCGGCAGAAGGCACAGCGGTTTTGCTCTATTTTCTGTCTTGTTCAGCTAAAATAGCTAATGGTTCGTTTATCTATACTCCAAGGTAAACGGCGTCTGACCAAGATTTTCCATACATCTAGCCTACGGCTGTGGCCCGCTAGGCTTAGCAATTCTATCTAATAATCTGGAAGAAGTCAAAACTTTGGTAGCAAACCATCCCAGCACCCTTTCCGAGCGAAATCTTTTCGGGCATACTCCACTCCACCTCGCTGCAAACAAGCCATCATTTTTGCGAGTTCTGGTAAAAGCCGCAGACACAGCACTCCTAAACCAGATAGATAGATCCTATTATTCCGCATTAGAACTCGCAGTCTCCCTCAGTGGGCTGAGCTGTAAAGAAGATATGCGAATTTGTCGAAGATGCGGATGTGCCGAATGCGCTGTTATTCTCTTGAAAGCTGACTGCGCGATCCCTGTATCATCACACCTACAGAGTGTACTCAGCAATGCCTCTAAACGGTGCAAGCTGAGATACGTGCGCTATATGAAAGAGCGCAGAGACAGACTGAAACAGCTTGCTCTAGATAACCTGTCCAGAAAAGATATAGAGCATTTAGGTCTAGGATCGGAACATGTTCTCGATTCTAATGCCTTCCAAGTCACTCGGCTTTTGCGAGAGAGTGATATTCCTGTCCCTGCAGCCCTTGCTATCATGGGAAACGGACGGTCTTCGGACCCATTACCAGTTTACCGAGAACTCGACTCACCCAACGATGCCGATACGTTTTTCCGAGTTGGTTTCCGAGACACCGGGTCGTGGTACAGCGCTGAGGAAGATGACGTGGGACTGGTGTTTATCCCTCCTTGGGGACGTCTGCCATATCTGCGTTGGTTAACCAAACATGGAGGCATCTCCTGTCAGCTCCCCTTTTCATCAGGCAAGGATATCTTCGGAAGTCGTTGTATATTCGCGGCCATTGGTAATGGCATCAAGAATTCCTGGACAAGAAGCTGCTTCAGATTCAACCACTCCGAGGAATTTAGCAGTAGCAATTCGCTACTAGCACCCCCTGCACCGGATCCGGAGATAGCTTGGCTCCACGAAGTCCACACTGCAGTATTTGCTGCTGACATTGCGGATGCATGCCGTTGCCAATGTTCTCCGGGGGGCTGCACTATGCTAACGTTCTTATTAAGAGAGTTAGTCCCTGACTATGATTTTGAATATGAGCCAAGACGCTTTCTACATGACACAGACGACTTGGAAAACAGCACGCTGAATAGCACTGGGTCTTCAGAAGGCAGTGTTATAGACGGAAACCCCCTATTGGATCTGATCGATGGATTAATCATATATCTCAGGCATTTTTCCCGCCATCTCCAAGTATGGCATCACTATGCCACCCTTCGGTACATCACCTATACTGCTTTAGGAATCTGCCATTCTTGTTGTGAAATCAACCATCAGAATCGCATATTTGAGGATGATCTTAATAGTCTTGAGGATGGGCTTGAAGATGATCAACGACATAAGCTGGCGCTACTTGGGGATCTCTTGAATGAATTCGAGGAAAACATCACTTCCATCCTCGAAGATCCAGACAGAGGGATTCACGATCTTATTGACTTCTGGAAACGGACTTGGGTAGGCCGCATGAGTGAGGTTCTATATCGTCTTGAAGGGAGCGATTTGCCAGAGGATGAGAGACGTGGAGCTGAGGAGATTGGAGTGGTATGGGATAAAGTAGGACCTGAACCACCTGGAGAGATGGCGAATCCCTATCGGAGCACAATGATAGAATTCTGGATGTATGAGCTGAGAAAGATTGAAGAAGAATGCCAATGAGGGGAGAGGTTAACTGTGAGGAGACTGAGGGCTTTTCTTCTTATATCTCCTAGTCGCTGTGTGCAATATATCGATAGCGTTTCAACTAAACGTTCACAGCTTCAAGACATATCCCTGGGAAACATTCAGAAGTCGCTCTCCTGCAATTACCATTCTTACTTCTTTCCTCATATGTATACTATCATTATGCATGGGTATTCCGTCGTTTCAAAACCAAGGCTATCATACAATAACTATCTCAGTAAACTCGGACGTCGGTGGGTTGACCTTCTCACCCGCCATTGCACCATTGATGAATGCATCTCCCAAGAGTCGATATTTCCTCACCTCGCAGTCAGGGTCCTCCACCTCCACCATCCTCAAAATATATAGAACCTTCCCTCCAGGTATAATAACAATCACATCGCCCTTCTTGGCTGCCTCCGGTCCAAAGCCTATTTGCCCGTCACTTGTCACGATAAATCGTCGACGTTCACTTGTTTGCCGAATCAACTCGTCAAAATCTTGGATAACCTGTTTACATGACTTTGCCAATGAGCCTTCGGCGGATATAAACCATTCGAGCCACGCCTGGTAGGCCTTTGAGTATTCGAAGCAGCCTTTTGCCCACTTCATGGAAGTAAAGCCGCCACTGAGAGCGTCCTCAAATATACGTTCTCTGTGGCTCTCAGCATCCCCGTTCTCGCGAGGAGGTCCATCAGAAAGAGGCGGCAAACCAGCGAGTTGACGCCAACCATTGATGATTTTCTTGCCTCCAAGTGTTGATCCGGGGATAATGGAAGGGTAGCCAGGTGCAGTTGCTTCAATCACCGCAATCTGTAGGCCACGAGTCATCACATGGCCTGAACTCTGCACCCTCCATTCTGGTTTCGTATCTCCCGAGGCACAGCAATGTCGAGTCATATTTGTGCGTTCCGTATATGTCAGATGGTACCGATCATCAATCGTTGCATCCCAATCTGGGACCCAACTCGGCAAGCCATCCGTCCGCTTCTCAATGCTCGATTCGTGTAGGATATGACTGAGTACGTCTAGTGTCTGGGACTTTTCGATCAATGCCACCGCCAGGTTCTTATAAAGATCCGCTACAGACACGGTGTAGTCGACAGGTATCTCACTCTTGATATCTAGGCCCGGGGAACGCAGTCCGAAGTAACCGAATGCTCTATCCCGGGGATCTGAGCAGTGCCGTACACGAAAAAGGGAGATTGCCGCTAGAAAGTCTTCAGTGTATAACTTTCTAGGAATAAGCATATCCACAAGGTGCTTCATCCGGAGGGTCGCAGTGTAGATTGTCAAGCCACCGTTGATCTCACTGGGAATATCAAGGAATCCATGTGCACTACCATCTATAGGCCGGCGTGCAGCCCAACAGCACGAGTTCTCGTGGTCTATCCAGGATCTACAAGTCTTGCGTACAGTCGCCGCGTCAATAAGCCAATCGCCGCATCGGAATATGACCTTTCGGGCTAATAAGAATTCCTGCACAGTCCAAACCCTTGTTTACCATGGGGCAGCGAAGAAGCCGATAAGCGAGTCTTGCAAAGGCTTATCACTGGCGTTGAGATCACGAACCGTCAGATGAGGTGAGATGGGTGGGTCGGAATGTATCGTTGTATCGCGAGCAGTCGCCTCTATATAGTCTAAGCCTAAGCTGAAGGGTTCTGATGCGGGGGATAAGAAGGCAAGGACATATTCTGCATGTGAGTAAATTTCTCCCATCAAAGCGACTTGAGAAGTGCACTCATGTGGGTTTTGCTGGTCGATACACAGAGCGTCTATCCAAAGCAGCTCGTCGAAGTGAGATTCAGAAAGACGGCCTAGAATCTTATGAAGGTTCCTTGTTGCTTGGGTAATTTGTCCGGATACATCGAGTGGAAGAGTGTTGGTCAAGTCGCCCCAGACATAAGATAGCGCGACAAAAGGTGGCCGAGCTGGATCGCTTAATGAGACGCGCTTGAAGGATAAGCTTGAATTGGCTCTCAGGCGCAGCAGTCGAATCTGGTCACCTTGCAAACTCATTATTCCCATATTTCGGTCATCAAGTAGTCAACAATGCAGCACTAATTACATGCGGCATAAAACACTAGTTAAATCTTATTTCCCCTCATAACCAAGGTGGGAAGAGGATGACGGCACAGCAGTGGAACCTGCCAGGCTGCCAGCATCTTGTGATCATGGGTTAAGTCACATTCTGACGATTTGTATTGCACGTTATAATACACTATCCATGTTCATAGTGTCAATACCCATATCTAACACTATCAGGCTTTAGGGCAAGATACTACCTACAACTTCCCCTTCCTCCCATCTTCGGTCAACTTGAGGATCATGCCGAGTTTGCCACCCTCAATCGTTTCAAAGATGCTTGGAAGTCCCTGCGACTTACGCTTCTCCTCTTCTCTACGGAAGAACTCTTCCGCAGTCTTGATCCTGTTCGGATGAATCTCATCCAAAAGTTTGTAGTCCCTCTGAATAACCCCCTTATTGCCACCAGAGTTCCTCCACATATTCCAGAAACCACTAAAGTTCTGGAGAAATGTCATGGTGGCGGGATCATTGGGATCGGCGTTGTATCCAGCTGGTACTGTGCCTTTCAGAGGCAAGTGCTCGAAGTAAGTCGCCAAGGGAATGTCAATGAACTGAGCAGGTTTTCCAGTGACCTTTTGGAACGCTTTCGCTAGATCATGATACGTGATATGATCGATAGCAACCTCAAGATCCAATCCATCAGACCTATCGGGGTGGTCGAAAAGCCAGCGAACATAGTGCTCGCAGTCATCGAGAGCGACATGAGGGATCGCTCCATCGGCGAGAGGGACAGCCCAAGTGACAACTCCCTCGACAGTACGAGGTGTCATAGGGGTTCCTGCTGAGACAGCCATCTCGATATATGGACCCGTAGTGAAAATCGCAGTGCCCATGCTATGACCCTTCCTCTGGCTCAGCATCCACTCCGCCATTCGGCCTTTTCCGTCATAATGGCCACAGCGAAACTTGGGATCATAGCCACTCTTCTTATACCCATAGTCCAAGTTACCAAAGACAAAGAACTTGATACCAGACTCAATTGCCAATTCGTAGGCGCGGATGGTCCAATAAGTCTCTGTCTTTTCACCAGTGTTGAACCCGTCAATGTTGACGAAGGCGCCCCAACAGCCTTCATAGCCTTTTCGCAGGTTGTCCTCATTGGCGAATGAACCTTCGATGAACTCGACATCGCCCAACTCTGCCAATTGCCTGGCGCGCTCTGAGTTGGCATCGCGAGTAAGGACTCGTAGACTATAGGCTCCATCTCTGGTGAGGCCGCGACAAACAGGAAGACCTTGAGCTCCTGTAGCTCCGATGACAAAGATGCGACGAGTCATGACCGCTGCAGTGAAAGGAAGGCCTACCGAAGTGTCGATAGAGTTTTGTGAAATGCTCGTGTTTTTATCAAGTTAGAGGGTAGGATTCATGCATGACATTTCGAAGTGTAAATAGGTGCATGCATCGGCGTCGCTTTTCACACTTTCCGATAAAGATTACAAAATGAGGACACTACCGGAGGGTTTCGTAATACTTTAGCACGAGAACTGAGGGGTGATTATTATTCTCTCCGGTCTCGGGTCATGCGTTTTGATCAGTAATTATTGATCACTAATCGTGAGCGTGGTGCTTTCAACGCTAATGTCCTGGCCCGCTCAGACAATTTACCTGTCAGACCATCTCTTCGTATTCCTAATTAGGAACGACTAGATGTTCGGCATTAGACAAGTTCCCAGCGGTGGTGTAACTGAACATGTTGCTCAAACTGATCACTAACATACGCGTATACTGCAACATGGCGGTGGACAAAACAGTTCAGTAATCAATTATTTATCGTGACCGGGATTGTATAATCACATTACATTGAAGATACATCATCCGAGTCTGATTATCCTCCCGACCTAAACTATGTTGAAGTCAAAGGTAAAGTTGAATGGTTTGGTGTAGCACCTGTACTTCTCAAATGGTCTCACCCTAACCGTAGCTGATCCCAATCCATTGTTATCGTAATCAAGATGCAGAACTGTCATGTTCAATGGCTTCAAATCATGCGGGTGCTGGGCATCGTCCAAGTCAAAGGGCATGTACCTCCGAGCCGTGAAGCTGAATGGCTCACTCTTGGTTCGTCGTGCATCAAGCGTAACATCCTTGTTCCCGATCTTCAACCAGCGCAGATCCTCGCGGTTGCCATTTTCTTGAGGGTAGTCATAGTATGTGAAGAGGTCCGGCACGGTGGAGCTGTACTGCCCAATACGAGAACCTTGCTTGGAGTCCTTGTAGCTCTCCCCGGGTCCTCGGCCAAACCATGACACGTCGTCGAAAGACTCGGGTAGAACAGCCATGAGACCGATGCGGGGAATGACATGCGATTCATTCTTGCCGACGAATTCGCCCCGAGCTTCGAGTTGAAGTCGAGGACCATCAGTGGGGATCTTGTAGATCATGTCTGCCTCAACACCCCAGGCACGTGTCTTGACGCCAACCCAGACTTTATAGTGCACAACGGCGCCATCATCACCAACGCGCCAAGTAACGTCTCTTACTTGTGGGTAGATCATCGGAATCTTTTCTTGTTCCCAGATTGGTCCGTCACCAGAAGATGCGGCATCGTTCTGTGTGAGAGCGCGGTAGAAGGAGAGTTCAGGACCGCGTTGGAAAATGTCGATGCCGTTGATGTTCCAGGTTACGTTACCTTGCAGCAAGTCAAAGCCAAATGAAGAGTCACCGCTCTTATAGAGGAGCTTGGTTCCGTTCTTCTCGAACTCTCCGCTGCCTTGACGACGGACTAGCGACATGTCCCGCGTCTTGATGTTGGGGCGTTGGATGTGAAGTTGGTCCCAAGCAATGACATGTCCCTTGGCAGCCCAAAGAGTAGCCTCCTTCAGCCTGAACTCAACTGTGAACCATGCCTCATTCTGTGTGACGTTCAAGCCCGAAGGCAGTGCAACAGTTCTGTTCTCGCCAGCGGGTACCCTTGGGAGGTCAAGTGGACGTGCGTCAGTCTTGAGACCATCCGCGACAATATGCCAAGACACATCAAGGTGGCTCAAGTCAGAGTAGTCATAGTGATTGACGACAGTCATCGCAGACCCGTTCTTTGCCAACTTCACTGAGACGGGCTGGATGATCTTGGCGTATTCCTTTAAAGAGGGCATGGGCGAATGGTCGGACAGCACGAGACCGTCCATGATAAAGTCACCATCATTAGGCTCGTCGCCAAAGTCACCTCCGTAGGCGTAGTAAGTGACGTTCTGTTCCTTCTTGAGGAGCCCATGATTGCTCCATTCCCAGACAAGTCCTCCTTGAGATAAAGGTTCGGATCTAAATAGGTCGATGTACTCAACAAGACCACCTGGTCCGTTACCCATAGCACTAGTACTGTTAGCTCAACCTCAACGAACTTTTCGGGAGGAGCACTTACTGTGCATATTCGCACAGTAAAATTGGCTTGTCAGTGTGTGTCTTGATAAACTCCCTCACGTCATCAGGCGTACTGTACATCTGACTGTACATATCCGTCGATGTAGCGTTACGATCCTGTTCGTAGTGAATGATCCGACTTGGATCCCTCTCTTTGATCCACTTGCTCATAGCAGCATGATTGCGACCGTAAAAGCACTCATTACCTAGAGACCAAATGATGACTGAGGCATGGTTTTTGAAACGCTCCACGAGTTGACGAGCCCTGTCGACATAAGCCTCTTCCCAATCAGGATTGTTGGAGAGCCATTCTGCAGCTTCCTCCTCCGTCTCTTCAATGCCACCAAAACCATGACATTCGAGGTCTGATTCGGCGATGACGTAGAAGCCGAGCTCGTCGGCCACGTCGAAGAAATCAGGATGGGGAGGTTGATGAGCGGTGCGAATTGCGTTGATGTTGGAGCGCTTCATGAGCAAGAGATCCTTTCGCATATTCTCATAGCTGATTGTACGCCCAGTGAGATGATGATGCTCGTGCCTGTTGACTCCGTATATGATGATAGGCTTTCCGTTGACATAAAAGTTGGATTCTTTGACCTCAACGCGTCGCAGACCAACTTTCTGGCTGATAGTCCGTCCGTTGAAGGTGATAAGCAAAGTGTACAAGTTTGGTGTTTCGGCAGACCAGATGTGAAAGCCGTCACCGGAAAGACTTTTCTCATAAATATCTGAAGACGATCCTTTCCACTCATCAATAGCGGAACCGTTAGGCGAGAGCAAGCTGGTAGCGAGTTCCCCCTCTTTCCCTTGAATGGTCACGTTGACTTTGAACGATCCTTCATCAAATGAATCACTAAGTTCAGAGTCAACTTGAAAGTCGATGATTGATGATTCAGAAAAGGGAATGAGGTATACGTCGCGAAAGATGCCAGAGAGCCACCACTGATCCTGATCCTCGATATAAGAACCATCAGACCACTGATAAACGCGCACAGCAAGATCATTTGCCTGCCCAGGGGTGAGATAGTTCGTGATATCAAACTCGCTTGGATTACGGCTTCCTTGACCATAGCCAACATCTTCGCCGTTGACCCAGACATGGAATGCACTATCCACGCCTTCAAAGCGCAGTCTGATCTGATCACCATCCCACTCTTCTGGTACTTCAAACTGTCGCCAGTAAGAACCAGTTGGGTTGACGTATGAGACGTTGGGAGGAGTGACAGAGAAGGGGTAGTCAATGTTGGTGTAGTGAGGATGTCCATAGCCTTGGAGCTGCCACATGCCTGGAACTTCGATGTCGTCCCACGAGCTGGTGTTGGCCATTTCCCAGATGGGGGCATCGAAGGGACTGATGTCATAGTGGAATTTCCATGTTCCGTTTAGACTATGGAAGTAGCTTTGTTCTCGGTTGAAGGACAAAGCTGATTCTTGGTCGGGGTAGGAATAGAAGTGGGCTCGAGCTGGGAGAGTGTTGCGGTGGAGGATGTTCAAGTTGCTCCAGTCGGGCAACGCCCCTGGGAATCCAATAGCCGACAAATCCATGGTGCAGCTCAATTATTCTGAAGAAGTCTTTTAGATGCTCTACAATCACTATTTACGATCATCTTATATTTAATCGTTCGGTCATCACCTCGGCTTTACTGCAAATCCTCCACAAACGCCAAGCCCTACGATCGACGTGAGTGTCTTCCGCACCTATCGCAGCACAGCACATCTGGGGAATAGTCCGAGATCTGCATAACCTATCCCCGCAAATACAACTCTATAAACAAGAATAAGCATAAAGCTCGGATGATATCGAACTATGTCATGAGCTTCTCCTCTTCTTCCCCGCTGGAACGTAGCATTGAAGACGCACGAGCATCTTGAAATGATCCTTCAGCCAATAAACCTCGCGTACTTTTTCCACTCCTCATCACTCTTCAATCTCTCCATATCCTCATCCCTCAATGACAAAGCCGCGGTAATTTCTCCATCCGGTCGCTTGGGCATAAGATACATCAGACTCTCAAATGGCTCAAACAATGGTCTCCTCACACTCTCGGGCTTTCCCAATCCAAAGCCAAAGTCATACTCCCAGCATTTGAGCTTCGCCCATGAGCTCAACATGATATCTGTCGATGGGTTCGCGTCGGCTGTGACAGATACGCTTTCCCTGTTCGTCTGGTCATGTAGGTATGTAACCAGGGCTTGCGTCCGACGGCGAAGACGATCGCGGCCGAGCTCAGAGCGCAGGCGTGACGCTACGATGCCGAGTGGCTCGTTGGCGATTTGAGAGAGGTTCGAGACATTGTAGGTCATGTTTTGAAGGATTCCAGGGTAATTCTTCGGTACATCCAGTTGGGTGCGCACGTCAACAGCGCGACAGAATTCAGTCGAGGTAGAATCGTCCAGGCGAGCAAGACGAGCGCGGCTGACTGATTGCCAGATAAATGCCGAGAGAGCATCATCTGTTGAGATGAATTTTGTTTGCGCGTCAAGAGTCTGCGTCGCCTTCTCCTTGAGCTCAGAGAGGGCTTGTGGGCTGAATGAGAAGAAAGCCCAGCTTGCTTTTGGCGGTGCTGGCGGGTGCTCTGTGGTCGAAGGGGGTTTGATGATTTGATGATCCAGCTCAGGGCCGATTTCGTAGTTTTCGAGAAGGGGGACAATGGTCTTGCGCTCAAGGTTCATTGTTGATACCTCTTGTTGTGTGAACGCTTCGTCGCGACAAGCCTTGGAGAGCAGCCGAATAAGCTCATCCTGACCCGTCATGTCCATGCAGCCATGCTGTCCATTGACGGTGAGTACAAGGCCACCCTCGATAAAGTTGAGCTGAAAAAGCAGTACAGGCTGAGGATCATCCGGCGAGTAATCGGGGCCAATGGGCAATGTTTTCTTTGGCGCGATCAGATTCTCATCCAACATGCTCATGGGGAACTCTGATTTTCTCAAACCCTCCATCGTGGGTGCTGCAGGGTCATCTCGAAGATCCTTGACTACCAGTCGCGGTGTCTCCTCGAATGGCTTGATCTTGAAGACTCCATTACTATCGCCTTTTACTTGGCCTGCTACCCAGGGAAAGCTCTTGGAGAGACGCTGTAGGCCATTTTTGAGGGTGGTGGTGATGGCTGGGTGCGTGGAGGGGTCGGCGACAGGGAAGCAGAAGCTGACTTGGGTGTAGATCTTGACCATGAAAGGTTGCTGTCCAATGATATCTAGCTCTATGTCTAGATCGTCCATTTTCGTAACGTTTAGTGCACTCATTCTAAATTTATGGATTGTTGAGATGCAAGTGCTGTTGCGTTCTGCTACTTGTTTTATAGAGGTTATCCAAGGGCAAGCCCCACTGAGCAGGTATGACCTTGGATGAGTCGAAATGCACAATTACCTGTTAGAGACTAGTGCAAGTCCTTTACTAATGACTCAGATTATGAACTCCTCAGTCAGAGACAGAACGTAGGTACTGAATGAATACGGCAAGGGAAATTTGCTTAAACATTAATTAGAATAGTAAATAGTACGCTAAATAATTCCCTAACCTATTCCATATCTCATAATTAAGCATAACTCATGATTCCAATTGCAACCCACCTGTGAGGTCTCCACAGCTATTGCGTCACCTGTACAGGGTTGTGCATCGGGGTTCCGGGATAATTAGCTGGTGGATATTGCTGAGGGGTTTGCGCAGTTGGCCCAGTCATTTGAGGGGTTTGAGGTTGCGCGGGAAAGTATGAACCTTTGTTGTCATATTGATACTGATTCACTGTTGAGCCTGTTGGCAGAGGAGTTGGAGGCATCTGATACTGCATTTGAGGTTGCGCGACTGGTGCGGTTGGAGCAGGTGGACTGGCCATGCCAGGAGTTTGAGGAGCATATGCTTGCTGAGGTTTGGGGGCCCAATCTTGAGGATTGTATGGTGCATGGGGAGCGAAAGCTGGTTGATGCGGGGCAACAAACGAGCTTCTTCGATCAACAGGTGCAGGTGCAGGCGCTGGGGCTTGTTGGTATGTGCCAGTGTGTTGAGGTGTCCCGTAGCCAGGCTGCTGATGATACTGCGGTTGTGCAGCTGGTGTCGGCGATGTCTGATATCCAGTCTGGTACTGAACGACATGCTGCACGGGAGTCTGATAGACAGCGGCTGGATCAGCAGATGGTGGTGGCACCTGGGCTACAGAGTCAGGCTGAGGTGTTGGCTGATGAGGGGCTGTGACAGCAGGCGGATATCCAGTTGGTGTTGCTGGGAAGTATCCGGCTTGAGGTGCTCCGACAATCTGTCCAGTTGGCTGCGGCTGTACTTGCTGGGGCATATAGCCCTGAGTGCTGTCCTGGGGAGGTGTAGGCAAGACGATATTCGGGACCTGTTGTACTTGCGGCTGTTGATATGGTGTCGGTGGTGCAGGTGTAGCAGGTGGAAGAGCCTGATGCATTGCAGCCATGCTGAAGGGTTGCGGTGTTGTAGCGGGATGATAGGGTAGAACTCCTGTCTGTTGTTGATAGGTAGGTTGCTGCTGTGCCGGTTGCATATTCGGCGCTTGAATAGTCTGAGGAGGATATTGAACAGCTGGAGTTTGGGGCGGTGAGAACATCAGGCTATTCCCTGAAGGCATAGGCGATGGCGCACTGTACGTCGGGATCTGCTGCTGCTGGGAGTAGTCGTATGGCTGCTGCATAGGCTGTTGCCCGGTGACGTTTGGCATCAAATGAGTCTGACTTTGTTGAGGGACTTGCGGCTGACCAACTGGAGTCTTGATATCTTGAGGATATCCGTTCGGGGTAGTATTGTAAGTCGGCGGTACAGGTATTTGGCCAACAGCGACATTGTAAGGCGGAGGAGGGGGAGGAAGTGCTTGAGAGGAACTTCCAGCAGCATAAACCGGATACGCCTGGCCATTGTTCGGATAGGGCTGAATTGCATACCCTGCCTCGGCAGCCTTTGCATCCTGAACAGCTTTAAAGACACCAGCTTTCTGAAACGCCTTGCGAGCATCCTTCTTCTTCAGATGATCCGTATGTTTATGCTCAACCATCATACCCGCTCCATCAAGCGCAGCATGCGACACGAGCTTAATAGCAGTTTCGTTCGCAACGATCGATTGAATTCCATGCTCTGCACCCGCTGTCGCAACAGCATCAGCGCCCATGCTTCCAACGCCGAGTGTAACAACGCCGATCGTTCCGCTGACCGCCATGCTCCCAAGAACATCGCGTTTTCGTGTATGGTGTGTCGCATTAAGTCGATTAAGGTGCCTCTCAATAATCTCGCGCTTCTTCCGAGCATTATGAATCGCCGGCGCAGCCATGGCAACACCAATAGTCGAGACCCCGAGTGTGAGGGGAATAGCGCAACCCGATACCGCAGTGGACGTGGCAGCGCCCGAAATTAGGCGCGTGTAGTGTTCCCATTCTCGCTGTAGTTCCTCGAGCGTCAAGCCCTGGCATTTCTGGTCGTAGGCCTTAAAGTCAAAAGGCATCTTGTCGTCGTGGTATAATCCGTTGGAAGTGATACAGACGAGAAGGGCCAAGAGTGCCAAGAGCGGATATTTGTGTACTGGCACATGGTTTCAGCTGAAAGTGCTGCATCTTCCAAAATAGAATTGGATGGTCTAGAACGCAGCGATAAGATCATTTTCGCGCCTGAAAAAGCCACGCGAGGCACACACGGTGAAAAAGAGCTCATACAAATGAGCGTTAGTGAACGTGAAAGTGAAGAGCTAAGTTGTTCTTGGGTTAGTGAGATGCAGTCGGGTTCAGCCGCACGAGGCTTTGTAAGTTGAGACAAGGCAGACATGCCCAATTGGAGAACTGATAGAGACAAATGGGAAACGGCTACGCTACATGCAGACTCAGGAAAGAGATTCGCACAGCTTGCCCGAAAGGTGAACCGTTGGGATGAGCACTCGCTGTGTTGATGCACCTGAGCGCAGCCAATCAGAGCCTGTGAATACATGATTTTCTGAGATGGTGGCGACTTGTTGGTGAGACAATAGTATAATTACCACATTTTATACAATCAAGTGTATGTCTCTGTTACAGGCAGAAGTTATGCATGGGTTACAAACTGCTGGTTTGTGTCTTGAACGCGATGTCTTATCAGTTTATCTCGGAGAGATAACTTATCAGTCTATCGATAACACCAGGAGTCTCTAGGATAGTTTAGCACGGGCAAAAATTCAAACAATATCAACTCAATCATTACTCATCTGCAAGCAATTTCTCATGCTTCTCTCGGACTGAGGTTATTCTAATAAACTAATTATCTGAAACCATAATGGAATTCTCCTGCATAGGTCACGACACGAATGGGTGATGACTTTCATATTACTTAGGTTTAATCCTTAACTCACAACAAGCTTCAATCGCGATTAAACACCGCCAGGTTGTGCGGCTTGACAACTTCCTGTCTTTCCAAGAAATGACATTGCCTGTGGCTTATACTGTTGCCAAGACGACAAATATTTGATGCTCGAAAGCCCATTCTCTTTACACTTTTTAGTTCATCTGATTTCATGCGAGAGTTATAGTGTCGTAGCAGGTATATTCTTATCTTGAATTATCATTCAATACAAGACTTGTCTCCATTATATATCTATTTAATACATTATAACTCAATATTTAAATTCAGCTATCGTCTTATTTTAAAATAACTCCTCAAAGTCAAAGGCATTAAAGTGCTCTGAAGCTAATAGTGGCATTATTACCTCTCCAAGGACATCATCTGACATATCAGGCATTGTGGAAGCCATAGAACCATTGAACATAATGTCAAAGACCCCCTCCTCTTGCCCCGACACATTCCCACTGTCACGTGTTGAGTTTGTAATGGGCAACATAGTTGAAGCCTGGCTTTGCCTCTCCTTATAGATGGAATCCACCATTTGCTCCACGTCTTTCGCCTCGTATCGAACCTGTCTTGCAATAGTAACTTCCGTCTTGTCCAGCTTGGTACGTAGTCTCATTAAAACGTTTCGAAAGGTTCTAGCATTGCAATGCAACCTGTTCGAATGCTCAGCCGTGGCACTGTCGAGTAGCGCCGTGGCTCGATTGAGAAGATCGCATAGAACCGTTCTTTGCCTTGCGTGAGAGTCAGATATGTTCCGCAAGGTCTGAGAAAGATAGTCGTTGATCAAGACACTGAAGAGATAGCATATGTCTGTGAAGAATATAATGCCCTGGGCCCTCACATCATCGGTGGATAGGCTTAAGGCGTTATTTAGTCCGTCGTGTATTAGTGAGATATCCAGACGATGGGACACCTGTTGTGTCTCTTGCCTCATCATTGACAGGTGTTCCCCTCCAAGAACACACTCGTCGAAAGGAGGATTAGGGCACTTGTCATTCCGCAGGTAACCTAAATTTGGCTCAAGCAAGCGCGTTCGCACAGCGGAATAGTGCAATAGCAATATCTCTGTACATAGATTTAGAGCCAGTTACTTTGAGCGCTGGAGATAACTTACTGCTACATTCAAGGAAACGGGTATATGTCTTGTTCCAATTATCCAGCGTTGACACCAGCTCAGTTCTTATTGAATTTTCATTCTCTGGCAAGTGAGACGAGTTACTGACTGGGCTTGCCATAGCCGCAACAGCAATCATCTCCAACTCGGTCCATGCCGCTATTTGCTGGTAGTGTGCAATAGTAGAGGAGGCCAAGATGGTAACATATGATCTTGTGCAGGGTGGGTATTGTGGTAACAAAGGCCGCTGGAAGAGAACCCTGACACTGAGAAGTTAGCCTTGGTTGGGAATGAAGAACAACACATGGTGTTTACCTGTTTACAGCCCAGAGACATGCAAGGGTTGTGCACATCGCGTCATAACACTCCATCGCGTTAATCCTTGCTCCTGCAAGTGTCCAGATGCACTGTTGCTCATCTGAACTTGTACATTCACCAGTATCAGTATGGAACTGACAGCTGATTTCATACAAACCCAGGTCAGAGCTCATGGAATCTGCCTGCGCCGCCAGGCCCAAGATTCTGACCTTGTGGAGTGGCTCATTGGCCGCATAGAATGCCACAGCTAATGTCAAGGCTTGCACGAGTTCGATGCTCTTCTGTCCAGTAACCATAACGACTTCGGCTAGTGTGTGCCTTAGTCGAGTATCCATCTCCGCAAACAATTTCATATTGAGGCTGGAGGCGGCGGTAGCAAGAACAGCCAGTCGCAGTGTAGGCTTCTGTCTATCGCCGTCTGTTGAGGGTGAAATGAGAGGGGGATCAGTCATGACAGTGAAGAAGTGATGAAGTAGACTCTGTGACTGCGCCTCGGATTCTACTGCTGGTCGAATGATCCCTGAACCTATGTTCTCTTGACTTGTTTGGGATGGTGATCCAGATTGCCTTCCCACTTCTCGTACCGCGCTGCGAGGCGGTGTGCATCGAGTAAGCAACTCATTATCTTGCAAAGGTGATGGACGACGGTTTTGATGCCGAGTGGCCGAGTGTAGTCGTTCCGGAGAGGCCGGCTCCTTCCTTTTAGCTCCAGCAGCCCGGCCCCTCTGATATTCACTGGATGTCTCCTCGTAAATACAGGGACAGTGCGTCTCCAAGCATCTTTTACAAGAGGTGCTATCGACTTCGCTACCAGAAGACTCGCACCGGAGTTTGGAGAGCCGGCAGTTTAGGCATGCTCGATGGCCTCTTCGACGAGGAGCGCGAGGTACGGTGAGCATTGCTTAATTCTGTGGAGTGTGACGGTGAGGCCGACGAGGATGATGGAGTAGTAAATAATGGTCAAGCGTAAATGTCTAAAATAGCGGGGTGTTTGCGAGGCTGCTAGTGACATCATGCAGCCTATTAAGAGCTAGCCCTCTTAATTATTCATACTTTACTGCTTTATAATAGTTTACTTATTGAGTTTACATATTATGAGAAAAATACTTTGAATGTAAATAATTAACACATATATATATACGCTATGTAGGACAGTATAGTTTTTATTCAAGAGACCTTATAGATATTCCAAGTAAGATTGTATGCAAAAGCAACTGTATGTAGGTTATTTAAGCACGTCCTGCACCCCAAGATGGTGTTTCCAAGGCTGGCGGCCCTCAGATAATGAACAAATACATATATACATATATACATGTTACATCTAAGCAATGAGCGTAGGACTATGAAAGATACAATCTAAGTCAAGACTGAAATTCATATCAACCTAGACCAAGATATCCTCCCAGCGGCTTGGAACTGTGCGCCCATCTGTCTCCGGGGCCGTTTCATCACCCTTCAAGGGTAATTCGTGGGTTCGAACACAGGAGATCGACACCCTGGGAGTATTGGGCCGTGCTCGCGACGATCTCTTGGTCTTCTAGAAGAAGGAGATGACCCTTGTCAACAACAACCTTGCCATCGAAACAGACGGTTGGATAATCGAACTGGATGTCGTTGTGCGCGTGACCAGGCGTATCGAGCCTTGGTCTGCCTTGTATCAAGCCATCAAGACCAAGGTAGAACGAGCCTGAGTGCTTCTCCCTCTCAAACTGCGTACCGCCAGCAACCCTCACCTTGGGATTCAGACCAATCAGCGCATGACGAAGATAGGACCCGGTGGGACTAAAGGCTCGGGTGTTTCGGACTCCTTCCTCGTCGCCCTCGATAGCCGTGACGATTCCGCCCTTGATGGTGATGTTGACAGGGGCTTCAGGTATACCCGTCACGGTGGAGTCTACGCACACAATGATACCGTTCACCTCGGAAGAGTAGAAGTTCGCACCGCCATATGGGAATGGGCGCCACATTCCGGCTCTCAAGGGACCACCTCCCGAGATCTTGGGGTGCTTGAATGTAAGATCTGTGCCCTGACGTGTCGTGAGTCGGACCTCGGTCGCCGCCTCGAGCATCGAATACATCTTTGACTCCATCAACTCGTATACGTTGTAGGGGAAGCGAGCACCAGTTGCCAAGGCTGAGACAGTTGCGGACATGTGCAAAGAGAGGACTCGACATTTGGAACTGGCGATCTTGTCAAAAAACAGGGTGTCGGAATGCACTTCGCCCCACCAAGAGCAAGATATGACAAGATCGGCAGTCTCGAGAAGCTTTGAGAGCAAGCCTGGAGCGTTTGCCGTCTTCATACCACCGATTGCAAAGGGTGCAACAGAGAGAATTTGGACGTGGCCGCCGTGGTATACCACGCCAGCCGCGATTGCTTGCACCACGACTGGATCAACTGTGTGTTCAAGAAGGATGACTACATTCTCCCCTGGCTTGAGCTGACAATACTTGAGCATGTTGCGGACTCCGGGCATGGCCTCGATGATGCCATAGACCCCAGATGTTGGAAGGTCGCTATAAGCGAAAGCAGTGGAGGAGTTTGAAGGTACAAACGACATGATTGTAAGGTTTTTTAAAAGCTTTGTTGGTGATGATGGAAGTAGGAGATTGTTGGAGTTGCAATATTACTTCTTGATTGGGAATACATATACATATATATATATATATATAGCATGATGCTCCTTTGAGACCCTGCTCCTGTGCTGGTATTCCCATAAGCAGTTGTTCTTTGGCCCGCGCGACGTAACTGCTTGAAACTGCCATTTTTTCGGAGATTTGCGAGGCAGATCGCTTACGATTACCAGTTTTTCGGAGTTGGTTCCGCCCGAGCGCTTCGAACTACCACCTTTTAGGAGATTTGGCCGGCCCGAACGCTTATACTTGCCATTTTTTCGGGCACCAACTAACAAACCGCCGTCACGATTTCAACTGCACAAAATGGACAAGTTCGCGCCTCATTATCATTTACTCCATCGTCTTCTTTGACTACAACTTCTTTACGTCAATTTTTTTTTTTTAAAAAAAAAATCCATGTCTAAGCAACTCGACAAAAGGCACTTCTGGGGAGCTTTTCTTCCAGACCGAGATTCCAAGCAACCCCTGTACCCCAATGATCAAGGCGTGAGACCATGGCTAGTGGTCTTGGGGTCCTTTTGCGTCTTGGGCGCGACCTTTGGCTACGTGCGTGCTCATGAGTGGATGATAGATAGCGTTCGCTAATATTCTCGCAGGTAAACACTTTTGGAGTGTTTTTGGCCTACTACAAGAACCACCAACTGGCTTCGAGTAGCATTTCAGCTATTAATTGGATTGGGTCCATACAGCTGTTCTGCATGTATTTCTTCGCCCCGTTGGTAGGTAAGCTTTTTGACGCTGGGTGGTTCAGGTTGGTATTCCTGATCGGCTCTATCCTTCATACGGTGGGCATGTTTGCCTTGAGTGTATCTACATCTTATGTAGCTATTTTCTTTACTCAGGGTATATGTCAAGGGGTGAGTAGAACACGAATTCTAGGATAAGTTGCTTTCGCTAAATCATTGCAAGGTCGGCCTGGGGTTGATATTCCTTCCCAGTCAAGCAATCATCAGCCATTGGTTCCAAAAACGGAGATCCCTTGCATTAGGACTGTCTGCATTGGGCTCTTCCATTGGTGGGGTTATATTTCCAGTCATAATGCGTCGGTAGGTCCCTCACACTGCTCTCTCGATTGGTACCGAGTCATTGACAGCATGTCTCTACAGGCTTCTCACTTCATCAACGTTCGAAACCACTGTACAAGTAATCGGTGCGTGCACTACGATTTGCTTAATTGTCGCAAACATCACTCTTGTCACCAATCAGCCGCCCGCAGAATGGCACCAGGTGCATATGATGGATCATGAGGCCATCAAGCTTCGCCCTTTCGTCTTGTTCACTATAGGATCTACATTGGTCATGTGGGGGTAAGTCTTAAGTATGCCGCCCTTTTTGCTTTCTTTTTAACTGGTCTTAGACTTTATGTGCCAATCTTCTACTTAGAGGCGTTCGCTCAGTCGTACCATCTCTCGTCAGACATCTCTTACTATAGTTTGTCAATACTTAACGGCGCCAGTTTATTTGGACGGCTTATTCCCAACCTTTTGGGCGATTAGTATGGCGTTACACTCTTCCACTGCCCAAGAATCTCTGGACCTCTAACTTTTGGAAATAGTATAAAACCTCTTACTATTCTTATCCCTATGTGCTTTACGTGCGGTATTCTCACATTCGCATGGCTTGCTTGCACAAAGGTTGCTTCATTTGTTGTCTTTACGGCTTTATATGGGTATGTTCTCTCCTTGAACGACAGCTCGGACTCTCCTAATGTGATCGCTCAGGTTCTTCTCGGGTGGCTACGTGTCCATTTTGCCTGCTGCAGTCGCCTCATTCGCGCCAAGTCCAGGGGTCGCAGGCACCTGGTTAGGCATGGTGTTGTTTTGTATTAGCTTTGCTGGCCTTACAGGAACTCCAATCACTGGCGCAATTCTTGATAGTACAGCGTCGTCCGATACACCAGGATATTGGGGCCCTTGTGCATTCGGAGGATCTTCATTATTCCTTGGTACATGTTTTCTATTGTTAGCAAGGTGGTTAAAGTAGACATCTGCAAACAGTTTATTGAGTAAATTAGGTATCATAGGGGTTTATAAATAGAGACTTGTTATAGATTTAGTTATTTATAGATAGTAGTATTGTAAACTCCTTATGCAAAGATGTCAATCTTATACGAGATATGTCAAAACTGATTATGCCGTCGGTTGCCCTGATCATCGAATAAGTCAAAGCTGCTGTAGAGTAAAGTCAAAATCTTACCAATTAAATCTAAGCACAAATAAAGCCTCCAGCTGTCGTCGAATTATGAGCACCGCTATAAAACTGCTTCTTGGAGTACGGGCAAAGAGTACGCTTAATCTCAGGCGTAATGCCTACGCTGGTGGCCGGAAGTGTGTCCACAGCGATACCGTCCTCTACCCATTTTCGAAGGGCGTCGAAAGTAGTATCAGGATATGCCCCATTGCCACCGAAACAGTGGTTTATACCTGGTGCGACAAACACGCGGTAAAAGTCATGGACGTTGGGATTTTGAGCCGCAACAGCGTCATAGTAGTGTAGCGTTCCGTTGATGGGGATGATGCTATCGGTCTGAGAGGAAATGTTAGATAAGGCTGACGTAATGAATACAACAGACAGGGGCCATACTGTTCCATGGATAACCTATAAGCTTTCCACCTCGCTTGTGAAATGCAGAGAGATCAGGGTCATCGGTGCCCAAGAACGATCGATACTGCTGCACCAGGCTTTGGGCGAGACGATCATATTGCTCATGAGTGAGATTAGCAGTAGTCTCATTCTGCTTCTTCATGCCGAACAAGGTGACCCATTGCTCGCCTAGTGGATAGATGCCCCATGTACAGGTTCCGTTGGGGCTACAGCTGGTGGGTATAAGAGCTTGATCATTCACGGATCCAATCAACGAGCCGCCTTTCGACACACCAAACCAGATAGGTCGGCCATCTTGGTACTTTGCTCCATCCCACTATTTGAAAAAGAATAAGGGTTAGCGGATATGGCTGCACAGGAATTTACTGGGTAATGAGATACATACCACTCCCTGAACGATGGTTGCGGCGGCAGAGGAGACAGGCCGTGGGCCTCTCAAGTCAGTACAATCCACCACAGTGCCAACAACGCTTGCTGCATTGAAGTCACAGATATCCGGGTCAACGATGACTCCATAATCACGCTGTCGTTTCCATCGCAGGCTTGCAGTGCGGCGTCGGTAATGGCATCGATCTCGCACGACGGTGGGAATTCGCCCAATTTGTCCATGAGGAATGTACCCCATAGACCCCCAGAAAAGACCTGTGGCCAACCAATCCCCGGCGCACTTGCGGCAATGCCATCAAACGCTTCAGGGTACGGCTGTGCGAGCAACATGCCCTGCCGGCCACCTTGAGAACAGCCAGTGAAGTAGGAATAACTGGGCGGTTGGCCGTAAAAGCTCTTGATGATGCTCTTCGCTACCACGCTGGCATCGTTGACGGAAGTTGAGCCCAGGTTCAGAAAGAGATCCTGGTTCACATTACCTTGGCTGAGAAGGGCCCAGTCGGTCGCATTAACATGAGAGCCCAGACCAACATCAGTTGAAACGGCAGCGTAGCCCTCTCCGACAGCGGCCCCCATGGCCATAATACCAGCCTGATGTAGGCCTGCCTACCAACCGGCACCACCGATAGCTTGGAGTCTCCTATTCCAGGTATCTAGGGGCAGCCAGACCTGAACGTTGACGTAATCATTCCGGCCAGGATGAGTATAGGAAACAGTAACGTTGCGGTAGCTGACCTTGACGACATCTACAGCGCCATGATTCGCATAAATACCAAGGGGAATATTGGAGGAGAAGTTGGCGACGAGGTTGCTTGGAGAGAAATGAACTCGGCTCCAAATAAATCAGGGAAAGGAATGGCAGCGGGTAAGCAAGCCGAAGCTGGCACAGAGCCGTTAAAAAAGGAATGAATCATAGTTAAAATAAACAAGGTAATGAACGAATGGGAAAATGTTCCTGAGTTGGTGATGTCACAGGATCAATAACTGTTGATAAGTGCTTTTTATATGTATCCTGTAGATTTATTCCTAGGGCGATACGATCAGTGCGTTCTCAGAAATACTAAGCCTGCCAGCAATACAAACTTCCCCCACAGCGCGCAGCATTTTGCGAGGGTCAAGTTACACGTAGAACCCGAACTTAACGAACAAAAGCAGACACACACGCCTGTTGCCAATAGCTACTTCTCTTGGCATGTTGACCTGGATAGTTCAAATGCCTCCAATACAGTAACGAGAACGACTATAATATGTCAATGTTTCCCGTTGTTGTAGGAACACTTCCTATCGTATTGTCATCATACTACGTTAGTCTTACAATTCTACTATCACGACTCGTTTTACTTGCCGCTCTTGCATATTCTTGACGTATCTTGACACGGATCTCAAGATAAAAGCATGGCCGAGCTAAAGGCCTACAACGGCTACGCTCTGTGGATGTACCTCCCGAATGTACCAGCCGCCGCTGTGCTTACCATTCTGTTTGCCCTTGCGACAGCCGCCGTCGCTTGGCAAATGGTCAGAACCAAAGCATGGTATTGTTCAGTTTTTGTCATCGGTGGAGTCTGTAAGTAATCCTTTCATATTACTACATTTCTTCAAATCAACATGCTGACTTGGTCAAAAGGTGATAGTGGAAATTGTTGGCTACATAGCACGAGCTGCTGCCAGGAACAAGACTGACGAGCTTATCCCTCATGTTATCCAGAGCGTTTTCATTCTAGTGGCCCCTGCACTCTTCGCGGCATCTGTTTACATGACATTGGGCCGCATCATCAAGAGTATCCAAGCCCAGCCGCTCTCGATCATCCGTGTGAAGCTGCTTACAAAACTATTTGTTATGGGCGGTATCGTACCGTTTGCAGTCCAGTCTGGTGGCGCTAGCATGATGGCTGTATCGGATGACCCGAAGCTGGGCGAAGGCATGATCATCGCCAGCCTCGTTGTGCAGATCGTCGTGTTCGGTATGTACATTGTTACCTCTGCCATCTTCCACCACAGCGTCAGAACGCAAAGACGGAATGTATATGCTAATTATGGTGACAATTGGGTGAAACTCCTTATTATGCTTTTCGTCGTCAGCACCCTGATCATGGTCCGGTCTGTCTTCAGGGTGGTGGAATATGTTATGGGACAGGATGGTTACCTTTGAGGCACGAGTGGACCTTGTATGTTTTTGATGCACTGTTGATGTTTGCAGCAGTCGCTATCTTTGCATGGAGATTCTCAGGGCCTGTTTGGTCCAAGGCCATGGATATCGACTTGGGATTGGAAGTACAGCGAACCGGCGAGTATCCTCCTCGCAAACGCCTCGACAAGACCACATTCGTAAGCTTCGTCAATCTACAGAACGAGATGCCGAAACTTAAAATCAAGAATTCCGTGGCTGTGTCTGTCACAATGCTACCCTGAAACCAGCAAGACCAGATAATCCCTGCGAGAATACGAAAGATTCCATGCAGAGATTACCATTGAAGAAAGGACTGGCTAGCTAAACGGTCAGTTCAACGGCTCTGGAACAAGTGTCAGGCCTGTGATGGTTGCAAATTACATTGGCTAATAACGCTTTGTTTTCGACGTTAGGAGAAACAGGGATTGGATGATTCCAGACCGCTAACGCCAAGACGAACCGCTGTAAACCATAAATAATTAGTGCATTACCCCATGGAGAATCCCACTAATTAGCGCGGGCTGTGCCTGGAACGTCCACGTGGACATGAGTAGAAAGTTTCACAAACGTCACCAGGCAACTCTTGGTGATTCATAGAGAAACTTCCAAGTGACAAGGTAAAACTTGGATCTTATTTAGAAATAAGCTTCAAGATAGAGCTTATAAAGTTTATCTCTGCGTAATTGCTGGGGTCTAAGCCTCATGGTCCGTGATATCTTGCGCCTCGCAATTTCTTGGCGGTGACATTACTGCACGCTAGTCTCTATTCTGCGTCTTTCATGTCCTTCGCAATCAGATATAAAATTACACATAACCGCGACGATATCTCTACAATTTCTCATCAATCAGCTCCTCATCAGTCTCTTCTATATACTCTATATGCCAATATCACAATGCGTGTCTCTCAGCTCCTCGCAGTAGCGACTTATGTCACCAGCGTCTTGTCCTGCGCAAAGCATAACAATCACTACTCCCTAAAGAACAAGAAGCGACACATTGACCCTCGCGCCGAGCCTGGTAGTAAGGACTGGGCTTATGAAGCATCCTACAATTGGGGTCGCATCAACCCGGGTGAGTTTACTTACTTGAGACTTTTTATGGACGGTAACTGATACGACTTCAGATTACCATCTTTGCCAAGATGGAACACAGCAGTCTCCAATCCCCATTGCCCTCAAGCAAGGTCTCTCACTGGAACATTTGATCAAAGAGTGGAATTATCCAAGTGAGATCACCGGTAATTTCTTCAACTGGGGCTATGGTCCTGCATTTACCGTCCAGAACGAAGATGAAATCTGGACTCAGAACCCCTCCTTCAGCTTCGACAATGAGACCGTTTACCTCAAAGGCTGGCACATTCATGCGCCCGCTGACCACACCGTTGAACGCCATCGTTCTCGAGCCGAGCTTCATCTCGTCCACGTCAATGCGCAAGGCAAAGAACGCGCTGTCCTTGCAATTCGTCTTGACCCAGGCAACAAAGCAAACAGCTTCTTGGACCAACTCCCAAAGATGATTGGCTTCAACGAAACAGACGTCAGTGAAGAGGCTACGCTCAACCATAAGCTGCTTCTTGAGAGTGTTGATTACTTTGATGAATTTTGGACTTACGAGGGAAGCTTAACAAGTCCCCCGTGCACTGAGGGTATTCGCTTTTTCATCGTGCGACAGATTCTGTTTACAAGTGTGCAGCAGATGCGGGATATTCTTGGGGCTTCGACTTATAGTGCTCGTGAGGAGCAATTGGTCTGGCGCCACCGTATCAATGTATGATAGGAAGTAGATGTAGTTGAGATAGCGCGAGGCTGAATTAATGGGGCAGCATTACCCACCATAACATCATTACCACGTCAAGTTGCGATTACATCATAATGTGATGCAGCGAAAACGGTCTCTTGTTTTTGTTGAGTAAAAAGGGAATGATTCATGCCATCGAGCTAAAGGCCGAACATCCGAGATTGGGGTATCATGACATCAAATCTCCATCATGAAGTTGCCAAAGTATATATGTACAAACATTTCTCCGACTAGATAGCTAGACTGTATCACCAACTATCCGCGGATAAGCCAAAGAGCATTATGCCGGCCTACTCAGATTCAAAACATGCTGGCGATGAGCGTCAACCGCATGTGTCGATGGAGAAGGTTGACGCCCATTCTCCACCTGAGACTTGCCAACTCATGACCCAGTCAGGCATCGCCAAAGCCAAGCTTCCATGGATAGATCTCATCGTCAAGTCTTTCTTCGGCGGTATCTTCATTTCGCTAGGGTCTCTCTTTGATCTCGTCGTCGCAGGTGGAGCTCCAGGTCTACGAGAGTCGAACCCCTCTCTCATCACCCTCCTGGCAGCGTTCACATTCCCCATCGGATTTGTCCTGGTTATCCTTACGAATGTCGAACTTGTAACGAGTAACATGACTGTTATGATGTATACAACCTTGCAGAGAAAGACAAGCGTGTATGATCTTTTGAAGAACTGGGTTGTTTGTTACATCTTCAACCTGGCGGGATGTCTCTTCTTTGCAGGTGTTTTGGCTTGGTGGAGCGATACACTCAACTCTGACGCCATGTCCTCATATGCTGTTGCGCAAGCTGAGGGAAGAGTCAACATCAACTGGTGGTTCAATTTTACGCGGGGAATTGGCTGCAATTGGCTCGTTGGCCTAGCTGTGTACCTCGCCACAAGTAGCAAGGATAACCTATCCAAGATCGTTGGCATTTGGATCCCTATCTGGGCTTTGTAAGTACACACAAGACTCAATCAATGTTGGGGAATAGGATTAACAAGATCTTGTAGCGTTGCACTGGGATATCAGCACTCCGTCGCCAACTTCTTCCTCGTACCCATCGGAATGTTTTACGGCACTAACTTTGGTGTCGGCAAGTTCATCTACCAATCTAATATCCCTGTCACGCTGGGAAATATCGTTGGCGGTGCGGTCATGACTGGCGCTTTTCTGTGGTTCTTATATGGAAGGGATGAGACATTGGCTACGAAGACTGGGCAGCCACTAAGCGGAGAAAAGAAAAGAGGACGACATGCGGCCAACAGCTCGGGATCTGAGGGGGAGACAGTCACAACTGAGAACCATGGGAGAAACAGAAGGGATGATAGCATGGTATAGGAGGAAGTTTACCGTACTACTCAGTGCTGATATGCTAGCATTCGACAACTGGCCTGACACGGGTAGAAAACCTCTTCTCTACTGAGAAATACCACAATACTTATATCTGGGTGGTGTATACCTTGGACGGACTCTATCTCTGCCATGATATTATGTATTCCAGTAAAAAAGCAATATGAGAAGAAATGTATTAGTTTAAACAACGGAATTTATGCTAGTGGAGTTTGGTGCCAACGATAGTATGTATTGTCCCAGGCAGCTAACCCTTATTGTCTCATGCTTTACGCAAATAAGCGCAAATTCACCCATAGGATTCCCTAGGCTCCACCATACCACATCTCTATCCAATCCCCAAAGTACAACCAAGTTAGTCTTAGTCGGCATTTCTGGGAAACTTGTTTCATGGTAAGGAATTTTCACACTAAGGAACTTCTGTATCGCCTTATATTAGCAGTTACAGCCAGAAGAGGGAAGGTCAGGTCAGATAACTTACTGCATAATAGATAATTAAAGTATAATATCCTTTAAAGTAAATTAAAGGAAGAAGGTTAAGGCTAGCTAATAGGCAGGTGAGGCTTTTTAGCTAGTATATATATAGCTAGGTTTAGGCTATAATTAAAGTAGCTAATTATAATAATTTAACTTAATAAAGCTTTATTAACTATAAGGGTAATAAATATTTAAATTATATTAAATTCTAGAGATATTTAAATATAATTTTTAAGGCTAACTTATAAACTTAAAAAAAAAAGAATTAAAAAAAATTAATAATAAATAATATAATACTATCTATATTAGAATATAAGTTAAAACATAATATGTCTATTAATAGGCATAAAGAGCGATTTAATTTATATACATAAGTCGGTGCGAAGAAACAGCAAAGAAAATACATTGAGGACAGTCTGCTGGCTATGGATAGTTAGCTTTCACAAAGTTATCCTAAGCCCTTTATAGTCGAGAGCTACGGTGCGATGAAAAAAGTAATAACTCCTATTTAAGCGATGTCTTATAATAGTCCTCTGGGCCCATCCAAGGTCTCCAGATAACTGCATACTCGCAGGCAGTTATTACAAATTATTTAAGAGTAGGTCGGAAAAAAATGTTAAAAGCCCCTGTTTATAGACTGCCGAAACTTTCTAATACATCTTTAAAATAGTCTATGCCAAAAACTGCGCATTGACTTTAGCCAATACGACTAACTAACGTTGTTTATGTCCAGCCTAGCTGTGAGTATTTGATCCGGAAATAATAGTATTCATATCGATGTCTACTATCAAACGTATGGATTGAATCGTCTACTCGCTATCGACTAAAATAGCTTCGCCCAACGCCATCCTCCTGCTACACCTCGAGCAAGGACAAATGTAGCAAAGGCAGATATATATAAGATCCCCGCAAAGACAATTAGCCCCCCATATGAATCACCGCCTACCTCGAGGATTGCACCAGCGATAGGGATACCTGTCAAAGCACCGAAGCTGGCGATAAAAAATGCGGTTCCGGTCCTTTTTCCAATATCCTCAATCATGCAAACCTGACTTATGCAGACAGGCGTAAGGCTTACAGCTGCCCCAGACCAGAAACCATAAAGCAGAGTGAAAGAAGTCGTTCTCGCTTCCTCTCCAGCGGCTTTTAGCCAGAGTGTCAGAATAAGTGCAGCGCATACAAACGAAGTAATACACATCGTGTTGAAAGTGCCAAATCGATCTGCGACGTATCCAGGCAACGCCCGACCGGGAACTGCGCCGACGTTGAGCAGGGTGTTGAGAAGATAAGCTTTCTGAGAGTTAAAGCCGTAATGCATGGCATAGGCAGAAATGTATGAGTATGGAATAAAGACCGCAAACTCGATAAGAAACACTGCGGCCGTAGTGGTCGCGAATTTGGCATCTGCTAGAGCCTTGAGGTCGATGGATGCTCCTGCTTTCTTGTTTGAGGGTAACCGCTTTCGGAGAAGACAACATGCCAGAACTCCAGATCCCATGTTGATAAGAGCTATAACCCGAATGGCCCAAGCGAAGCCGATCTTGGGCGCGAGGTATATAATGACGAGAGGAAATACTATTCCTCCAATCCCTCCTGCAGTACATGCGAGTCCAGTGGCAAAGGCACGTCGCTTGCAAAACCAGTGCCCGATTGCTGCAAGACTGGGATTGAAAAGGAGGGACGCCGATATACCACCTAGGACACCGAACGAAAGCAGAAACTGATAGAACTCTTATAATAGCAGTAGATTAGTAAGAGAGCAGTATTAGTTGAGTATACGCGCATCGTACCCGTCGAGAGGCTCACAAACACCATCGAGAGAACCATACCAATAGATCCCGTGATGACCAGCAGCTTGATATCATGGGTATCGAAGATTGGGCCTGTCATGTGTCGTGACAACAAGCGATTAGTTAATAGATCGTTTGAAGAATGAAGAACTTACCGATTTGAGCACCACAGAAGTAGAGAAAGAAACCATAGCACCCAAAGATCCACCCGACCGTTGATTCGGGTAGATGAGGCAGCTCGTTCTCAAGCACCCAAGCCTGGAGCACGGCCAGAGTATTGAGTAAGCCCATCGATGGAATCATAGCACACCAGGCTCCTATAACAACCAGCCATGCCTCCAGCCCTCCTTCAGGGTATACTACGTCATCCTCGTCAACCGTCGTCGATGAGTTCGACGTTCTTGGACGGATATTTGCCAACTCTCCAAGTGGATGGTTGTTGACGCTTAAACTTGCCATCGCGTACTTTAAACGGGTTTTTCTTTCTCATAAAGTATAGGACTGACTGCTTGAGCTTTTTATGCCCCGCGGGTGGGCGATATGATCAAGCTTGATGTACTGCTGAGAATTGATAGGGAAGAAGGTAACTTAAGTACTTGAGGTTTCCTAAGTTAGGGTAAAAAATACTATTTAGTGCAGAAACCCTACCAAAAGAAATCCGAATACGAATACTGGTTCGTTTTAAAAAGGGCGGATTTATTAGTGGATGAGGTGTTGTTTGAAAGAGTTTTGATGAATGTAAAAGGAGGGCGCCAGGTAGCACTTAGTGCATTAAGCTACTTGACATTCGACCCGGCAGACGTGTTTCCGAGCGCTGTGCCCCACACGATTCGATTGATCTGCATGAGTTTAGAGGAGTTCGTCATACGGAGAGCATTGCAAGACGGATCCTCAAAGTAGAGGAAGGTCTGAATGTATTATGTAGAATAATAGCTTTCCTTGTTTATTATAAAACAGTAATTTCTCTTATTTACAATATTGGTTCTCTAGGTTACTAGACAGCAGATAGGTTAGTTATTAATAGCTTTCTAAAAGTTAAATGCCAGGAACTAAGTTATAGTAGATAGAAATAAATAGTTTAGTGAGCTAAGATGAAGAAATGATTTAATAGAATGTAAGAGTCCAGGCTGATAATCTATCTTGGGCTACTGGCTTATAACTGCAGTTTTTCTTTTCTTTTTTTCCCCCCTAATATAACCTTTGTCTTATATAACTTTTACTTTATGCAAAGAACAATAGTTAGACGAATTGTAAAGGTATTTATAGCATTTGAGACGTGGTAAACCGGATATTACCGCTTACGCGATATCCTGGTGATCTCCAGATCGATGGGGATGTCGCAAGTATTAGGAAATACACTGAACCGCTGAGACCTTATTATGCCAGGTTGCGTATTTCAGTGGCCAAGGAATATCTATACCTCCTTGCTCAATATGTATAACCTGTGGGATCCGTTGGTCTATTGCCTATACCATAAGGAGAGTCTTTCTAACAGCCGTTTAGCGCACGAACAATCGCTCATAACGCGGCCCCTACTTGCACTATTGATAATGGCTGTAGCATAAATCATCTGGTTGGCCTGGCGTTGCGTAAACCCTCACCCTAAATCCTTATTCCCTGATTATTTCCTCTCCTTGTGTCTCTCGCCTGATGTGGAAAATGCACGAACCAACCCTAATAACTAAATCTCACCAACCTCTGGTCCTAATGTCACTGCGCCTGGCCCATTTTTACAACATCAAAGAAATCAACCAAAGTTAGAACTAGTCGCAATGCCATAATTCGGGTTTAAAATAATGTATGATATAGGAAAATACTTATAGTAAAGTTACTGTTTAATATATACTTCTATTTAATATTTCTAAAACCTAATTCTAAATTAAGTCTATCTTATGCTATTAATAACGCGTTTTCATTTTATATATATATTTAAATCAAGTCTTCTAAAGCTGGTTTAACTAAATGCTGGTAGCTGGATTTGCGCATGAGAAACTCCGTGAATTCTCCTGCCTTCCTTTAATAACCGAAAAATTATTTGTATAGGGTTTTCAATAAACTCTGCCTTGCATTCATTGCTAAATGGTTGTTAGAATGTAGCTCTAACCTTCATAGATTGGATCCATCCGAAAGGAACCTTTAGGCGATTCGCGAGCGGAATGTGGCAAGCCATAACAGGAACGCATGCGGTCTCTTAGGCCTATGGTGTTCTGACCCTGCGCCATATCGGGGCAATTTTCTCTTAGCACTACTCGTCGAAAGTAGATTTCTGTAACGGGTAGTTGGCTAGTAGAATCTAAGCCGATTTGGTTTTGGCGGTGGAATTATGCCTGGAACATGCTCAACTACAGCTGGCCTACCATGTCCAAGGTCGGCGTGCGCGGATCTGCATTTCAGCCAAGAGCATATGCATTCTAGCCTTAGGGAAGCTGTGGCGGGCGCCAAATATTAAGATCTGCAGAATCAGCCCGAAGCCGATTATGGGACTAGAACTTTCAGAGACCGGTTGTATGAGTCTCTTTTGCCTAACCATTAGTTTCCTCCGTCTCATTCAGCAACACAGAACCTTCTCCTTCCTCCCCCTCCATCACGAGTTAAGTCTACCCCACTGTTGATTCAACATGAGGACAATCCTTCTCAAAACGGCGATTCTGCCCTTTTCGTTGGCTGTTGGAGTAGCGCCAAACGTACTTGAGTCACCGCCAAGTCCTAGAGTATTTGCCAAACCGAAATGGGCTTCTCTTAACTGACAGACGGTGGCATTCTAGTGTACAGATAGGGAGGAAAATTGGGTTACTTCTAGCCATCTGTTTTCATCTGTTAAAATCTCTTGATATATCTCCTTTATAACATTTGGAAGACCTAATAGCCGCTTGGCGGGAATTCAGGTCCTTGGTGGATGCATAGTGTCGCGTAATAAAAACAAAAACTATAAGTCTGTTTCATCGTCTAGTTTGTGTATTTGCTAATCTTATTCCTTAGGTCCTCTCAGAGGTCCGCAACCCTCAAAGGACTCTACGTATCGCTTTACCTGTTGTTATAGGCTTTATCACTGTGCTTTACATTTTGGCCAATGTTGCTTATGTAAGTATTCCGTTGCAACTTCACATTGAACATCCGGTAATGATCCTGATAGTTCGCTGCCGTACCGAAAAACGCCATCATCGCTTCTGATGTTACAGTCGCCGCGACACTTTTCACCAACGTCTTTGGGGAGTCTGCGGGTACCCGGTTGCTTCCCATTCTGGTCGCCATATCCGCGCTCGGTCATCTTTTGGGTATAGCGTACACGATCCGTGAGTCTCAGATATATTTTCGTGTTTGTTGTTTACTGACGATCGAAGCCCGCGTAATGCAGGAACTTGGCAAGGATGGCATCATACCTTTCCCCAACTTTTTATGGAAAACCGTCCCTTCAACGCGCCGATTAACGCGCGCTTGTACTGCACCTTGGAGTCACGATCATATTCGTCTACGCTCCACCGGCTGGCGATGCCTTCAATTTTGTTGTTGTGCAGGCCAGTTACCTGACTGCAGCTTTGTTTGCGTGGTACAAACCTCCCACAAATCCTGAGTGCCTGGTCAATTTACTATAGCACGGCAAGATCAGAAGTTAGCTTTGGCAGCTTTTACACCAACAAAGTAATGCCCCTGATGACCGCCGCTGATTACTGGGAGAAGAAGAGCGTCGCAGGCCTAAGTTCTTGATCAGTCATACGTACCCTACAATGCATATTCGCCATTGTTGTGGCGGACTTGTACGGACTCGATCTTCAACATGCGACAGAAAATAATGCCAAACCTGGATCAGCTTGGATCTATGCTGAGTTTGTGGCCGGGATATCCATGATTGTTTGCATTATGCACTTGTTTTTTCACGACTGCTGCGTGGTACTGGTGCGTATTCGATGGCCTTGTCTTCGTGCTGTGGCTTGCACAATTTGGGACGTTTGCCTCAATTTATCTGGGCACTGAAGACCTAACAGAGGATCGAGAGTTTGAGATATTAGTGTCTGGCGGCAGGATGCGGTCAGCTGTATGGGTTAATCTTATTACCATGTTCTTATGGCTTGCGACAACTACACAGGGTGTTATGGGGTGTTGCGGTCATCGGAAGAAAGCACAACTAAAGGGAAAACCTACCAGGCTAGGTCGTATAGGCGAGGTATAAGTTTGGGGCAATTTACAACCTGGAATTACGTATATTGAGTATGTTTCCCAAGTAATAATTAGCTAGCCTTAATATTATGAAATTAATAGCCTTAATATATAAATAAGCTAATTAATTAAGTTAACACCTGTACACACAAAGTGGTTTGCCTTAGCTTGCCACGTTAATTGATGGTAGTTGCTCATAGTTCGCCGAAACTACTAACCAATTACAGCGTTTACGTATTAGTTCCCGCAAATAACTGAGCTTGTCGGATCTGAAAGTCAGAGTCACCCAGGCATCCTGGAACAGGTATACTGGGACCCACATCGTCATCTCGGAGGTTACGGCAAGCATAGACTGCCAAGCCCAGTATCACCACACCTGGCGGGCTGAGATGAGCATATAGAGGAGAGTCGAGGAGATCAGGAGGGTGGAAGGGTTCTTGGGGGCAAGTGTATATATCTATCTGGGTGTCAATGGCACAGAATCAAGATCAAGGTTGTTCTAGCAATGCTGTATTCTCCCAAAACGATGTTATCCATTATGAGGTATGTTTCATTTTAATCTGGTCCTTCCTAGAACAAGCTAGCTGACGCTTTACTTCACAGGCTCTGCACACAATTGACTGCCTTGGTTGCGGTATCGGGTGCCTCTGCCTTGACGTTAGTCCCTCGGAAAGAAGCGGTCAGTTGCGTGACAGATGAAAAGACAGGAGCTCTCTTCGTCACAGCAGAGTGTGTCGATTTCGACTATGACTCTCCGATTTTCGATAGTGAGACGGACGAGACGATCCCTACACCCCATCGAAAGATCTCGGGCCATTTCAACGGCACCGATGTCGACTTCAACATCTATCTTATTCCCAAGTCCAAATGGGACAGGCGGTTCTTCCAGCTCATGTACCCTTCCCAGACATCCATCGCCGATGATACAGCCATTATCTTTGGGAGCGAGAGTGGTGGCTACACGATTCAGGCTTCTGGAACCCAAGGCTACCGCGCTGACGCAGCGCTGGCCAAGGTTTCCCGCGAAATCGCACAAGAGTACTATCATTCCTCTTCTGACCAGATTCGCGGATATGTCTACGGTGGTAGTGGTGGCTCTCTCAAAGCCATTGGCGCTGCCGAGAACACACTTGGAGTTTGGGATGGATGTGTCGCTCTCATCCAGGCAACGCCAATGTCCATACCTTATAACTGGGGCATCCGAGCGTTCGGCGGGTTGATCCTGGAGAAGCATTCCACGGAGCTCATCGACGCAGTTCAGCCGGGTGGTACTGGTGACCCCCATGAATTCCTTGACGAACTTGAGCGAGCGGTTTTGACCGAGACGCAACACCTCGGCATCCCCACCAGAGGATGGGAAGACTGGGGCTCTATCGCCAGGAACCGTACGCAACTGTGGCAGACGCTCAAGGACATCACGGTTCCCATGCTCCAGGATATGGACCCCACTTATGCCGACGACTTTTGGAACAAGGGTGGGTACGCAGGGAGTGACCAGTCTGGACTGGGAGAGAGATTTCGTGCTGCCCTCGTCCAGTTTGACAGTGTCATTGAGAGTGCAACTGCGGGCGAAGACGGTTTGACATCCGAGTTTGTATTGGAGACTGTGCCCAGTAACGCTACCGAAGTTGTAGGCTTTGGCTTTTCTGTCACAGTCAATGGCTCCGGTAATCATTTTTCTGGCATATTGGATGTTGAGACAAGAACCGTGCACATCTTGGCCGGCGCTTCCAATACTACGCTTGGCGCCCTCGTACCGGGTGCCAACATCCAGGTCGATAATCGCTGGTACCTCGCAGCCCATACATACTACCGTCACCAACTACCTCCGATAGACAGCGGGTTCTATGGTTATGACTATCTTCGCGATGAGAATGGTGAGCCACTCTACCCTCAACGCGATGTCGTGATGGGACCAGTCGTCTCGAAACCAGCCTCAGGAGGTGTTACACACACGGGTAACATCACCATGAAGTTGATTGTCATGAACAACCTTGTCGACTTTGACGCCTTGCCCTGGCATGCAGATTGGTACAAGAACCAGGTCCGTAGAGCAAAAGGCAGCCTCCAAGACCACTATCGTCTGTACTACAGCGACAATGCAGACCACGTCATGGGGAAGATCAAAGCTCCCTACACGAGTCGGACCGTCGACTTCACCGGTCTATACCAGCAGCACCTGCGCGATCTGATGGCGTGGGTTGAGAACAACGTCAATCCGCCGACACCTACAAACTACACTATGGTTGAAGGACAGGTTGAGGTCCCCTCATCTGCGTCGGCACGTAAGGGCATCCAACCCATGGTTGAGCTCCTTGTGGACGATTCAAAGCGCACCCAGGTAGCTCCAGGAGAGAATAAAGAGTTTCACGTCAAGGTACAAGTCCCGGATGGCATCGGTCAGATCGTTGCGCTTGAATGGGATCCTCTTGGCACCGGTGAGTATACCAAAAAAGACATTGAGATGGGGCCTGGGATCGATTTACGCTTCTCGTATGCGTACAGGAAACCTGGAGTCTACTTCGCCGGCATCCGAGCCGCTTCTCACCGGGATGGGAATACTGAAACAGAGATTGGTCTGGCTTGGAATTTGGATCGTGTTAGAGTTGTTGTAGAATCGTGTCCAGTATGGTAAATCCCTTCATTAGTAGTGTCTAGGTCTAATTTCGTTTATATTTGCCTCACTTTTGTTTTTGATCTTCTTCTTTCTTTCTTATAAACCTCTCCGATACGAAGCTGTGTCAGAAGGCAGCTTGTTTTTCTCGTGTACACATGTCCAGCTACGCTAGGCCTTTCACCTTATCAAAGTTGCTCTGGATTATAAATAAGCTCCGAGGGTCTAAGCTGTATTTAGGTCAAGGTCATTTTGAAAAACTCATTTAATTTCCAAAAATACTGTCATGTTACGTACATCTGTAGCCAGCCTTCCAGTAGTTCCCGCTGAAGCTCGACTTACAGGACATCGATACAGTTGATCTTGGTAGAGCTTCCGCCAATCAGCTCCTCCATCTAGTCCATCTCGCTACTGGTCGGCACAAAGGCGCTTTGTTTCCAAGACGGTATCCCGTTAGTGGGAACATATTATTCGGGCAGTAAAGGCTGCAAAAGTCGGTCGAGGCAGCGTAAAGCTGCGGGTGAGGGTGCAATGACCCTTGATGACGAGCGGTAGGATGCTACTAATGTCGTGGGGCAGCCAGGACTGCAGAGGGCGGTTGTGTGGGAAATCGAGGGCTTAGAGCCCGAATGTCCAAGGCTCACAAAGCCGGTATGTCGAGGTAGAAAGAAGCCGCAGGTACCACGAAGGAAATAGCGCTCGAAGGCCACATCAAGAGGTCGCGAAGCTCAGTGGCAGTGGGGACAGTCAACGCTTTGAATCTGGATATCATTGAACTATTCTTCTGGGTTTACGTATGCAATTGGCCATGAGAGCCACTGACGAGAGTTGGGAGAAATAACGAGGATCTCCTCTATGATATGGGCCGCCCATTCGTGCATGAACCAAAACTGGGCCTCAACTGTCCGAAGTAGGACGCAAAAATGTCCCAAGATGACTGTTGAGATCAGGTCTCTTTGGCGCAACCCTTCCATGTAATCGTCTCCAAGTTGGTAGACCCAGCCTATAACATCCTGAAGCTTACCGACTGTATCCAAAGCAGCGTCTTGCCCCTTGCCAAACATCCTCTCGAAACAGCCTGTGAGCACTTGTAGCTCACGATCGTAAGCGTTGTGAAGCTTCTCCTCTGCCAATTCAGCAATCAGATGCGAGATTCCGTTCAAAGAAGAGCGCCAGTCTTCGATGCCGTCAACCATCAAGGCTGGATCGGTCGTTGAGCTGTGTTCTGACGTATCGCCGCCAGGTATCGGAGCATACTCTGCCAGCATACCTGAGAATATTGATGACCAGCCTGTGGATTCAACAACTAAACGTACACCCCGAAGAAGATGAAGCCATGAAACTTGCCCTTCGATGTTGGTTAGAAGAAGATTCCCGGGACTCGGACCTTTGGCAAGAGCAACGAAGCATATCAAGACGGATGTCAGATACGCAGCTGGGCTGTTATCTCCACCAAGATTACTGATCAATATCGTTGCTGAATGCAACGCAGCCGTCAAATGCGTTTCTGCAATTAACGAATATTGCTGCTTCTCAAGAGGTTTGATTCGGGCCAGATGATATGATGACAACGAGAGTATAAGTTTGAGTATGCAGTTGTGTTGAAATCCTACTCGAGGCGCGCCTTCAGACCAAAGAAGGTTCTGGGAACCGCTACCGCCGCCAAGAGTGCTTGCAGTTTTGGTCATGTAGCTGTGAAAGAGCTCAAGATCCATCGTATTAGTATTCAGATTCCCGGAGCTTTCTGCAGCAGACTCAGCCGCGTGAGATCGGATCTGCTCAGCCCATGACGTCCAATCTGACCTGGGGCGCCCTGGGCGCCGTAATTGATAATCGGGTTGGTGATTGAGAGGAGCCTGGGTAATTGGTGGTTGAGGAGAGAAGTCGCACCATACACCAAACTGAACGCATTTTCCGCACTGCGGTTTCACCTCGTCGCACTTGAAAAGTCCACATGATTAGACTGAAGTACTACAGTACAGCATGGTATACCTCGGAGGGGCACAGGTGATGCCTGTCTGGCTAATGAAAGTATAACACGACTAACCTTGATCTTTCGTCTTTTGCAGGTTTGGCAGCCGAGCCGAGACTTTTTGTGGGGTTTACGCATATTCGTACAGGAAACAGCGGTTGGGGGCAGAAAAGCGCCCAACTCCCTTATCAGCTAGACTTGAAATCGTAGTTTTACGTCGGGTTGCCGTGGGTTGGCTTGTTGGGAATTTTGCGATGACAGAGCAGAAAGTTGGTAGACGGAGAAGTCTTGTCGCATCCTCGGACTTTTTAGGTGCCGCACGGACCGCCAGACTTGGTCTAGCTTATACGTATCCGATGCGTAAATTCATGACTGGTTGGTCGGTCTGTCCTTGACTCATAAAACGGAACTTTTCGTTTAACCTGGGAGTGGGCACTCATGAAGTAAATATTACCGAAGAGACGTCTACAGTTTTAACTAAAATGGCTCCTTTAATGCAAATAAGACTTTGACAAATTAGTTAAATATATTAATACTACATTTAAATATGAGAATTTTCTATTATTTTGAAAAGCTAATAAAATAAAATTTAAGAGGTAACCCTAAACTCTGAGTTAATTGGGCTGTTTTAATGCAATGGCTTAATATATCTCATGGAGATGTTATAAGCTCAAAGGTATTAATTAAGTAGAGAACCAAAAAATAGACTAACTGAGTCTATGCTATGTCTATTTACCTTGATATCAATGGCAGATCCTCCTTTAAAACATCTAAACGCCGAGCTTTCAAAATCAACTGACCCGGGTGCAAGAAAAGTATAAATAACACAATAGCCAGCATAAAGCAACAATCGAAAATATATAGGAAAGCTTCATTCGACAACAGAGGGCCATCACCACCTTGCTTATACTCGATAATCCTGACCAAATTGCGGATCAAGAACAAGCCGCTGGTGCAATAGAGTGCGATGAAATATCGACGATAGTGCGTCACCACACCTGCAACACACTGGACCGGCGGGTTTGAGCGGAGCCTGAGCTGCAGGGTGAGAGTGCAGATTATGAACATGGCAAAAGCAAGGATCTGGAGAACCAGTCCGCCGATGATGATAGTCTGGCCTCGCTTTGCCTCTTCCAGGTCTTCACTGCCTGACATAATGGCACCCGCGGTCTGTGTGACGAAGCAGATCAGATCAACCAAGACGAACAGTTTGGTGATCCATCGCAAGCTTATAAGGGATACTTCTTGTGCTTTGAGAGCTCTTGTGATTCGACCGAGAGACATATAGATGGTGGCGGCGAGGAATGGCGGGGCCACGAGGACGAGTAGGTTTTGTATTAGAAAAGGCAATGTCTGCCGGAGATTGTCGTGAGATCGTGATCGAAACCAATAGGCGGCGGCCTCCACTAGGAACAGTATCAGCTACATGGAACTACATAGACGTGAGTAGGCAGGCCACGTACTACCGCACCCGATGATCATAGGGATGGGAAAGGCTGATCGATAGGGGAACATCATGATGAAGTGCGCAATACCCGCCGCACCAAATAGGCCCAAGAAGGCATATGCTGGACCTTGAGATGGGTTGTAAGGATACAAGTCAAAAGGGGCGTAGCCTTCGGGCGTTTGGGTGTTGTTTGCCATTGTTTGTTCTGGCGAATGGCTCAAGTCGATCAATGGTGATATAGGAGCGGCTGACTTGTAGTGAATTAGGTATGGATGTGAGAATGAGGCGTATGCAAGAAAAGAACTTATTGAGAAATGATAGTAAGGTAGTTAGGTGTGCTAGAATAGTGTGTAACTGGTTCCAAAAGCCAAGACTCGCAAAATCACAAAGGGAATGCTATATATGTTGTAAAAGTCCCGATGGCCTTGCAGCTTTAAATGAAGCAAGATTTATAAATAAACAGATGATTGAGTGTCTCCGCAAATCAATTGGCTATTAGTATTTACGGATTCGGATATGCTTTTAATGGAACCGCTGGTCCCTGCTTGTCGCGTCCTGGCCCACGCATAAGTGCGACATTGAAACGGAGGGGTGCTGTAGTTTCAGGGCAATTATCGGGTGGCGCGTTTTTGACATGTGGATTAACGGTATGCCAGCCAGTGAGGCATGACTTACCTTCCTCCTGGCTGGATGAGCTACAAGCAAAGACTCGTCTGTCGAATCTTGGCCGTCTCGTCTTTACTTGTTCCAGGTCAGGAGAATGTCATCACTGTCGAGATTGTGGAGGGCTGGTACACAGAATAGCCCGGCTTTACAGGCGGCGAGTCCTTCCGCTATGGCGACAAACTCGGGCTGGCCGCTCAGCTTGAAATCCATGCCATTGAGCATGATACATCGGCCATTTTGCAACCGATTGCTGATGAGACTTGGTTGTCAAGCCAAATCAGTATTCTTTCGAGACATATGACCTGCGGGCCGAGACTAAAGGTCGTCCCATTGAGGAGCTGGAGAAAAAGAGTTGTTGAAATGCCGTTCTGCGCCAATAATGGCACCGTATGCACCCCCGATCAAGGTTCTGGAGCAGATTCTCTGCAAGGAGTGGAATGCTAGATTTTCGGAGTAAATGTGATGCTGAATTGCATGCGACTTAGGGGTTGTAGCCTGTTTCGATTACCTGACGTGGCTGCTTATTCTTTTTCTTATCTCAGTGGCCTCGTGCCTCGCGTTCGTGAGTGTTTGAAAGACTAGATTGTCAGGTAAATTCTGATTTATAATATTACCTATACTGGCTCGCCAACAAATCTAGCATCCAGTCATTCGTCCGTATTGATATCCTTGAGAACCTTAACCTCTAGCCCTGTTTCAAAATCGACTTCAATCTTCAATGATATATCTTCTCCAACTATTGAGGCCACCGCTATTGGTTCTGCTACTATAAGCACTACAACTGAAACGATTCCCTCTTCTGAAGTAAACTCATTAGCTGGAACAATAATTACAACTGAAGCGGTACCGACTATCCGTACTAAATCAATAACTACCGCTGGAACCATAGCTATTAGAACCGACACTACTCATACGACAACTAGAGTCAATCTTACTAAGCATATCAAGGTTAAATAGCTCTTCACTCACTAGACAGCGTCTGTAAAGGCTGTAGCAAGTGCAACAAACCTTTAAGGAGGAGCCTTACCGAAATAAAAAAAAATTCAGCCTTAAAGTTCTAGAATGCTCTTTCTGGAGTATGCAACTAAACCTTGCAAAGATTTGCAATAGCTTTCTATTAGGTAGATTAGTGCATTGAGGGTACTCAGGGGGTTCCGCAGCGTTTTCTAGTGCTAGAAGTTTAGCCTGTAAACTATCGAACCAATGACTGAAGCGGCGTTGATAGTCGGCAGCTCAAATCCACTAGTTCGCTCGCTAACACAAACTATTGACTTTCTTCAGGCACTGATATGACTAGCGCAAGATGCTCATTTCCGAATCTTTAATCTCGCTGTTTACAGAATTTTAGGACAACAATAAGAGCCCGCTTCCAGATTTCCAACTACTTGTTTATTTCCTTTCAGCTACCCGTTTTTCTCTCTCTTTTCACTCATTTTAGTCACTCGTTTGAACCATCATGCATTTGAGCATCCTTCGTTTGTTGGCCGTTGGCCTTGCTGGTTTTGATGTTGCAGTTGGGAGCCCTTGCAAGCCTCACTCTTCAGGTAAGTTAAGTTATAGACTCTCGGTTGGCCATTTCTTGCTAATAGCACTGGCGTAGTATCTGACTCTTCGATTGCGACAACTGCGACAACATCCAGTTTTACCTTGTCTTTAGACACCTCAGCCACCTCAGCCACCTTTGCCAGTACCACGACCGAAGCAGTTACTACTTCTGACACAACCACTGAAGCAACTACGGTTACTGAAACAGATACTGCGAGTACCGAGGCAACCACTTCCGGTGATATAACCTCGGAGGCGACTACTTTCGCTACATCAGTCGCAACCACTGAGGCAACTTCTGCCACTGGAGCAGATACTACAACAGAGACCATGACCACGTCAGACACAGTCTCTGCTTCATCCGAAATCACTCAGGCTCCCACCACCACTGAAGCCACAACTACTGCAGCCCCCACCACCACTGCTGTGCCAATGTTCCGACTCCTCGCTGAGAGCGGACCTTACGCAAACGAACCTGTTTTATCAAACCGAAACCAGTTCAGTCAGCTTATCTTCAACAGCGCTCAAGGCTATACCGAGGCTTACTTCACCATCGATACCACTACTGGTCGCCTGTTGCTTGACGGCCATTTGCCTGTGTGTGGATTCTTTCCAGGCGATGGCACCAGTGCATTTATGGTATGCGATGCCAACAATATGCCAGCGCAAGAGCAGTTCCTCACTTGCGAGTCACCTACCAGTAGCCAGTTAGAGTGCACTGTGCCTCAGGTGCAATGCAGCATGTTTTCAGGAGGGTGTACTACCACTGGCGCTCTCTGGGGCACTACATATATTGGCGCCTCAGGTGGTACTGGTGCTGTTACTGCGATCCTTGGCCCTCAGTCTATGCAAGGATATACTCCTGTGGCCTTCTTAATTACATTTGACTCTGATTAGACAAACTAAGCTGAGGTTTGACTATCAGTTGATGTACTGCATTCTTACACGATAGAAATTTCTCTAAGTAACTATGGCTTGGGATAATTTAATATTACAAGATATGTTTTATCTACTCTCTTATTACTCATATAAATTAAGATACGTTACTACATCCACGTCGTGACAAACAGATAACTAGTCTCGTCCGTCGTCCTTGAATCCTGCTCTTGTCTCGATGTTTACAGCGGCTGGATTGTACCGAACTGGTCTGTAGAGGTATGACAGCTTAGACAGCTTGAGCGAAGTCAATGCGAGAGTTTGTAGTGTCAAAGACAGAATAGTAGTTCTCAAGAAACTTCTGTCCAATAATGGTGTTCACACCAGCGCTGCCTCCATCAGCGATCCAGGAATAATACTTCCCGGACCTCAGACCAAAGTTGCCATACTGGGCAGCAGGGACTAGATACTGCGCAGGAGTCAGGGTGTAAGTCGTTGACCCAAACTTGATACCGAAATTAGAAGTGGGCTTCTTGGTAAATACAGCAAGACCAGAAGATCTGTCCGTCTTTCCTTTGGCAACGGACAAGAACTTGTTGTAGGAAGCGGTGGGAATATAGATGAGCGTAGTGCCAGTGTCGACAATGCCTTTACCAGATGAGGCAATTGTTGTAAAGCCGTATGTGAAGCTTGCAATTGATATACCCCAGTATGCTGCCGCTGCGCCGCTTTTGAGAGTCGGAAAATATGTGAGGGGACCGGTGAACTTGGTGCTATCGATGCCACCAAGGGTTAACTCTCCGTTAGTGTCATCACTGTCGCTGCCAACCTCGGGACGGAATGAAACACCGAGAACCTCGGATGAGATTGAGCCTTGGTTGTAGAGATTGTCCATAAAGGTTGGAACTTTGTTCGTATTAGAGACGGTGCCTCTAGTCAGGCGAACGGGTCCGAAGCCGATGATGCCATCTACGCCGTCGAATTGGTCAGACCAGGTGGCAGCACCGATCGATTGCGATGGCACTGTAAGGTTGCCGAAACTGACCTGGTCTAGGAACTCGTCGCCATAGAATTCGCCAGATCCGTAAGAAACATAAACAGAGTCACCTGTATAATTTCCGGTTGACGATGGCTTGCAGGGCTCTTGAGCACCGCACCAAGTATTTGAGGCTGCATCTCAGGGTCAGTAAACAGAGGCTTCCTCAGCCAACAAAGACATCAATACGTACATCCGGTATCGACAATGAGATCCCAGGTTTGGTCTCCGATAGTTACAGGGGCGACGTAGCAGTCGTTTTGATTCGTAATAGAGCCCTCGCTCATGTCAACATGGGGGAAGCGCTGGAAGCTGTAGGTTTATTGACGTTGCGAAGGCGGGCTTGGCCTTGTTGGACCATGCTCTTGATTGAAGTGACTTGTGAGACATGCTTCAGTGGCAGAGTGGCTGTTTTAGCGTGAGGCTTATGTGGCGATGCTGAGACAGCTGCAGCAGCCGCAACAAGAGCAAGAGTGACGGGAAGCAACATGTTTACGGAATATGCGAGAAGTGCAGAAAATAGTATCAAGATAGGTAACGAAGAATGTATTTATATCTCATTCACTCTGCAGCACATCTTTTTGTCATTATTTTGCGGAAAACCGGCATTATGGAATAACCTAGACCAGCAGACTGGAATTCGGGACCCTAGCAAATGCCCAAAACGTTAGTTTTCTTAGGTATGTACTAACCAATAGCGTGATTTCTCTCAAAGCAATTAGGAATGAAATGGTTTAACATACTTCCAACAGCATCAAGGACGCGAAACTCTAAAGAGGTATAGGTTTGGGGAAGTGATAACTTTAGACCTCGATCGCAAGTGGCCAAAGGCTTTACTAGGTGCAGTGTAGGCTGACAAATTGTTTGAACAAGTTACCTTCAGCATCATCATTTAACAGTCTGACTATTCAATCTCGTATTACAATGCAAACTCGGCGGAAATGATTGCGGCCGCAAACTCGACGAAGGTTATGATACTGGCGGTAAGGCCGATTATTTCCGCCATTGGAAGACTTCCTCTCGGGGCTAGCAATAAGAGTTAGTGAGATAATTGTAGAGAAACGTCCTGTCTGAGAAACAGGCTGTGAAGATGACCGCGTGACGTGGCCGTGCATGCCATTCTCGCAAAGCGATAACCCCTTCATCCGACTACCAACAGGAGCAATGATATCTATATGGTCAGTTATCATTGAAATCTGGTCAGCTATTATCGAACTGGCTCAAACTGCTGCTTCTGGAATTACTGTCAAGTTTGTTATTATGATAATACTACTGTTCCTCGGCGGTGCTCTAGTCTATCTGGCTGTTAAGATGAGTTCAACTTACTTTATTTCGTTGGGGCATGTGCTATGTTTCTTTTTGTATCCGCTATAAGACGGAGATTGGGAAAGCAGCCAATAGATAAGCAAGACTTGGCTAAGTGATATTAGTTGTATGTATTACTTAGCAGTCGCCGTTATGACTTTTAAGTGAGGTAAAGTCTGTACCGAAGCTGAAGTGTTGCCTCATTGCTCCTCTTTTATTAGAAGCTCGACTAGCTTCGTGGCACAGCACTTGGTGGGCAGGGTGTCCATCCTATTTTATACAATGTTTAAATTGTGAGCTGAATTTGTTCTGTGCGGTTAGGCCCTGATCGATACGGTACGTACGGATCAGCACAAATGGCAGTATTGCCTATCTAGGTCATTCCACCTTGCCCAAGTACCCCAAAAGGTTATGCAGGCTCAATCAATGTACCTTTGTCGCGCTAGGCCTTGAAAAGGGATAGGCTTCTTAGGTCATCCAGACCTAGGACGGAAATAGCTGGTTTTGGCAGCTGAAATCAGCTATCGTGTCCGTACGTAGCGCTACCCTCAGGGGGCTGCGCTACATACGGATACAACTACGGCAAAGTGCCAAAAACCGATACATTTGAATTATGCAATGTACCATTTCTGCCCCACATCCGTTTGAGCCCACCCGTACGTACTGTATCGATCAGGGCCTTAGCTCCCCCTTTGTTGACTGGCTTAACCTACGGTGGACGGAAACCTCCGAGGGTGGGGTAATCGAGTAACCGTTGATCGACATTGAGTTTTCGCATCTCAAGTTCCAGAAATCAATCAAGCACTACGTATGCTGCTAATGTTGCTCCTCACCGGATACTGTTGGTGTTGGGCCATATGTCCCTGGTAGACAGACATAGATCAAACTCCTTGTTGGTGACGAAATTTTAATGCCAGGTCTCAAAGGCACTAATAAGATGAGGTTAACCTAAACCCAAAGCTAACGACCTGTAGACGTCATGATTGGTCCTTACCGAGCTTGTTCTGGCTCTTTTCTCGCCTCCTCCCCCCCACAACTTCGGCAGTTACGTCTTTACCATCGCCAACCTCATTCTGAGGTCCGCCTACGACCCTTGCCAAGCATGGACCCTGACGAATCACCAACAGAGACATCGGATAATCTGCCAACTGGCAAGAAACGGCCTCATAAAAAGTCAAAGACCGGTTGCACCGATTGTAGGAAGCGTCGGGTCAAGGCACGTTCTCTTACCTCCCTTTTAATAGGATTCCTTAATACAGTGGACCAACCTTCATTTAAACATACATCATATTCTAATTTCGCGCTGTAGTGTGACGAGAAGATACCAGCCTGTACAGCTTGCGTTCGACGTGACCATGCATGCGTCTATCCTTCCACGGGAATCGTCACTCCCAGTCTGACGCCGAGCAGCAGCCATTCCACACCCGCCTCGGCTCGGCAAACGGATGAAGCATCACTCGCTTCTTCGCTTTCGGTACCAAGAATCGTTGAGGGCCATGAACAATCACCACCGTCAGCGATAACCTTTGTGCTTGATGATCTGGCCTTGCTACATCACTGGACCTTGTCGACGAGCTTAGAAATTGTCAAGTCCCCCGCTGGAGACCATTATTGGCAAAGGACGTTTCCACGGATCGCATTCCAACACGCCTTCGTGATGCATGGAATTCTTAGCCTGGCAGCGCTGCATCTCGCCTACAGACATCCCGCTGACAAGCGGCGGCTTATCTGCATTGCCGCCTATCATCATAACATAGCACTACGGGGATTTCAGCAGGGCATAAACCAAATGAGAGATGACAACAGCGACGCGTTGTTTGTTTTTTCGTCGTTGAACATCGTGTATGTGTTGGCTATCTTTGGCCCTCTCTGCGATAACTCTTCTGCCGACCGCAAGTCCCGCATCCTCGGAGATGGATGGATTCCAGCGATACGCGGCGTCGACGCTGTGCTGCATCCTGTATACGAGAGGGTCTGCCGAGGACCTTTGAGTAACTTGACAGAGATCGGCAATTGGCACAAGCTTGATCCAAATGAGCAATCAGTTGTTCATGACGACCATTTTCGCAGTATACAGGAGGTATGGGGGAGCAATAATGATGCACATATCTACGACCAGGCGCTCTACCTGCTCCGGAAATGCAATGCCTACATGAGACAGTTTGAGACTATGAGCAGCGAGGCTAGAGCTGAATGGGGATATAATCAGGATTGGTCTGCACCATACATCTGGTTGCACGCGACTTCCAAGGAGTACCTTGAGATGCTACAACAGCGACAGCCCCCGGCTTTACTGATTTTTGCGTATTTCGGTACTCTGGCATATGCTTTAGATGGATCCTGGTTTATGGAAGGTTGGGGACGAAGCATAGTGGGTGTTGTCAATGAACTATTAGGAGGATACTATGACCCATGGATGAAGTGGCCTAAAGATACTGTGAGTATTGATGACTGAGTACCGTAGATGAAACGGATAAACGTGTCTTAAGACATGCAGGTTTTATTTCGTTAGTAGCTGTCTGGTTTAGAATATGGCGGCAGCTTGAATTGGGATGTCTGAAAAGTGAGGTTGTTCCAAGAACGGCATGATCCGTAAATGAGGTACACAAAGTAGCAAAGTATTACCTTCATATATCGCAACTTTCCTATATTTACTCACTCCATTACTTCCGAGTTTTTCGAGCGCCGTGTTTCGAGATTTCAGTCCTGTTATTTTCGTCTCCTAGGACGCGAATTATTCCAATTCAATGTAGCCAAGGAACTGACAAGGACTCAGTAGGCAACGAAACTCTTTGGTTGTAGCTGAGAAAATCTCGCTAGTCAGGCAATTGTTTTGACAAACAGATGTACGCATTCTGAACCTTTCCTTGAGTGGTTGAATGCGGGGCAAAGCGGCTGACCCTGGTCGCCTTGCCACGTCAGTCACCAAGACATGGCCTTCGCGCTTCAGGGCTGTCAAACACCAATGCCACTCCAATCTTGATCTCATGATTTGAAGATCTCTCGAAATCGTATGTCTGCGAATTTCTTCCTCCCACACTTGGCGGTCGGACTGAATTACTTGACTGCTCGGTATTACTAGCCTTATTTGAACCAGAAAGAGGTTAGTAGGGACTGCAGCTGCAATATTAATATTAATTAATAGTAATTAAACTAGCTTAAAAGGCTAGAAGTATCTAGTAAATAATAATAAATATTAAGGAAAGAAACTTTAATTAATTTATAAAAATAAAAAGTTTATTGCTATTTATATTAATTACTTCTATTAAGCGTATCTATCTGCTGAGCTTATACTGGCAATAAACCCTGGCAATTAGTATTATATTATAGCTTTTATCTCTAACTATTTAAACGACAGTAGTGCTCATGTGCGGTTTAGTTCCTACTCCTTTAATGAGCCAGTGACGATTTCATTAGTGCTTACCATCCTATGGTTAATAATAATCCAGCTGCGGGATTATGTTTGTCGATTTGGAAGCAAGGCTAGCTTTAGTTTGCATGGTTGCGGCATCCTGGGCAAATTATCTCAGACGGCCAACCCCGTAGCTGATGTCCTCTTGTTGGTGCCCAGACACTGGTTGGAATGGCTTTTACAACGGGAATGAGACAAGGCCAAGCAGTGGAGATGCGGAATTCAGAAACAAGCAACTCTTGCTTCGAGGCTTTGAGGTTTTTTGTTTATTTCCTGTTCTCATTCGGTCGATTCGATCATGTTTAAAGAGACATCATTGAGTAGAAGATGCATCTATATCTAGGGATGCAGAGTTCAGGGTTAGAGTGAGACACAATCAGGCAAGGCCAGAACCAACTTCAAAGTCTTACCTTCGTCTCACAGTCATTATGCAATGAATTTGCTTTTAGCCTTCTTCCTATAGGCCCCCCCTACCCAAAAAAAAAAAAAAAAAAAAAAAAAAAGTGCCCCTCAGAAAATACGCCCGGGGCAGTGTACACAAACCTGAATTAGCTTTCCCTCTTAACAAGCAAATGGCAATTTGTTAGTTCAGAAAGAGCAGATTATCTAATAGGGCAAGAGTCTATTGAAGGGGTAAGATACTGAAAGTACTGCAGTGACGCAAGTCTATTTTCTCTAATAGTCGTTGCCGTATTGAGAAATGTTATTTAGAGTTGAATCTGGCTGAGAGCTGACTCTAACCGCGCGCCTTACACTGTCGCCGTATTGGTCTGGCCAGGCTGCGAGACCACTGAGCGTCTAGTGAAACAAGCTAAAGAGGAAACGTTCTAACCAACAAATGTATCAGCAAGATTAAATAGAGAGTTCAGGTCAATGTAGAATGTTGTATTTCATTAAAGCAACTATTCTCATTAGAAAATTGTCTTGCAGATATCATTCATTACACTGTCAATAGAACAAAATGTCATCCGAGTCCCAGCAACAACGTTCCAAAACTCCAGTTCTCAAGCTGCGACCGTCAGTCACTACGGAACAGATCGTGCCTCGCCAAAAGATCAAACAACCCTATGGCCCTTGGATTGCACATCCAGATCTCATCGATGAAGAGTTTGAGCGGCGCCGTCACCTCATCCATTTCCCACCTGATGTAACAAGGGATGAGCATAGGCGACGATGGGAGGAAGAAATTCCGGTATTGGAAGCAGAACTAGAAGCCTGTAAGCCCGAAGACTTTGACTGCAGGGCTGTTATTCAAATCATGCCGAGATACAACATGCAACTTACGCTATGTCAATCCGATCATGAGCAAGCTAAGTACCTCGAGAGATATTACATTGGGGCTCATATGTACAACACCCTCCAATTTTAGTGACATGCCGGAGTTCTAACGGTGTTGTGCAAGCTATTTACGACCTCACGCTTTTATCTCGCCTTCTATTCTCGATAGCTTTGGGCATGATTGGGGATTGAACGCTCGAGGAATTTATTACCATCATTACTATTCACCCGCGTGGATTACAGCAGACCATAAACTATGGGTGCCGTCACTGCAGGACAAGAATTGGGACGATGCTGGCGAAGAAGATCGCCGAGTCAGAGCCAGAACAATGGTCAAACATATTCTGCAAAACGAGAAGTGGGCTAAGAGCGAATATGCATGGGAAGCCGATGCTTGGCAGGATGTGTTCGGGATGATGAGAGATGACCCTGTACTTGCCGTGTAGGGACATAATCCTCCTCTCAGAGATTTCACTAACGATTCCAGCGACAAGCATGAATACCACACGATACGAGAGAAAAGGCATCCTGTTACATGCCTTCTAACTGGCGAATCAAAATTCATCAAACGGATCCCTGATGCGACTTTTGGTCTCGCAACATTCAAGCCTCGAGATTACCAGAGCCCCATTGCCGAATGGGATCTCGATCGTGATCGCCTGGAAGCACTCAGTCTTCATAGATACTGTGGTCTCCACTCTGACCCCAGCTGGGGCAAATCAAGTCTCGTATTCCCATTTGCAGCCTATGAAGCTAAAGGATGGAGTGGTGATCCTCGGGAAGCACGACGTCAAGCGTGCTCTGCTGGATCAGTATACCTCGACATGCTTGATCGTCTAAGCAAGGTTCCAGGGAAACCTGGAGAGCTTGATGGTGCATACCAAGCCGAAGGCAGTCGAAATAGCCAGGTCTTTGTCTTCACGTCCTTTGGTGCTCATTGGCATATTCTGGTTGGTTATAGGCGGCCACGACTCGCAAGAGAGCATGCAGGCATGTCTGGTATGAGCAAAACTGTATATGTAAGCCCAATCCGTATTTTGAACCATCATCGCACTAATGCACGAGTCTATAGGACTTCCAAAGGATCTGGAGCGGACGGGTGTCAACTGAGCGTAGAGCGTGGGAGTTACTTTCCTTGATCGACCAGATACACCTTTGGGGCGTAACAGTTTTCAGAGATTTTGTCATACGACACTTAAAGCCATGGCACGAGTTTGGAAAGCGATGTTATGTCAATGATATCGACTTTGCTACTTCTTCTTCTGATAAGCGTATCAGGATTTTCGACGAGTCGGTTCGTTACTGGTTCCCTCGGCCCTCTAATGAACTAGCCGAATGGACAAAACACTTCCCCCCGGAGACCCAACTGAGATTCAGAGACGCACTAGCACATTTTATGTTCCAAGCTAATGCAAGTTATTGTTCGGAAACCAGAGGCAAAAGCGATTCATTTACTTCCTTATTCAACTGCATCATCGGTACCTGCTCAAAGACTCACCTTGTTGGATATCCTTTAGGATCTTTAGAGGAAGTCCATGCCCATCTTTATGACTTTCACGGCGTAGAACCGGGCACCGAACTGGACTATAAGTTAAGCGCAGAAGAGCTAAGAAGCCGAAAGCTGCGTGTTTGGCAAGTCGGACAAAGATTGTTTCTCGCTGACCGTCTAGTTATACACGATGATGACATGGAAGTCTGGGGTGGGCCGTCGGGTAAGAGGAAGTTTAAAGACATAATGGATGAAGAAAGCAATGGCCAGGGTAATTGCGGTGATGACACAAATGTAAAGAAGAGAAAGCTCCGATCATACTACAGATTTTAGGGTTAGCCATGGGGAATCATGGTTTGCAGAATTGTGTTTGTTGGAAGCGAAATTGGTGGGATGTAACTATCTTTTCTGTCACTCTCTTGACGACATCTCAATAGACCTATTACGGCCGATGACATTGACGCCATTGTAGAGATCGTTATCAAAGCATTTTCATCCTATAACAACTCGTCTGTCGTTACCCAACCACGATAAGCATCCTTAATAACACTATAAATATACATAGCTCTAGTACGCGGAATATCCTAATATTGTCTTGGTAGGCTAAAACACCATCATTCTGGCGAACATTCCGAATTGAATAATCCGAAAGAAACATATACCATTGCTTTGAGTATTTGGCATAATCCTGGGGATTGAGCACCGGTTCCTGATACCCCAGCTGTTAGTCCATCCAAGAACCACTTAGAAAGGATAAGTTGCAATCCGGCATAATTGAAGGCAGACTCGGAGGTCACCAGAGACCTAGAAAGGAGATTTACGTGTCCAGATTCAGAAAGATAGCTTTCGTTGCGACAGATGGTAACACTTCTAGACTTTTGGAGGCGAGATGCCGCTTCAAGTTGCTGACCTGGGGAAGCGGAAAGAGCAACAATGGAGGGTGTGGCTATCCTATTGTTTGCTGGGAATATGGGCAAGCTTCTCTATGTCACATTCGGGCTCAGAGAGCTGGGAAGGGTCAGAATTCATGCTAGCTAATGAGCAGCATGTCCTTGAAGTGGCACCCTTGGCGGTTACAGCACCATATTCCTTGCCAATGCCAGACCGATAACACTTGTCACAACCTTAGAGTCAGTGTCTCATCACTTCGAAGTGATAAAGGAGAATTTGGAAATGGCAGGACATGGCGATATAGTCGAGCTCTTGCTAAAAGCCTGGGAACAAGTTCAATAGGCACGTATCCTCCGTCTAATTCTTTCTTTATCGATGCAGATAAGTTGGAGGTTGAAGGTAGCGAGATTGTGCATGCAAGATTCAGTGGAAGAAATAGAGGAGAATTACGAAGAAACGGATCAGTATACCAAGTTGCTTGACAAGATGGAGTGGATGATTGAGGAAGACGCAGCGGCAAGTGATGAAGACGATGAGTGAATGCGCCATCGTGTGATCGGTGTAAGATAGGTCTCTAGGTTGGCAGTAATAACCCATATTAGGCAGGAACCTTGAGTTTTTTGGCATCACTTACAGAAACAAATTGCCAGACGTTCTTCATTGCTATGCATGCAGAGGCTTATGATACGACCCAGCCAAGAAGCGGGAAGAAAGTTCATGGGTATGAACTGGCGGCCAAAACGATCAAAGACATGTTTGAGCGGGCCGCTATTCTGTAGACTACCCAGAAGTCGCAATCTGGATATCATCATCTCAACCAACAACTAAATCCTCAGTCACAGGCACATCTGCAGGGCCAACAGCATGGCTACCAGTATCCGCAATCCCTACCAATGTCTCCACCATATCAGCCTGCGACTTCCCATGAGCTATCGCCACAGGTAGCAGCGGGATTTGTGCCTCTCTCGCCTCAGTCAACCCAATGTCAGTATTTAGGCCCTGCAGAGACTCTCCAAGGTCATTCTAGCACATCCCAAGTTCCTTATTATCAGCCTCCTGTACTAACTGTCAAGAGAAAAGATGTCCCTTCTTCCAACCTTTCACAGCAACGCCCTCCAAGATACACTCCTCAAAGCACACATGTGCCACCAGAACATCCACAATATAAACCTTTCGGCACTTCCGATGGAGCTGGAGGACAAGGGGGCCTTCAGGAAGCCACTCAATATTAGTATCAGGAACTCAAGCAATTCTAGATCTTCAGTACTAGTACAAACATACGGTAATGCCTCCTGCGGGTGAATATACGTTGCCTATAGAGCCTGAGACAAAAGCTTACCGTGCTAGGAATCATACACAAGCGCCACCGCTTCAGCCTTCAACCCCCGTTAAGCCCCCAGTCTCGAGTGCTGATCTTTGTTCCACCTATTCGCCTGCCCACACTACTATTGCGAATCGCAATGATTCGGTTTCTGGCCTATTGAGCAGCATCCCTTCTGGATCACAGGACCTTAGTTTTGATAACAACACACCAAGACCCAAGGTCCAGCAGGGTAGCAGGTGGGTTGAAGACGACTGGGAACGACCGCTTCCCTCTTTTAACCCGACGGAAATCCCAATGAAGTAGCCTAAGACTTCCCTGGCGGGAGGTATGATACGCCGTACAAGGCGACGTGGTATCACAACCCCGAGGTTCCGGACTTCCTCATCTGCACGCGTTGCCACGACCTTTTCATCGCGTGGACGAGGCTCTCAATTGCGTTCAAGAAGACCGATACTACGACTAGACGCTGCCGCTTCAACGTTCCTTGTATTACGGTGTCACTGCTTCCCCAGTGTCAGTCTCTTGGCGATGTCCAACCGCTGGTGAGCTACCTCAAGCGGAGAGTGTTGATTCAAGACTGAAAAGGAGCCGATGGCGCGACAGGCAAAGATAAACACAAGTGGTTTAGAATCGATCGGGAGACACACTACATCTGCGTCAACTACATCTCATGCGAGGCATGCTTCGAAGACATCCCGCTCCCCCGTCCTCTGTATCGAAGGGAGTTCATCCCTCGTGACGCAACAAGTCCTGATAAACCTCAGGGGAGAATGAGGTTTGCAAGTGCGATACCAGTCTTGGCTTCGTCAAGAGATCTTTCGGCGTTTACTCTAAGAACGGCATGCCGTTTATGGAGTGGGTGAACACGATTACAAAGCGCTTCAGGCTACCCAGGTGCGAGGGCAAGGCCCTGGAGTCGTCGAGTTGGCAGTGGGTGGGCCCCGGATATTACCAACGGCAAGTGGTACACCCTGTCCGGCGGCGCCGAAAGGTTTGTCGTCTGCCCGGCGCACTTTGCGGGCTACTTCCAGGCATGGGGAAGGGTTAAGTTTCTCGAGTTTATGGGGGCTTTGGGAAATGAGGAGCCATGCCTATGCAGTCTTAACCCAAGCGCTGGTTGCTATCGCCAGTTCATGCAAAAGCTCCACGAAGCTGGACAGGTAGGTGTCTGGTCGCGATATGCGGATAATGTGCGCAGGTATGCTGCGATTCCACAGTGCGCGAGGGAAGAACAGGTGACGAACCGTCGATGGTACGGCTGGCTTGACTGTCTTATACGCCATGACTGCGTGGAAGCAATCACAGAGAGAGACGAAGACCGGAGCCAAGGAGCCGGAGAGAATTCGAACGCAGCATTGATAGAGGGCATCATAAAGAAAATGGTGGTGCACAATGAGCTCATCCAAGAAAGTTGGATGTGCTGTATGTACTCCCCCTGGATGCGCCAGAAGTTCCTCGAAGCCGCCATCAAGAACGACCCAACCTCGCTCTTGGCCGTCTCCCACCAGCGCCATGCGGTCTATGCCAACACGGTGCCGCATATCAAGCTGCTGCGGGTTCAACAGGAGGCGCAGATGATGAGCGCTGTTACGGCGGGCATGTGCTCACTGATATACCAGGGTGCTGATGGCATCCAGAGCCTGGCGGGTTTCAATGACAGGAACCTGCACGGGAACAGTCAGGCTGGGTGGTACGACACGAAAAACGGGGCTATGGGGGGGGGGGGGGGGGGGGGGCAGATGCGTAACGAGATGAATGATGGACTTGCTGCTGTGAGGGACGCGGGTCCGTGGATGATGATTTTTCATCTGACGGCCGAGTGGGAGCGGTGGGAGTAGATAATATACCAGGGAGGGCCTTAGATTTTAAGCACATGTTGCTACTAGCACTGAAATAAATAACTAGAAACAAAGTCATATTAAAAAATATCATTAAGATAACTTCCCTTTAGCTGTGGCTTGATATTCTGTATAAATGGCTGCTTATTTCTTTTTCTTACCTTTTGATTATTTGATGACGCTTTACTGGCTAAGGTCAATTATCTACTAAGACTTTCTGTACTCTTCCAACCCTCCCAATAAATGTCAGCGCTTACTGTAAATGTAGAACACGGGACCTTAACTTCCGGCTTCCGAACACCCCGTTAACGCGGCTTTCCAGCCCTAGATTAGTTACAGTGTCTCAATTGGCCAACGCCTGGCGAGTAAGCGGCAATGTTACTGCCGTGAGATCTGTGGCTGACATTGGTAAGTCGATAGTCTGAAAGTAGTGAATCTGGTTGGATGGACCTTTTTCAGCTGACAAGCTCTGTAAGCGCTAAAACCTAACTTCTCCAGCATCCAGCGGAAAGCTATGGTGCAATATAAACTCGAAGACGCGCACAGTCCTACCTGTCCATTCTTTTCTTAAACAGTCTGACATTGTAGCTATGAGATTACTTTCGTTGATAGCGATATTGCCATCGCTGGCTAATGCAGCGGCTACTTCAAAGCCTCAATCTCCGATTTGTATTGTTGGCGCCGGCGTATCCGGCCTTACGGCGGCCAAGGCACTGGAAGATAAGGGTTACAAGACTGTCATATTTGAGAAACGCGATACTGTTGGTGGTAAGTGCCAGTCACATTATGAAGAGTAAGTCCGCCCTTAACGCACCCTGGGGACTCGTGCCAGTAAGAATTTGTCAACTGATGGACTGCTTTCCAAAGTGGCCAATACTTCCCGCTTGGCGCTGTGCTCTTTACAGAGAGCCCGAGCTATGCAGAGACTTTCAAAGTCGTTAGTTCCTCTGGGGTAGGCTTCGATAAGTTTGACCCTGCATACGTCTATGATTACGACCCAAAGACTGGAGCTGCGGCTTTGAACCAGCCGCCAACCCCTGCAGTTGTCCAGGCCTTGCAGGAGGAGCTGGCGCGGTATTCTGCTCTTTGGCAGAAAGACTTTGCTCCTATTGGAGTCCCTGGCTATAAGGCGAGTCCATTGGTGTTGCCCGCACATCACAGCATGGTATTAACTTTGGCTGCAGAATGGCGTCCCTAAAGAATTTACTGTTCCTGCTAAAGAATGGCTTCTCTCAAACAACTTTCCCGTTATAGCTTCTGTTATCAACCGCGGTGCTGGTAATTACGGATACGGCGCCTATACCGAGATCCCAATAGTTAGCTATATATGCTGTCTACCGACTGCTTTGACTGCATTATTTACAAAAATCACAGCTATACTACCTGCAGTTCTTTGCACCAGATATCATTGCGAGTTTTATTGGAACGGTGCAGCCTTACAAAACAGGTAACCTCGTCCCTAGCAAGTGACATGCTGCAGGCAATGGTTAACTCTACGCAGACTTTTTTCAGGTCTTCAAACGTATCTCCAAGACCATCAAGGGACCAATTCATCTCAGTGCTAAAATCGAGAGAATAGGTATGTGTCACATTTCCATATCCTATAAACATAGCTGATTGATATAGATCGAAGCCGTCAGCCAAGCATTCGATACAGCAGTACTAATGGGCGGCATACAAAGACACAGCTCTGCTCAGATATTATCATTGCATTCCCTCCCACATCTCAAGCTCTCAAAGAATCAGGACTGGTGCTTTCGCCTGCTGAGAAAACTCTTTTTGCACAAGTTGGCGTCAACAGCTATTTCTCATCCGCCGTCCGCATGAGCAAGCTTGGCGACAACCTGACTGTCTCCCAGGAGCTTCCAGACCTTCTCGACCCTTTCAAAGCCGAAGGCCAACCTGTATACCTAACTCCATTGCATCCAGAGTCCAGCATCGTCAGCGTCTACTCGGCAGATGACCCTGCGCACCCCAGCGTCACCCGAGTCAAGAGGCATCTTATTCGTGATTTGAGCAAGATTAACAAAGACTTAGAAAATGCTTATGCTGTTAGCACAGATCTTATTGCTGCAGATATACGTGCATTCAGTGGGAGGATCGACTATTTCCCTCATCTGGGACCTGAGGCATTATCAGATGGTTGGTATAAGAAGTTTAATGATCTCCAAGGAAAAGAATATACATACTTTACTTCTGGACTAAACAGCTTCGAGCTTGTTGAATACACGATTCGGGCTGCTAGGGATTTAGTGGCAACGCACTTCTGATCGGAAATGATAACGAACGATGGTCTTCTGCAGCGCCGTTCCGGGTCTTCAGCAAACTGTAACAGTCAGCCAACCTGTTCAGCACACTTATTCCCTGCCGGTCATGTTACTTAGGTACTTTTCAATTATATAGCCAGAGCCGCTGAGTGAGACTTTCGATTTTCATAAAGCTGTTTTCTTGCTTGGTGCCAGAGAACGACTGCCTTCTTCACAAACTCAAATGTATTCCATATACTCCTTCTCATCCCCGTAGAGTAAACAACGTTGGAATTCTTGACTAGGGGTGGATGCGAAAAGTGTTTAACCATTTGCCAAAGCATCGTGGATTGTACGCATCGGCTGCGCCTCTAAATTCCTTTGACCAAGAGCTATCCAAGGCCTTTAAATTGTTAATTACATTGTTTGGATCTTAATAATTCTCCCTGACGATTGGGAATTTGTTCGCCACTGTGCCCTGTCTACACAAACAGCATCTCTAGCTATACCATCGAATCTTGTTAATGAGCCGCATATGCCGCTAGGCTAGCTGGCACTGGGGGGTACTGAAGTTAATTGCTTATAATGCAGTGACAACAGTCAATGGCTTATGTGGCGCCAGTCGAATGATCCTGACCAAGATATCGCCCTGCATAAACCACACAATAATCCATAATCAGTTCAAAGAACAGAGAGCTGGCTTTTTGTCGGGCATTGGATGTTTACTCCCTGATCAACTTACAGGGAAAGTCATAACAATTACTAATACATTTCTAATAAAACCATGAGTTGCCTATAACTAAGCTGTTTTGAAAACTATTTGGCGCGCGTATTATACTCGAGACTCTACGGGAAGTATGATTTATATAATGGTTGTTCAGCTTGACGCCACTTTCATGGAGCAGGTTGAAATCTAGCCTAATCTAGCCCTTGCAGTAGAGCCTCAGCCCAAGAGTTGGGTCCAGAACCAAGTATGCAGTACCTTGAGGTCCACTATGGCGTGTGAGTTTCGAGGTTGGGTCTTCACTCAGCTCGCCATGGCTTGTAGCCATGTTGCAAATCAAGACTGATTCATTGCCAGATTATGTTGCCGTCACACTGTGATAAGACACGAATACCTACCACCACGATTGAGGCTGTAGCTCGAGACTTGTCTATAGATAAATCACCGTGCTAATGATCTTGGTCAACGAGGTGAGAAACTACACCGAGAGATTGGCTTCTTGGGCCGTCCCCAAATATCTTTCCAAGACCTTATTACAGCTGCAAGGCAAATATCCGGTTTTGATGGCCTGTCCCTCATTCCCATGGTTAAAGCAAAGACTCGCAAGAAACAACCGCCCAGCCAGGAATGGAGTCTAGCCAAAACATTTGATGCACTCAACATTCAGCTCAGCGATACTGCGATCGAGAAACTGATGAAGCCATCAAACTCAAAGAACAAATGGACAAAGAACAAACTCACCAGTAACTTTTCTGCACTCAAGTCGCCTACTTGGGAAGTGCACGCTGAAATTCAGCTCCTAGTTTTTATCCTTAGCCACCCTGACGACATTACTAACGGGACAAGATTCGACTACATTGGTTGCAGCAGGTATACCTGTCTGCTATGTTCCAAGTTTCTTCAATATTTCCAAGGGTTAAAAATACGCGGTTGCCACGGCAAGTTGTATAACCATAGCTGGACTCTTCCGCCTGGAGACAAGCTGGGGAAGGACGAACAGCAGGTACTTTACGGTGCTGCGAGAGAAGTGATATCTTGGATGCGAAAGAAGCTAGTTGGCAGTACAATCTTACCGGCTCAGAGAAGACCAGAGGTCAAAGAATCAACAATTGGCGGCAGTTTTATTTCCATGCTGGGGACGAGTCAAGAAGTTTACCATCAAAATAACGCCGTATCCGAGCACCTCCATCGTCAACGAGCTCAAAACTCTCATGGGCAATTCACCCAAAAAAGGTCCGTTATTTAATACGTTTCCCCTACTCTCCTTGACATTTCCGGCTATATGCTAAGAAGGATTTTGATTAGCCTCTTGGATTCTGTCCAAGACGAGGAAGCCTCGAGAGTTGAAAGTCGACATGAAACGCTCACAGAAAGGACCATCGTGCTCTGTACTACCTGCTGGGAAGAAACCACTCGACGGTGCTCTCACTGCCGAGAAAGTCTGTTCTGCAGTAAGAACTGCGAACGCAAAATGCCATTATCACATCTGCTCAAATGCAACATGCGTCAAGTCACATCGGCAGACTACCTTTACCAGGACATCCTTGAGGATACAGTTCCTACTGACCCCCAGGTACGACAGGACTATTGGTTCGACCGATGCCAAAGCTCGCATGAAGAGTCACATCTGTTCGGGCTTTTCGTTGAGCTCTTACACTACAATCATTTCCGTATCACGCGTGAAGTTCTTCACGCGTGGCGGTCGGAGCCAGGCGGAAATGCAGATTTAGTCACAAGGATAGCCAAGAAATTCGAGGAGTTGCCTAAAGACAACAGGGGAAGCTACTTCCCTTGGTTCTTGAGACACCGAAACCGCTTCGAGCTACCAGCTGGCCATGAGTCTATTCCCCAAGCACCAAGTCCTATGATGCAGGTACGAGACATGCAGGCCAAAGCCCGGAAGTATCTAGCCCCAGAGGACCAAAACAAAGACTTCATTGACTTGACTCCATTTTCGAAGATGCATTGCTTTGCTTTCTACTCCATGACCATAGTCAACGGATACCCACCCCCAATGAACCGGGACGTCTGTCATTGGTTTGACTTTGGGTTCGTCGTATGCAAGGACCAGCACGAGGAAGACACACTAGGTAGAATGTACAACACCATGCTATTCGGATCGACATCACAACTGGAATACGCAGAGAGCCTCGAGTCCAAGACCTTAGCGGAATTCGTAAAGAGAAGAGATCCTGTCTGTACCTTTAATGAATTTTGGAAGGCGTGGGAAAGAGGAAAGCTGATGACCATCTTCAACAAGTGTTGGCCAGAGCTCACAGCCGAAAATACATATATGACCGTTGAATACTGTCTCCTTGATCGTCTGCGCATATTTATCGAGGCAGAGACTCCTCGACCGTCCATTTGGAAGTTGCGTCACTTTCTTGTTATGGAAGATGTTTCTGTAGAGTCTGCTGTGCCCGAAATCGCTTGGGCAGCTCGAGATTACGGATTTTCCGAAATTTTGGACACGAGAACGACTCTGGAGCTGAGGATGTTCTATTCGCAGCTTTTGAAGACGGCAGAGCCAATGGAAACTCACTGTGAGAGAATGAAAGGCAATTTGCTGCAATTTGCAGACCGGCATGTTGATGGCATGACCTTGAGAGTAAAGAAACCACTTCAGGGTCTTTCGTTTGTTACATCAAAAGTCCTATAGTAAAAACACTATTATAACAACTAGCAAAAGAGGTATGAAGCTTAATTTAATATTGCCTCAACAGTAAGTAGTCTAGCTAGCCCTCTTACCTTTAGGCATATAGTTTATATTACTTGGTAAAAACACTTTCAGGCTGGACTTTTACAGCAATAAGACAAGAAAATTAACCCTCTTATAAACTTAAACGTATAGAGAGAGTTTATAACCATTTATATTTTTAAAAACCTTTATATATTTTCTAATAATATATCTAATACTTTTTAGAATATATTTTATACTTTATATAAACTACCTTTAAGTATCTTGAAAGTAAATTTAATACACTTGATATACTATTTTCCAATCCCGTTATATACTAAAAGGTTTGGAATCCCCTTAATGTCTGTGATTTTATCCTTGATCGCCAGCTCCTGAACTCGCGACCAAATCTGAGCCGGCGTACGCGAACCCTCCAGTGAAAGAAGGTAGGCGACAACGCCTGCAACATATGGAGCGGCCTCTGACGTGCCGCTTGTAGTGTATGTTGCTGAAGCGGACGTGGGCCAAGCTGACGTGATTCCTTCACCTGGAGCAAAGATATCACAGGCTGGCCCCCAGTTGGACCAAGCCCATCTCTGGTAGTCCTTGTTACTGGCTGCCACGGTGATGACATTGGGTTGGTTCGCGGGGCTGCTAGACGAAGCATCTTGGTTGGCATTTCCGGCGGCTGCAACAACGGGAATGCCAGCATCAATCGCACTCTGCACCGCGTTATTGAAGATGACTGAGTTGGCTCCTGACAGACTCATGTTGATGACAGCCTTGCCAACTCGGTTCTCGGACACAACATTATTAACAGTCCAGCTGAGACCAGCCAGAACACCGCTTGAGGAACCGCCGTTGTCGCCCAAAACCTGCACATCTACAACAGTGGCCTTTTTGGCAACTCCGTAGGTGACACCGTTGACGATAGCGGCGACAAGCGTGCCGTGCTGCTTCTCGCTGGAAACACCTGACGTATCTGCGCCGAAGACAGCCCGGCCCTGGAATTCCTCATGCTGCAGGTAGATGCCGCTGTCTAAAACATAAACAAATGTTCCTGCACCGGCCGTCGAATCGTAGGTGTAGGAAGCCTTTGAAGATGGGGGATTGGCATTGGAAATTGCCGAGAGACCCCAAGGAGGAGATTGCTGTGTGACTGGCGAGGCAATATCAAACATTTGTTCAGGCTCCACAAGCAAGACCTGTTTCTCAGTCAGCTCCACGCATCCATTCAAGGTGTTTACATGCTTACACTGGAATTCGCCTTGATGATGTCGACGGTTTTCTCATCAAACGAGCCCGAGTAGCCTTGGAAACCGGGGAACTTGAAGGTCTTGGCAATCCCACCAGACTCCACGCCACGGCGCTTGAGGGCTTCACCGTGCACATCCGACACCCATCGAGCGTGCAATTCAAGATCGACGTCGGGAGTTGGCTTGAGCGCGACGATGAACTTGCCTGGCACGAGACCCTTGCTAACCCTGTCTGTAGGAAGAGCAAGGGCGATAGTGGCAAGACTTAGTAGGGCTAATTTCTTACACAACATATTGATTGTTTTGTGAATTCGCATAGCGCTGTAGAACTGGTGGCAGCAATACATGCTATTTATATTTACGAGTTGCGCATTAATAACCGTCCTTGGCGACACTTAAGACAGGGTATTACTTTTAGCTGCCATTATAGTCTATATGTCCGCGCTAATCCTGGTATATATCACCCTTGCAATTACTGCCAAGCCTTAGAGTCTGCCTTCTTACCCTCTGTTTTAATCAGGCTCGTCCCATAAATAACATTTATTGGCAAGTATATCCGTCAAACTGTATCTGCCGATAACGCAAGCAATTCTTAAAATTCGTCATTAGTCCACATTTCCACGCAATAGCCTCAAACTTTCACCCAGTGTTTCTTGGCGCTACCAATACAAGAGCCCAGCTAACGCCTCTAACTAATAGCAATCCTTTTAAATACCAATCTAGCTTCTGCAACAGGCAAGAGATGTGTTCATGCACCAGCAGACTCATCAGCCTGCGATATACTTGCTTGGACCGGCAATTACGCGCCCTGCGAGTACGCAATTGAGAAGGTCATCACTATGTCCACGGTAGATCACAATCAGAGCGGCCCTTCCATCTACTGTGTTCACTCAGCCGAGTCAAACTTGCTAGAAGTTGCGCTTAGTGATATTCTCGTTTTCACCCTTAAATGGGGTGTAGCAAGGAACACATTCCACCCGCCATATTACCGTCGCAACGTAGTGACTGAGATCATAGGCGTCATATATCGCACTTTACAAAGCTCAGCGATTCAGCTGTCCTCTGGCATCATAACTTGTACACCCAGCTATATGCCTCAGGGAAAGACGTATGACAGACGGAAGCAGGCTACAAGTGATGGCCTGCCGCCTGCGAGAACAAGAGAGAAAATCATGGGTTTCTGATGCGCATCTCGGGTCATTCCACTCTTACGATACATGCTCGAGAGGACGAATCTTATGCAACCAATCCGAAGTGATATAGGGGTTGAACTTCAGCTTGAACTCTTGAAGCATCTCGATGAAGTCACAGACGACCTTACTAAGCGGGACTTCCGGGCATTCTTTAACAACGAATAGGAAATAGATATGTTGACAGTGTCGAAAGAATATAGTATGCATCGACGAAATTTTGCAAGGCATTCTACTGTCTACGTACCTTCCAAGCTTATCGTGGATACCTCTGAATGGATATTCGGCAACTGTGGTATTATCTCTCATTATCACTCCTCTCTTGCTCGTTGGTTTCTTGGTTGTAACGAAATAAGTTTGCGCCAACGACTCTGACGGCAGAGATTGAAATCTCCATGCCTTATCTTGCCGGTGACCGGCCCACTCCGCCTATCACTCAGCTAGCTTGCCACCGCAACTCCCCGAATTATATCTCTCAACTTGGAATCAAAGGTTTATCCCGTATATCGTGCCAACTTACTCCCAATCCTGAAATCCAATGCTCTCGCCAGTAATTCATGATCGACCTTGGTTTGCAAATACCTATCAAGTCAAGATTACGCTTCGGCACCTCTGTTGATATTCAAACACACTACTTGGATTATAATTCTCTATAACGCTCGTGAACGATGAGGATGAGGTTGGTTGCAGTTTGTAGAGTATTTGTTCTAATATTAATTGATTAATAGTTAAAGCTTATAATATCGGAACGAGATAAATCAAGCCAGCACATATAATCTCTCTAGATAGGCTTGCGTCACGAAACTTTGCATGTATGCCACGCGGTAAAACTCGCCCAATTAAACACTTTTGTCACCATTGCCACCATCTCAAGAAATCTCACACTACGATTAATGTTCAGGCTTCTGGAAAAGCTTTAATATTTGCTATAGTATGAGTAAAGTTAAAGGTTTAATGGAAACTTTATCATCTAGCATAAAGGGGACGGGTATATCGAGGAGATTTACTTTGGCGCCCGCCTAAGATGATGCGTTAAAATGGAAACTTTATTTTCCGAAGTACGGTCTGTAATGCATATAAGTGAGAGTCTACCTCTCTTCCCTTCCTTTTAAACATCTTGGTAATATATCATTCCATACATACGGCCCTTTAATCCTACCAACTGAGCAATTTCTAACTCAATAAACCTTAAAACTCTTTCCGACGAAGCGACAACCCGTTTATCCGGCTTCCAATAATGCCTGCATGGCTAGCCACTATGGAACCGATCAAAGAAACTTCTTATGAATCACAGACAGTCGCCTCTGGAATCACTTCCCGGTCTTATGTCATGTTCTTCCTATTATCACTTGGTGGGGCCTTGGTGTATCTCAATATCAGAGAGGAATTTAACTTGGCATTCTTTTTGGGTGCAAGTGCGATATTTCTTATGGTCACCGCCATGGGGTCAACAAGAAGAAATAGGAAATAATGGTAATTGGACATTTCAAATGATTCAGCTCATATGGCATTCTTAGCCCTTGACTTTACGAGTTTCTACCAAACGTTCTATCCTATTCACCAATTCTGATACATGGTCTTATACAACGCATCGCAAAACAGCGTAATAGCTCTTGACCCAGCCTCAAGAACAGCATCCATCGCAATAAACGGATGTGGCTGGCCCTTCATGACATTCAGCTCCGCCTTGACACCAGCGTCTTGCAACTTCTTCGCAAACTGCTCACCCTCCGACCTCAGTACATCCAGCTCACCAACGACAAAACAAGCAGGCGGCAACTTTGAGAAGTCTCCCTTCCAGAAGATCGGACTAGCTTCAGGATGCGCCCAGTCTTCCTTATTGGGAAGATAGTGGTGACGGTACCAAAGCATTTTGGGTGCTGGAAGAGCGGGAGAGTGTTGGTTTGCGTTCCATGAGACATTGTTGGTAGTGTCGGCGGTGTTGTCCATTACCGGGACGGAAAGGAGTTGAAGGGAGAATTTGGGGGATCCTCGATCAGCAGCTCGTTGGCACATGACGGCTGCCAAGTTGGCGCCAGCAGAGGAACCGCCTGACAGTTCAAAGTTAGCACCAACTCCAACAAATCCTCTTGATTCTGAACGAACCTGTTGCCATTTTTGCAGTGTCCAGACCGAGGATTTCTTTTCCCTCACCCATCACCCAAAGAACGGCCTCCCACGAATCATGCACCGCTGCAGGAAACGGGTTCTCAGGTGCCAGTCTATAATCCACAGCTACAACGACACATTTCCCTCTCGCGCAAAGATGCGACGCAATCACATTCTCAGTATCTATCGTACCAAGAACCCAACCACCACCGTGGTAGTAAATGCACACAGGCCATCCATTCTCTGGCTTGTCGCCATTCGGAGTGAAGCACCGAACTTTAACATCCGGTCCGTCGCTCTCTTTGCGTTTGATGGCGTAGTCGACTGTACTCGCGACAGGTTGGAGAGGACCACTGCCCGGAATGAGAATCCCACTGCTTCGTGATGCTTCTACTGGTTGGAGATGGACTTGTTGTTTGTCGATGATGTGTTTGTTGTAGAATGCTGCATATTCGGGATCGATTCTGTTAAGGACTGACTCGTGTAGCGGATAAGGTGGTTGGTTGCTCATTTTTGGTAATGGTTCCTTGATCTTGAAGATAATGTGAGGCTGAATTGGTGAGTATACAGGAATGGCTGTGATATAGTGACGATGGTGTCTTTAGGCTTCGGAGGTTTATTTCGCGCCGGCACTTTTGAGCGGGTTTCCGAAATCGGGCATCCGGTGGAACCTCTACAGTCCCCGGTGTATGGCCTTGCACTGGGTTGCGATCGTCGCTCCACGTTACATGGAGGGATCACCAACCTCTTGTGAGATGGTAACCTATGCTTATGCTGGTAGCACTGTGTTTCGAGTCAGCTGCAATGATGATTGCAGGGTAATTAGGCATCGCTATCTTGATAGGTACTATGAACATGTAACCTCCGAATCTAAGCCCTTGCAACCTGTATCTTGTCTCCCCCGCATATCCAGTCTTTTGCCAGGGTGAGATAACGAAGCAAGATACTAAACATTGTACAAAGCTCGAGCTTGTCCTCTGTATTTAATAATTCTCTTGCAATCTCGTAGCAGCAATCTGCAAACAAGTCGCACCCAATTTGGTCGTTGATTCACAGACAATTGATCGCCATGGACACTAAAGATCACAAAGATGATGGCATTATCGACGACACCTACGCCGAAGGCACTGGCGAGGAAACAGTTCTTGAGGTCGACCATATCGCCGAGCGTCAACTCTGTCGAAAATTTGACGTTCGGTTGATGCCTGTCTTGGCTATCATGTGTAAGACCATACGCTTCTACAGCGCCCATCAACTCGTCTAATCATCTATAGACCTCTTCAACGCCCTGGACAAAGGCAATCTGGGAAATGCGCAGACTGTTGGCCTCAGCGACGGTAAGTCAACACGCTGGCTATCAAGCCACAAACTGACACACGGTAGATCTCAACTTCAAGCCAAATCAGTATAACCTCCTCGTGTCAATCTTCTTCGTCCCCTATGTCATCTTTGCTCCTCCTACCGCCATCATCGGAAAGAAATACGGTCCTGCGCGAGTCCTTCCAATTCTCATGTTTACGTTTGGATCCATGACTTTACTTGCTGCCTGCACGCAAAACTTTGGTGGCATGTTTGCCTTGCGATTCTTTCTTGGCATGGCGGAATCTGGCTTCTTTCCGCTGGTGATCTACTACTTGACCACCTTTTATCGAAGAGGCGAACTTGCACGACGTCTGGCGATATTCTACGCAGCTTCTAATATCGCGAACGCCTTTGTAAGTCATCCGCGACTTGAGTAAGAGCCTGAAACTAACTGCAGCAGAGCGGTCTTCTATCATTCGGCGTCTTCCAAATCGACTCCAAAATCTTCGTCTGGCGATACCTCTTCATCATCGAAGGCTCAGCTTCAGTGCTCTTCTCCATCTTTGCATTCTGGTACCTCCCACGAAGTGCGGCGCAGGCCAAGTTTCTCGGTGAAGAAGAAAAGGCGCTGGCTTTTCATCGCATGCAAGTCGATTCTTCGTCTGTTGTGCAGGAAAAGTTCAACTTTAAGGACTCTATCAAGATCTTTACTTATCCGACGACGTATTGCTTTTTGTTGATTGAGATTTGCCTTGGTGTACCGATTCAATCGGTCGCGCTGTTCATGCCTCAGATCATTCAGCGATTGGGATATGGACCCGTCAAGACGAATCTTTACACTGGTAAGTAATTAATCAATTAAGCGTATCTTCTTCTGCTAATGCGATATGCTAGTCGCGCCAAACGTCGGTGGTGCTGTGATGCTTCTCATCCTGGCCTTTAGCTCCGACTTTTTGCGCATTCGCTTCCCGTTTATTATGCTCGGATTCGCCCTGACATTCATCGGTTTCATCATCTACGCGGCCATTTCCGACGTCCAAGCTCAATTGCAATTAGCATACTACGCCTGTTTCATGATGGTCTGGGGAACGTCAGCACCATCAGTGCTTCTTTCAACATGGTACAACAACAACATCGCCCACGAAGGTCGTCGCGTTGTCCTCACATCAGTCGGCGTCCCACTCGCTAATCTCATGGGTCTCGTATCAAGCAACATCTTCCGCGAGAACGAGAAGCCCAAATACCCCACAGCTCTTATCACGACTGCTTGTTTTGGTGCATGTGGATGCCTCATTGCGGGTCTTCTTGGTGGGTATATGGTGCTTGATAACATGCGGAGGAATCGAAGAGCGGGGAGGAAGACTACAGCTGCTGATGTACCGACAAAGCGTCTGCGCGACGGGCCAGCGGTACCCGAGTTTCGCTGGTTTTTGTGAGGAGTCAGTGAGATTGTGCTGTAAGGAGGGAAGATCAGCACCCCGCAGCGGGTTTGGCAGAAGCGGGGAAAATAACGCACTGTGTTGTGTCTGTATTCTACTACGTTACCTTTGAACTGATCCTGGTCTTGGAGATAACGATAAACCAAGGAGGCCAGAATTGAAGCCGAAAGATATTCTCAGAGTCGTGCTGATTGTATCAATATTCTTTGTCTGTCTCTCCGCATCACCTCGATCATCATACCGCCATCATGTACTCTCCCAAAGTAGGTGACAGCGTCGACTCGCTCGACACACCCTCCATGATTGTCGACCTCGATGTCATGGAGGCCAACATCAAGAAGCTCATGGACAGACTACTTCCAACTGGGCGCAGCATTCGACCCCATCTCAAGACGAGCAAGAGCGCTATCGTCGCAAAGAAGCTTGCCGCTGCTGGTGCAAAGGGCGGATGTGTCGCAAAGCTGAGTGAGGCTGAGGCAATTGCTGCTGCTGGTTTTACAGACCTTCTCATCACTTGTGAGATTGTCGGACCAGCCAAAGTCAAGAGGCTGGTCGAGCTATTCAGAAAACATAACGAGATCAGGATTGTGGTGGACGACGAGAGAGCTGCGACGGCTATCAACGATGCGTTGGAAAAGTCAGGAATTGAAGAAGCCATTTCAGTTTTGATAGACTTGGATGTCGGACTGCATCGCACAGGAACTCAGCCCGAAGGAGCTATACCACTAGCAAAACACATCAGCACTCTGAAACACATGCGTCTTATTGGAGTTCAAGGCTACGAAGGTCATCTCCAACATCTTCCCGACTTTGCAGACCGCAAGGAACAGTGCCTCGAATCAATGAAGATCCTCACCGATACTGCTCAAGCACTGAAGAACGAGGGTTTTAACATTGAAGTTGTGACAACTGGCGGAACAGGCACAGCGGACTTCTGCGCAACTGTACCCGGCGTGACAGAACTACAGCCTGGTTCATTCATCTTCATGGATACCGACTATCGCAAAGCCATCGGGTCATACTATTCCCACAGTTTATCGTTCTTGGCAACCGTCGTTAGCAAGCAAGGCGAGCGACAGGTCACGATTGACACTGGTCTCAAGTCTTTGACGACGGATAGTGGCTTAGCTGAGTGCAAGGATCAAAGATATAGCTACTTCCAACTGGGCGATGAGCATGGGGCGTTGACTTGGGAGGAGGGTACACCAGCGCTTGACGTTGGGGATAGAGTTGAGATGATCCCAAGTCATATTGACCCAACTGTCAATCTCCATGACTTTTACTATGCGTATCGGAATGGGGTCATTGAGGAGATTTGGCCAGTTGACTCTCGAGGAAAGGTTCAATAGGACAATCAGCTAAGGGCCCGCCTAATAAATGTGATATCGCAGAATTGACCCTCATGTTTGTTTCGAAGGAAAGGCTGTTTTAAATACATGTGTCGACAAAAGAAACGTACAAGCCGGGACGGGAGTGCCATAAAAGGATGATATCAACCTCAGTAGTTACTCAGGCGTCTGGTTGTTAAGTCAATCTTAGACAGCAGTACTCACTGTGTGCGTCCCTAAATAGAGCATTTTATATTCCTTGAAGAGAGGCAAAAGAGTCACAATGTAGGTTTTATTTTTCTAATCAGGATTTATGCTGTAGCGATTAGTTAGGCATTATGGTATAATATCTAGATGGTAAGCCATATCTGTGGCTCAGAGCTTATAATCACCACATAGAGTTTTCACCTTTTCTCTTAATCCAAACGAAATACCACAGAGGACTTTCAGAGCTCCCCTCTTGTGCCTAGATCCTCACAGGCTGGGTTTGATGAGTCCTCGGGCCTCCCCTCATGTTCTTCACTACTAAAAAATATCCCTAACAACGACGTACTTATAAGCCCTCCTGCCACTGATAACTGCAAGCATTGCGGCTGTAGTGATACTGATGAAGACTTTCCTCATTATCTTGATGACGACGAAGAGGATGTCGTCTTTACTTCCTCACAACCAATCCAGGCTAGAGATTTCAAGCTCCCCTATTAAACATGAGGTCTTCCACGATTCCACTCAAGAGCCATTAGTCACCAACGTCAAGCATACTATTGAAAGCGACCTAACTTCTACTCAAACCCGTAGTTTTATCCAAAGCCAGGAGATCTTTGCTCAGGACACGGCATCTATCACGGCAGGGTCCTGTTTTGTACTTGGTTTACATATCGGTATAATTCTGCCAAGGAGTACGCAAGGCAACAGCTCGGAGAGTAGTCTGCTAAGACTGGCTACCCAATACTCTTAGAATCTACTGTATGATAAGGTTGAGGGTTAAGAAAAGCTTTAGGCCCCAGCATAAAGGTCAAGAACACATATTAACACATATGGGCAGTACGCCCAGTGCCCTCACTTCTCAGAATCATCAGATAATCACAGACGGGATGACCAAAGCAAACAATCTTACTAATTTCACTATACTGACTTGATGACTTGCAGGTCAGGGCCTAGGCAGACTTGACCTGTGAGCTTTTTTACTGACTTGCAAGTCGAGGGGTCTGACTTGAATTATTGGGAGCGTTGGTCCACAGACACCAATGCCAAGTCGGCAACACTAGCCCCGGGCCGGGTAGACACCACCGATTGCGCACAAATCGGAAGGCATCCAAACGCAAGACCCTAGCCCCAGGGGAGAGATTATGTTACGATCCTAGCAGTTATATTACATGCACCCCACAGTTTTTCACCAATCACACACAATTACTATAGACTAAGGAGTTTTATTTATAACTACTAAGATATAATTATAAAGAAATTACTAAAATTACTAGTAATTTATATAATTACCTAGTAATCCTTATAATTACTTTATAATTATATTTAGTATATAAAATATATTTATTAGCACTTTTATAAATTCTAGCTTACTAGCTATTAATATAACTTCTTTATATTAATTAAGCCTAGCATATATTAAATCTACTATTAAGAGATATAATACTTTAATAACGCTTAGCACATGCCCTACGCAATCTGCCAATAATAAACCCAGCACGGCTTAGTTTAACATAGTTGGAACCCAACCATCACACTTCGCCTAATAACCGCCTTTGTCCTGGGGGAATGGCCCGGGCGCTACCCGCGACCGCTATATAATTTCGCTAACCCTACGTGTTTGTTCAGCCAGAACAACACCCGGACTAGAGACCAGGCAACGTCACATGCTTATCGTCACGAACGCCTCGGTCAGGAACAACGTGGTTGGCAGCCTAGGATGGCCAAGTTGATATAGTCGCGTGCCTGGATATCCTGGTCCGCGGCAGGCTTTGACGTATCGACCTCACGGAATAAGGGCAATTCTATATTATCGAGGAGGTGATATTCCTCTGGTTCTGAGAGGGGGCGAGGGAGAGGGTGCAGGTCCCTATAGTCGGCGGCAGCGTCGTCAAGGTCGTCAGGGTCGTACGACCGATCGATTGTGGTTCTCGCAGGCATTGTATTTGCAGACATTGTGTTGAGAGACTGCAGTCTTTGGAAGATAGAAAGTTCTCTCTTATTTCTCATACGGAGGTTAGAGTAGTTAAATACCCCATGAGAGGTTTAACCCTTTATGATATTACAGCTAGGTATAACTCTTCTTCTGCAGGTGGCAGAAGATTTAAAAAAAAAGGCCACTGTGTTAGTATTGGGATATAATGCTATGATGTGTTGACAATGTGTTCTTTATTATAGTTGAAACCCGGCCCTTGATGGGTTAACTGAGCTAGAATATCGTGGTTGGCAGCGCCGGAGTCACCCGGCCCGCATGGGTCCATAGGCTGCCTGAAAGGCTCACTAACTTACAGCATTAACCACCCTGGGTACAAGAGACCGGCAAAACCCGCCCACGGCTGAACTCGTAGCTATAAACAAAGCACTGGAAACTGCCTCAAGGCCCCAGTGTTGCCAACATCACTATATTGACCAGGAGCAAAGCAGCAACGTAGGCGATCAGCTGACCACGCCATCACTCGGGACAAGGAGTAATTGAACGCATGTGCGTGGTTGTCAGCAAGCATAGAAGCAGAGACAGGATCATCTCGATAGATTGGATCCCTACGGACTTAGATATGGATCTCACCCGTGCAGCAAAGAAGGCAGCATGTCTAAGTGTCGTTCCGCACAAGCTACCCGCCAGAGAGCTTTTTCGAGCGTTATCCACCACGCTCATGAGATCCGACAGACTCGCTATCTGTAAGGCCTAAGTCCTCAATGGTCTCAACCTCGGAAAACTCAATGCTCTCGGACGTATCATCGCCATTATGGTGAACATGACTTATTAGCTACCCATTGAGTAATAAAATCCAGTCTGTCCATGATGTGCAGAATGAATCAAATCCAGGTTATAATTGTTAGCTAACGTCTTCTCAGCAAGTGAATAAAACATTCGGTGAAGATTCGATTGAGCTTAGCTGTCTACCTACGTTTAACTTTATCTTTCCTTGTTTTGTAGTGCGAGTACCGTCTCACGGAATAATCTTCGCCTTCCTCATTCTATCAAACACCCCGCCCCACGCCTGCAATGTATCCCTTTGCTCCTTAAATCCGGTTCCATACATCTTGCTCATATCAAGCTGCCTATCGAAATCAAACAGCGTCATAATGTAGTACTCGAACCCAGCGAATGTTTTCGGGCTATCTGCATGTCCCGTCTGCAGGCCCTTCTCTTTCTCCAACTTATGCCACACGTCAATGTTATCCTTGATGAACTTACGCATCTCGGGAGGATTAGAGGTCACTCCCGTGCCCTTGAGGCCAAAGTATCCGCAAAGGATGGGCCACTTCTTCTCCCAGGAGTTCGGGGCCCGCGCATCAGCGACATTGTAGGCTCCGCCCTTCTCAGTGGATGGCGAGAGCGAAAGGCGAATCGTTTGTCGCGCGATCATCTCAGAGCTGCAGTCATTGTTTAATGCTTTCCAGCTCTTTTCTGAGCCCGGGAATGGGCATTCTGCACCTTCTCCGTGTACTCGGCTCCACAAGCTGAGGTATATGCCCATGGCGGTAGCGAGCGAGCAGAAGTTCTGATTCGGCACGAAACCGACGATGAGGTCGGGTCGCGTTTCGCACCAGCTCCATTTCTTGTCCTTTACGTATTCAGAGACCCAATCGATTTGCGGGTAGTAGAAAACGGTGTCGTGATATGGGTCTTTAAGTCGGGGTTGAGATTCGGCGTAAGGGACATGGATGTAATCGGTTGGGTGGTTTTCGAGCAGATGGCAGCCATCTAGGGAGTATTAGCTTATGGGAACTAGTTGAAAGAAAAAGTACGTACACGTCTTTCCACCTGTCTGCAAAACCATAAATTCGAGGGCAGGGCTCAGATGATCTATCGCGAGAACGCTTCGCTGCCACATTGCTACCGCTTCCTCGAATTCTTTTTTGACGTCTGTGTCTCCCTTATAGGCAAGATAATACGCATGTGTGATTTCTTCGACCTTATCCACTTTGGACTTGATTCCTGCTTCCAATTCCTCTTGTGAGCCGTTCAATAAGTCTATCCCCGAGACTATGTTCAGCCGCGGGTCGTTTGGCCACTGCGATTGTTGAAGCGAAAGGGGACGATTTGTGAGCGCGTGCACGCGTTTCCAGATATTTGGCTCGGGATAATCGTTCAAGATTTCATTTACGAAGCTCCAGCCTGTCACGCCAGAAGCTCCAAAAACAAGGGCGGTTTTAGACATCTTGAACTATAAGTAAAGATCTCAAGTCATTGTAACTATATCAAAAGGAGGACTGAAGAAAAGCGTGGACCATATATATATATGTAATTTATTTTTTCTACTTTTCTTTTTTTTGGGGGGGGGTTAAATTTCGTCGTGTGAATAACTTGATCCGGCATATCGGATGTAAGTTAAACTCCAGCTTGCATGATCAGGGGTAGAGACAAACCGCCGCGTCGCCCTAAGGCCCCAACGGCAGACCCGCCGTTAATAGCCCGGACATGTGAGTGTTCCGAATGGTTCGGGAGACTCGGATAACATAAGGTTATGCTTCACGTTATGCTTCACGTTATGGTACCTCTTGGCAAAAGGCGGAGAGCAGCCAACTACGAGGCACGTGTAGTTGGATACAAAACCTGTTGCAGTCCACAAAACCTGTGTCATGTACCACACCAGCTTAGAGCCTTCGTAGGGTACCTAATTTCCCTACGGGCCAGCCATATTTGCGGTTGAAATCTTGAGTTCCAGTACGGTTTTGGCTCAGAGGCCAATAGCGACAGCTGGTAGAGGCCCTAAGTTGAGTCTATAGAAAGGTATGACCGACAATGTAACATTCCGACTGGTTGCTTATTCATTGTCCGCAGGGTGGCACGCTGTGTCCGAGGGTTTCGAGCCCCTCAGGTGAATGTGTGTATATGCCGATAGTAACACCAAATACAGTACTATCTCAACTCAACCGACTGCTTCTACGACAACTAGCTTATGTTAATAGATAACTCAGCAAGCTTCTAGGGAGAAGTTATTTTCCACAGAATTTCTGTTTGGGACGCAAATTTCGGACTATCAAGTTTTCAACGCTACAATGATGGATGTTTGATATCAAAGAAAGTCCGCAGGCATCTTCTGCAACGTCCGCCACGTCCGCGCTGCCATAATATTATATTACCCGCAAGCTTGTGAATTAGCTGTCACTTCCCTTGAGCACCAACTCCAGAATTTTCGAATATGATGTACCGAACAAAACGCGAGCCTGTTCATTGGCCTCCACGGGATCAATTCACAGTACGTAGTTGAATACTAATAGTGGTCTGGAGAGGTTATTAGTGGATTTAACGGGTTGTGACATCTTTTAACGCCGTTCGGGTTCGTCTTGCAGTCCGAGTGGTAGCTCTATGGCCCTTATAGTGGGTTGATAAATGTAGTGATATGAACCCGGTTTTATATTAAAACGCTACTCTAGAACCATTATGTTTAAAGTTAATATATATTAGCCAAAGTTTATTAATTCGCCGAGATGTTATATTTAAGCTCTAATTAACCTAATCCTTGCTATAATCCTTCTCTATAACCTAAACCTTTTTATTTTTAATACTAAAACCGTTTTCCTTCTTAATAGCTTAAGTTATTCTTATAACTTAATAACTTAAAATTTTTAATCCTCTCCTTATTAATTTATATTAAAAAAAAGCTCTAGTAATATATTCTCTATAATTTATTTTAAATAGTTATCTTTTTTATTTTATTTATATCCTTTTATTAGCTTTAGTTTTATAATTAGCTTTAATAAGTTATTATTTTAGCTTATATTATACTTTTAATAAATAGATAATTTTTAAACTTTAAAATTATAAGCTTTTTAAGTATTTATAACTCTTATAATTAATAGTGCTATATAAAGTGCCTTAGTATCTAAAATATTCTTATAGGCTTTAATATTATAAGAAATATTTTATTACCTAAGATAATAAACTTAATATAATTATTTACTTTAAGTAAGGCTTATTACATATAGAGCTTAATTATTATATTAACATTATAAATTAAAAGTAATTTTATATTATCTTTAATATAACTCTTTTTATAGCCTAGTCCTACAGTCCAAAATCAACTCTAGTAGAGTTGATTTTATTGACTGTAGGACTAGGAAGCTGCTGATGAGAAAAGACGGAAATATCAGTCTCTTGGAGCCTTTTCCACCCCCTTATCTTCTCAGCAGGCGGCCTTATGGATTAGGAGACCTCTCAGACCTATAAGCAGCTCTAAGAGCTCTTAGGTCCCTTTGCAGCCTTACAGCTTGACTCAGCAATAGGCCTAGCCTTAACTAAGACTAGGGCTATCTCAGCTGCCTTAATAGCTCGTGATCTACCTAGGAAAACTCATTCTTAGGAAGCTATTCTTTATCTTCCCTTAAAATACCTATCTTTCCCTATCTCTATCCCTTTTCTTAGTCTTTCCTTTCTCTAACTCTTATATATATCTTACTATCTCTTTCCCTTTCTATATCTCTTCCTAGCTTTAGGATTTACTAGCTTAGATATTCCTCTTTCCCTTTCCTTATTTCTATTTTTTTCTTATTCTTTCTTTTATTTTCTTAAAAAGACACTTTATAATTATTTCTTCCTGTCCTTATCTATTAAAATTAAAAAACCTAAATTATAACGGAATAGGTTCCAAACAGGTAAACTAGTCCGTGCTAGGTTTAATGTTTACAGAGTTATAGGGCGTTATACTAAGCGGTTACAAAGTATTACGTCTCTTAATAGTAAATAGAGCAGGTTAGGCATATTTAGGTAAAGAAGTCTTATTAATAGCTAGTAGGTTAAGTTCTATAAAAGTACTAATAAATATAGTCTATATATTTAGTAAATATTAATAGTAATTAGTAAGGTTATTATAGGATTAGTAGTAATTATATTAGATTAGTATTAATTATAATAGATTATTTATAATCTTAAAGTCTTAGTGCTAATCTATTTTAATATAGGTATAATAATTAGTAGAAAATATAGGGTATATATAATAGAATTACTAAGGTTATAACACAATCTCTCCCCTTTATTAGGCCTTATCCTTAAGGCCTGGTTAATATATTTTCTATTAGTTATCTTCTAGTAAGTTTAATCTTAATCCTATAATCCCTTTAAGATATTTAACTATATAGTAAAGGCTAAGAAAACCTCTATTAAAAATTGCAAATCTCTTTATATTCTTATTACAGCATTTAGGAATCTTATTATACCCTATTCTAACTGCATCTATTAAAAGATAGAGGATTTATATATCCTTAATCCTGTAAAATCGAATTGCTATAATCTATATATTAAGTTAGGAATATCCTATAATAGTTATAGCCTTTTTATAGTAGTAGGTATATTTATTCCTTTATAAAACTATTTTGCAGGTTCTTTATTAATATAATATTAGCTAAGAAGATTATTAATAAAAAGCGTTATTTAGAATAAGAAGAGGAGGCTGCTAAAGATAAACTAATTACTCTTTAAGTAAAGTCTACTTATATTTATAATATAATAAATGCTTAGTTTGCTAAAATTACTTATTTAAGGCGCCAGTATTATTAAGTAAAGGTAAAGGGCCTAGATATAATCTAGCATGGTTTTAACTCTATAGACGAACTTAAGAAGGCAGAATAGGACAAGTAGGTAGCTCTAGAAGGTGCTATAATTAATAGGTCCTTCTATAATTAGTCTGCTATTGCTAAGTAATCTAAGTAGGATTTATTAAGTCTTAATGCCTTCCTTAATCCTTCTAGTTTTAGTAGAAATTCTTTAGGAGTTATTAGGCATTAGTAAGGTATTTAGATAGTTTTTATATGTTTTTATTTTCTAGGTAATCCTTCTATTTAATAAGGTATTCTATTTATTTATTAATTCTCCTTATATCTCTAATTACTTCTGCTTTATAGACTTCTAGTCTTTTAATTTCTTCTAGTTTATTACCGGTTTTGACTTATATTATATCGGCTGCTGATTTAAGTAATGTAATATAAAAGATTAAATAGAGCCTAACTTTTAATAGTAAGTCTAGTTTATAATTATTTTCTAAGATTTTTCTTTTAACTTTATATAGTCTAATATACTTATAGTCTAATTTATAACTTAGTTATTTTATTATAATGTTTTTTATGGCTAAGTAGACCATATCTCCCTTTAAGAAGGTTAGTCTTTTAATCCTTTTTATATTATAGTATTTTTTTATTTATTTTCTAATAAATTCTAATTTTTTCCTTAATTCCTTATATAGAGCTTTTAGGTCTTTACTCTTAATTATAGCAGCTAGGTTAACTGTTTTTAGTTCTTGCGCTATATAATATAGGTCTAGGGTAAATTTAAAGTTTACTACTAAAGGTATTATTTCTATACTTTTATTATATATTATATTATAGGTAAGTTAGGCACTTAGCAACTTTTCTACCTAATTATTTTATTTATAGTTAATATAATATTATAAGTATTATTCTAATACTTAGTTTATTTGTTTAGTTTATCTATCTATTTGCAGTCTAAATGCTATTAAGAGTCAGTAGTTTAGTCCTATATAAGACATTAATACTTACTAAAATTTACTTATAAATATTATTCTTCTATCTATTAAGATTTTATAAGATAGTTTATATTCTCTAATTATCCTATTATAGAAGATATAAGAAAGTTACTTTATATCTATATCTTCCCTATAGGGTATATAGTAAGAAAATTTAGTAAGTTAATCTACTATTACTAAGATACTATTATAAAAGATTCTAGTTAAGGGTTCTTCTAATAAGGGTAGCTTAATTATGCAGTCTATTATAATTAAACTTTATAGTCTTTCTACTACTTCTAGTAGTTATAGTAGACTATAAGGTTTATATTATTATGCTTTAGTTTTTATATATAAGTTATATTATTTAATAACCTTCTTTACTGTTTTTTTAATTCCTTCCTAATTATAATATATCTAGATATATTTTAGGGTTTTCTTAATGCCTTGGTGGCTATATAGGGGATATCTATATATATCCTATACTAGTTCTTCCCTAAATTGTTTAGGTACCTATAGTTTGTTATTATAGGTAGGTATTTTAGTTCTACTTCCAATAGGATCTTAAAGGTTATATCCTATAATATTATTTTAGATTTTATTTATCTATTTTTCCTAATTTATAGGTTTATAGTTGTTTATAAGTCCTAGGGTTTCTACTTATTATATAAATTAGTATTCTCCTTTATTATTCTTTTTTA